GTTCTCATATAAATTCAATTACCGTATAAGTATGCGTAATCATATTATTATAATTTTACACTTTAAGACTTGTTACAGACTTATTAAGAATAATATGAACATTAAATTGATTGTCATGTTCTTGTCATTGTTCAAACAATGTGAAGAAAACGGTTGAAAAGGAAATGTTAATCCTGTCGCGCCGTTTAAAACGTAATCTCCAAAATTAACGCGGGTTGATGGCAGGAGAGGGTATGAATGAAAACACGTTTCTATAGGGTTTAATTTAATATACAAAACATAATGTTTAACTGCTATATACTGTGTACTGGACATCAACTCAATGATGAGACTTCGAGTACCAATGTTATTTATAAAAACCAACCACTTGCAATCTTTATTAAAACATACTATATTATGGTCATCTACAAACTTAATGAATCTTGCAAATCTCCATTTTTCTCAAATACATGGTTTGAAGCCAAAATTATGGCTTGTTTACAAGTATAGAGGTAAACAATGGTCACTATTAAATAATATTGCGAGTTCCGGGGCTTAAATCGTGAGAATTTATTCTAAATTAATAACAAATGATTAATGTCAACAAGTTATTCTGACTTCCATGCTTTTAAATCACAAGACCAAATTCATTTGAGTCAGTATTGCAATTGCCAGTTTTACATTTGATTATATATTTTTATTTTTTGGGGTTTGATGAAAACCTGTCTTATAGAGTATAATTTTGTATGTCCGGATATGCCTATTGTTGCATAATAATAACAGCCCTTACATTAAAATCTTACATATTTTTTACTTTGAGATATGTACACGATTTGTCTCTTATAAATTCTAAATGTATTAATTAAACAAGTCTAAATTCAGGGCCAATGTAGGGTAAATGACTGCAAAATCGGAAATTGTGTGTAATTTATAGTTTTAATGATAAAAGTTTAGAATGTATATCAATATGACTATGATATAGTATAGTTTGTTTGTTTAACTTATCAACTGTAATAAACACAATAATAGGTTAATCACAATAGTACACTTATTGTCTGAACTAAAATTCAGTCAATACAGGCCATTCACTGGTCAACAAAATATTTTCAATTATAAGCGTATATTTCATGCCCGATGAAATTGAACATTCTGGATAAATTTTGTATTTAAAAAAAAAAATATTTTAGTTGTTCGTGGCGTTCTTTAAATATTAAGCCATAACGAATAAAATTAGACGAAAGCAAAACTGAATTTGGATAGATGACTTCAATGGTCAAATTATAGACTGAGATGGATACCGGTCGAAAGAAATTTTGAAACATCGATTTTAATGAATGCACATTCTATCAGCAGATTCAAGGCACCCCCCTCCCCTCCTGTCGGACAACGGGCTGACTGACATATAAGAAGTCATTTTTGCCGTTGGGCATTAACAGAACTATATTTCTAATACAATCTTAGTCAAGGGAGAATACTACGTTTAATAAACTCTGTAGCCAAATATATCTTGTTAATGCTGAAGTGATTTATTGATTTCAAACACAATGTGAAATGAGGTTTAAGGTTTAACGTTCTACTTTTCTGCCCCCCCCCCTCCCACCGGGATAATAAAACCGGGAAAAAGATCAGACTGGTAGACCTTTTACAAGGTTTCGGTGACAATGTTGCTCCTTACAAGAAAGTTTTCAAAAACTCTGACCTAAGAGCATTTTCTAGAAAAAGTCACAGGCAGCGTTGGGATTTTTGATAGGTTAGGCGAATCCAAAGCTATTTTGCTTATGTTATAGGAAATTCCACGCCTGTTTCTTAAAATTAAACCAAAGTATTAATTATTCTCTCTTGACGCAAAATCTAGCAACGATGTTTTTAAGTATGGAATCTTATCACGTAATATATAGTCCATTTACGGAGAAGACGTGTGTAGCCACCAAATCTATCCACAAATAGCTGCTAATAGCTGGGAGATTGCGATGTCACTTTTGTGGGAGCAGGCGTTATAGAACCAAGAAGAAGTATAAGAAGAAGAAGGCTATGAGACTTATTAGCCTGTTACTATTAATACTTTCACTGGAATGTAATAATTTGTCTTAAATAACTAACAAAATAACAATTAATTTCAGAAGGATCGGGGCGCGTAAGTGTTTAGCCCACCCAAACACATTTTGTTAAGTTGTCTCCCTTTAGTCTCCAACTGTCTTCGATTTATGAAGTATTCTGTGGCATTTTATTTTCCTTTTTGATAAATGTGACATCATTTAGTATTCTCTTTGATACATATAAGTTTTGAAGATTGTACTAATCGTTCTTTTTTTTATTATTCAATCAGATAATGGTGCTCTAAAATTAATATCGAATGAAATGTAACAGAAGGCATACATATCAATCATCTTGTCAAGATATATTGATAAAGAAATTAAATATAAATGTGCAAGTATGCAAAATATTTATCAGTGACTAATCGGCCAAAGTCAAGAAATGCACGTTAACATATTCAACTTAAACATATGCCTAGCTGACGGTTTGCCAGTCGACCTGCACTCTATGAAAGGTCCAATAAATGACTCATATTATCAAAAAGCATATTATCTTATAACAATTAATCGACGATTTTATTCTTCCATAGATAGCACGCAATCTAATAGGCAAAATTATAACATTAGAATGACAGCAGGAAAACAATCTCGTGTCCAATGGCAATTTGAGGCTTCAACATTATCGAAAAAGTTTTAAAACTTGGAACACTACAGATATAGTTGCGTATACAAGTGTGTGACCGATACGTAAGGTACATCGTTATTTTGAGAATTACATAATGTAATTTTCATATTTCTATAGTTAAATTTTTATTACAGGAGCTTTTGACGCGGACAAGGGTGTTTCCATCCATTCCTCTTCAACCTCGATAAACCACGGGGTAGTTTACGGGCACTACCAGTTTTTACACGGAACCGCTGTTGTTTTGTTTTTTTATTCCATTCCTATTTTTAGATACACATCCCCTGTCGATCACGTCGTGCACTGTGATTACATTATCATCCAGATGTACTTCGTGGTTTCAATAGAAGGAAATAAATTTAATAAAGAATGAATGGTGTAAATAAAATGAAATGGGGTTTAACGTCTTACTTTTCTGCACCAACCACTTTAGTGAAATGAATATCAAGGGAATGACAACCTGCCACTCATTTTTTTTTATTAATCTTTCTAAACAACCCGTTCTTAACTCGTTACTTTTATTGTCCGGGTCAACTTAGTGTTTACAAGAAAACGCCTCTTATAAAACCATTATAGACTGTCTTTCAATCTGTAATAGAACCATCATAATATATAATGTATTATTGATCTGTATAGAATATTATATTGTATTTGATCTATTGACACACTCCACTCAATCAAGACGCAGATTAACCTTTTGGTTAAAAAAATTTAAAATATTATATTAAAGCACGAATGCATCAGAAGCCCAATAAACACGTTCCTTATTTAAATTTAACAAAATAACAAAAAACTGGGGGTTTAAAAGGCAATTTAAAAAAAATCTAAATCAGACACAATCTGAGCTCGATGTTCATTGATGTAATAATATATGAGTTATCTTTTTAAAAGATAATGTTAAAAGAACTAACAGGCGATTCTACGACAATAAATAAAGCAACTAAATCAATTAAAGCAACGTGAACTCTATTCATGTATATATAGATGGTCAACTAAATCAATTAAAGCAACGTGAACTCTATACATGTATATATAGATGGTCAATTTGTAATACATTTTTGACCAATATGGCTTTTAGGTAAGGGTATTATTTACGATATAGTCTATGATAGTCCATATTTGCCCTTTAGTCTAGAATATTGTGCATTTAAAGAACTTTCAGAAACATTATACATATAAATTTTGTTCAATTATCGCCAAAGTTTTTCGAAATACATACGCATTTCTGTCTAAAGTGGTATTTCGAACTTAGTAAGACATCGCTTGTTATGGATAATAAAAAAAACCCCTTGTTTATATGTGATACTATGGGGACAGATGTGACTATCCTGGTCACGGACTCCAAATAAGACCTAGGCTGTGACACTATGGATGTGACACTTTCGTCTAGGACTTTCTTTGACTTCACGTTGTGGGATCAATTATTTCAATCATCAATTAACTGACTCTGGAACACTGTTTATGTTGTTATGTTGTGGGTATGATATTCCCCTCCGAACTCCGAATGATGCCTGAAGGGAAATACAACCCCGCTCTGTCTTATATAGAAAGTATAGATGCGTCAGCTATTAGGGCGAGACAATTACCATTTTAGGGTAAGTGTTTCGTATGGGCACCGTTTTACGTCAAGACGTCAACATTATATTTAATTGTACTAATCTGTGCACCAGCTGCCTGGAAGATAGTAACCCCCTTCTAGAAATGGATACTGGCATAAATGTCAGTGAGTTAGACTAGGAAAGTAGTAGAATAATGCAAGCTACTTCATTAGCCTAGTTTTCGTCACACATCATGTAGGTAACGTATTTCTTCTTTAAACAGAATACCTTTCATAGATAAAAAAAAAATATAAATAAATAAAAAAAAAAGAAAAACAAAGAAACTTATTTATATTGGTCTATATTTTGTAAATATAACTACCATTGTGAGTCTTTATATGCTTCATAAATAGTGAATATAGAAGGTTACCGCGTGAACTTAAGACATTAATAAATGTGTCAAAAAGACACGCCTTTAATATCAAAACATTTTGTAATTTATACACTTTCTGTCTCTAATATTTACTCTGTACAATAACAACACAGTTACTACGTTATAAATAGAACTTATACCATTATCAGTCGTGTTTAACTTACAATAAAAAATTTCACATTTAGTGTCGAACACTATAATAATACATTATTAAAGTTCACAAGTTCGTAAAGTAAAGCAATCCATTCATACTCTCTCAAAGCAATTTCCCGTTTGCGGGCGAATAAGTGATTTTATACGCATTTGGCATCTAGACTCTCCTTTTAAAATTGCAAACGAATGTTTATACGGAAAGTCCAGTCCATGTAAAGAATTTGGTTCTGTATTACTCATCCACGAACAAGAGTCGCCAATCGACTTTAGAAGGACGGAAACTTACGAACATCATCGTTAATTTCCGGCGAGGAGTCTATATATAACACTGTGAATAGCAGACGACAAATACATTAAAGAAAAGAGTTTCACATAGCGAGTATTCCTACTGTGGGCAGTTGACAATATTTCTATTCGTTTCGTTTTCTATCAACAAAAATGTCACGACGTCCAGAATTACCCGATGGGTATCTTGGTGCCCAAGAAGAGATGGCAGAGGTTGGAATGACACCACTTTCGCATAAAAAGGAAGAATTTGAAATTTCGGACAATGAAATGGAGATTAAATTCAATTTGTCGGATCCAGTTAAAGTTACTACCAATCTCATTAAATGTAAAACCGATAAAGACGTTAGTGAATATGTTTTTGTTCAAATGGAAAAGTCCGCCATCAGTTTCCAAATCGGTTTTCCAGAATCTGGATATTACAAATTTCAAATTTTTGCTCTTCGTCAATCGAACAGCAGTAAATCTTTACCAAATGTCTACAATTATTTGATTCACTGTAAACAAGCTTTAAATCCAGTTTATCCCTGTCCCAAACAGTATGTGGAATTTAAAAATGGATGCTACCTGTACGAACCAAAGTTTTTGAATTCTTCAGTTCGCCTCAGAGGTGTTAATTTTAAGGTAAGCCTAAAAGGAATTATTCGCAAAGTACGCTTTATTGAAATTGAACTTATGAAGCGACATTTAGGCCATCGGCTTTTCGTCCACGGATGTTATGATCATAAAAAGAGTTTAAATAGTTACTCAAGAGTTATTAGCAACTAAAAATTTACTTGTATTGCCTGAATTATGTTTTATAAAACGTAAATATCCCCATAAGTTCCTTGATAACCCTAACCGTAGAACATTATTGGTTAGGTTAGGTGGTTGATCCAGGCCCTATATGGCGATTGTCTAGTCTCTTATCACGCATAGGTGTGTGGCCCGGTGGAGGTGGTGTGGTGTGTGGTGTGTGTGTGTGTGTGTGGGGGGGGGGTGTTACCCTAACTCTTAGTTGTTTTGCTGAAATGCTGAAAGATGGAATTACTGTATCACTGAAGACGAGTAGAGACTAACAACTTGGGTTTGGTTAGGATAATTGGGTTTCGCCCGACCGCTCAATAATACACAATACAGTTTAACTTCCCAACTGTGGGACTAACGATGAGTGTGGGAATTATTTCATGTTGCAATATAGTCACACCACAACAAGGATAACAAGTTTAAGGAAATAAACGAATAACTGCCTATCGTTAATGAAAATGAAGGAAGTGAAATTGGGCCAATTAGGCATTGAACGTGTGCGTTGACTATTTCGTACTGAATATATAAATTTATCTATAGATCAAGATGCAAAATACTGATTTGAATCTTAAAGGAAACTGCTGGAGGCTATGTTAATTTATAAAATATGCAGGCCTGAATACTTTGTAAGGAAAATGACATTAAAAAAGCAAATAATAGTGAACCTAAAAATTCAATTTTAATCGGTGATTAAATGGGAGGAACTTCGTGGGAATAAAATTTGTATCTCAGCTTTATTTCGAAAGAGATGTAAATTAACCAATGGAACTTACAAATCGCTAGCTTAGATTGAAGTAGTATATACAATGGTTTTTGATTTAGGTCCATCTCATGGGGTCTTCATTGAGAAGAATTATGGACACATTGTATCGCAAAGTGGCCCATATGGATCTCTGGAAACGACTGGCACTAATTTAGATTAAAGTTAGTGAACTATCAGGCAGACTCTCGATCAATACTTTATTCATTTTCGGTTTCTTAACAGCTAAGATTAGCAGATATTATGGGTGGACTAGTTTTATATTCATACTAGCCGGCACAGCACGGGAATAGGTATGAACCGGAAGTAGCATAACTCCAAAACTGGAAGTAGTAGTCCATCGCCACCAGGCATATGTTACCCCCCACTACGAGCTACCCCTATACACCAAATTTCAGTCTCGGAACAGCCCTAGTGTAGCCGCCAACTCTGAACAGACAGACAGACAATCAAACGACAGTCACAAATATTAGTATATAAATAGATTAGGCTTGTAATTGGAATAAAAGATGTGTCAATTATTCTTTGAGTAAAAGCTATAAATGAGAGATTAGGGTTATATTGAGTTAGAAATGACCGATTAGGGTTATATCGAGTTAGGGTTGTAAGAAATAACAGACTAGGGTTATATGACATTTTAGGGTTATATCGAGTTAGGGTTTTAAGACACGACAGATTAGTGTCAATCCGAGTTAGGGTTAGATGTCATTTTTGACAACCTAACTCGATATAACCCTAAACGGCCTTTCCTTAGGGTTTTATCGTGTTAGGATTGTAAAAAAATGACATATTAGGGTTATATCGAGTTAGGGTTGTAAGAAATGATAAGTTAGTATTATATCTAGGGTTAGGGTTGTAAGGAATGACAGCTTAGGGTTATATCGAGTTAGGGTTGTAAGAAATGATAAGTTAGGATTATATCTAGGGTTAGGGTTATATCGAGTTAAGGTGTAAGAAATAACAAATGTTGAGGTTATATCCAAGGTGTAAGAAGTAACAGATATTGTGGTTATATGAAGTTATGCCGTGCTCTTTTGAAAGAAACGAGAGGAAAAGGTTATATCGAGTTACGGTGTAAGAAATGTTAGATTAGGGTCATGTCGAGTTAGGGTAGAAAGAATTGAAAGATTAAGGTTATATCGAGTTAGGGTTGTAAGAAATGGGTGATTAGTGTTATGTTGAGTTAGGGTTGTAAGAAATGACAGATTATGGTTGTGTCGAGTTGGGGTTGAACGAAATGACAGATTAGGATTATATCGAGTTAGGGTTGGTTGTAAGAAAGGGTCAGGTTATGGGTATATAGAGTTGGGGGTTGAAAGAAATGACAGATTAGGGTTAGATTTAAGAATTTGGGGGAAAGGTTTTGCACGGTGTTGTGGTTTAAATATGGGGTTAGGGTTAGTCTCTAAAACCACAAATTTAATCTAGGTTGAAGTAGTTCAAACGCTCAGTTTTGAAATGATATATACTTCAAATGGTAAACGGGCATTTTCCATGTGAAATCAAGAATCTAGTTTACTTTTTTCTATGGCGAATGATAAAAATAACAAAATCATGCTGTAATGTTATCATTTAAATAACCCTTAAGATCGAGTTTTTATAAAATTAACTGACTTCCACAGGTCGTATCTTTATAAATTATTTATATAGTTACAGGTTTATATGAAATGTTTTTGCCATTTCTAATTTCACCAATTGCATGTCGTTCTGTACCATGGAAGGTTCCTGATATCTAGATTTTTTTATATGCCTTTATGTTTCTTGTAGAAGTGGTAAATATTAAATTCTTGAAACAATGCCAGGAAAATACCATTGAATTAAAAGCTGGCTTTGATAACATGGTTCAAGGAACACATTCGATGCCATATCCAAACAATTGATGTGGGGGAGACAGAGTCGCGGTGGTTTGGGATGATTTTGGCAATATTGTGTCTCGTGAGAAATTATTTTCAGTATGAGTAAGCTCTCTATTATTTGTTATTTTTATAACTGAAGACATTCATCAATGTCAATTTCAGTGTAAAACAGAAGTGTCCGTCAAAAAGATGTCCCACCTTACGTGTTATTTTGTCTAAGATGAGCAAATGCTCAGTTAATTTGGGTGGGTTTTTTTTGTTTGGTTTTTTTTTTGTTGTTTTTTTTTTGGGGGGGGGGGGTGTTTTGTCTATACATCATTTGGTTTCCCTTTAACTATTCAGCAATTTTCGTCACGTTCTTGAGATAGTACTGAAATCTTGGCTCATAACATACTTATCTTTAATTATGAACTACTTTACAATACGCATCCTTTATTGTATTGCCAAATTCACCTTTATGAATATTTAAGAGCGCCATCTTATCTGAAGGTTTTCTCACGTGTACAGTTTAAAGAGATATAGAGTGTCATAAATGCAGCTGTGTAATTCATATTCTCATGGATAGTAAACAAAATAAATTGCAATGGTTAAAGTTAGTTTAAAGGAGCCACCATATCGTAGAATAATACGTTTTAATTATATGTGGAATACCGTACCCTTTATGTTTGCAACTGGCCTTTCTTTATGTGTCGTTGACGACAGGGTTTCCAATTGCAGGATTCGGACCCTTTTCAAGTGTTGCTGGTGACCATTTTTCTCACCACAACGGATGAAATAGCCGCTCTTATCTGGTCATATACATTTTAGAGTACCTCAACATTTTTAAAGGAAATTTTTAAACATTAATATACATCTTGACAAATTTACATGCAGTGATATAATAGGAAGAATCCTATTAATTTCAACGATTTCCGATACTTTCTTTCAGAGTCATTGTCTTTGATCCCCATTAATATTTTGGGTGCTCTAAAAGTTGAAACGATTCCCTGATGACATCAAATTTCTCAACAATGCTTATGTTCAAAATTTAACGATTTCTAAAAATAACTTTATGGGTTGTTGCCCTTGATTACTTGTTATTGTCTTGTAATTACCCCAGTTATCTATAACAGAATCACAGTGCCACAACTTTTAGTAACGTACTGTACAGACGACATAATTGGTTGTTGTGGTTTATGTATTGTTGTCTAGTAACTTAGCTTTTAAAAAGACCTTTGAACATGCACAAAACATAGGTAACATGGGTGTTTATATAGTCGTTTTATACTTTACAGTTTTCGTATCGAACGCTCTCGTATGAAACAGGCTTATTTATCAGCCTGTACAAATCAAAAAACACCAAAGGCTATAAAAAATTGTCTTTCGTGGGTGGCCAATTGACCAACCAATCACAATCGAGAAATAACCATCTCCGGTGTAACAGACATGGCCAAACATATTCCACGCCAGTGTTGAATGGATCAGCCCAGAAGTTGAGAATTCACAGTGATTGGGATGTTCATTCAAAATACAAAATAGTTCGATTTTTTTATATTTTTGGACAGCTTTTTCTTGTTACCCTGCAGCTTCAAGGAGCTAAATCGCTAATATTTGGGACCTAGAAATTGACACAATGGGTAGCAACGTATATAATAATGTAATATGAATGTATATAAACTGATTTACATTAAATCGTTTCTGTTTTACTGTAATTTCTAATCAGTTATGTTTGGCGAAGTAGCGCCTGGTTATTCCAGTCTACACCGATGGTATTTATCGCGCATGCTCTCCAGATAAGAATTGGGGTTGGGGGGGGGGGGGTAAGTATGGCCTGTGGTCAAGAGTGTCACGCTTTGACCTCTAGCTGGCCGGTCACGCCTGGCTTGCGGTTGCGGTTTCGATCCCTGGTGGTATGAGCGTATGTGGTTTGTAGATAGGAGCGCCCTCGATCTCTACCACGTGGGTTTACTCCAGATACTCCCCGGTTCCCACCCACGGGAAAGCCCCTGCGCATGCGCTAAGATAATAAAAATGTAAATAAGACAATAAGCGGATGTTAAACACTAAGTACAACAACATATAAGAATATGGGGTCAGCGTTTGACATGACTTGATGTCTATCCTCGTTCCCCGAGTCCCTGTTACAAATGGGGCTGAAATGTTAAATTTTGTCTTAAATATTAGATAAAAGAAGCCCATCTTTTCCCGGTAAGATCACAACAGCAATGTTGATTTAAATTGACAAATAATTCGTGTTTTCAATGACAATGTCGAAGACTTAGCTACTTTAAAGTAGAGGCAGCTCTAATTTGAGAAACTGCCATGACAGGTTTTTGAACAATTTAACTTTTTATAAAGATACTTACAATAAAACTACAAACAAACATATAGACGTATGTAGAGCAACTTGTATCATGGTTGTCTGACTGAATAAGGATTATAAAGAACAGAAGAGCAGAATAATTGGTGGGTGTAGAGTTGTTTCATCCGAGAAACATTATCCAAGTCTGTGTCAACATCCATCTTGTCTGTTGAGTCATTTACTTGATAGAGAAAGTCTGAGAATAATTCAAATTAGTTTAGCAAAAATGCTAAATAGATAACTCATTTATAACTGTAATTGTTTTAATGAGGGGGAGAGAGAGGGGGTGTAACGACGTCCACTCGACACAAACTAGGACTAACATTTCGGGACTAACATATGGTTCAATTTTATTTCAATAATTCGCTTGCACGTAGGGGTCTTTAGCAGTGGGAGGAAACTGGAGGACCCGGAAAAAACCCACGAGGTTGGACAGGCGACCATACTCCTTGTCACGTACAACCGGGGAATCGAAACCACGCCAGTTGACTCAATGACAGAACTTACGATACAGCACGCACGTGCTTAACCATTCGACCCCCCTGTTTTAATGGCCATAACGTTTTTATGGAATTGATTTAAGTATCTTTCAGTGCCCTCATAGGTTTAATTGGGTATGCTCTCATATTTTAAAAATGCGAAACATGCATGTAAGCCCCCCCCCCCCCCCCCGGCACGTGAACAGGAGTAGGGTCGCTTGCCCAAACTCGCGGGTCTTCTCCGGGCTGCCGGTTTCGATTTACTTCCTCTTTTTGAGGTTGTGGTAGCGTACACGAAAAAGAAACATAGAGAGCTGAAATTCCAGGAAACAATCTTCTCTCCAGATTTGCTTGATATCAGAATACCTGCATGTATATCAGTGCCACTGTTATATAAGAATCTTCAGTAACCATGCCAAATATTTTAACAACAATGTAACGTGGTTAATTTCAATTCCAAATAAGTTTTCATTTGAGGGGTTCTTGAGAGTAATAAGATCTTTACAGCTATTTCAATGACGTAACTCAAAACATTTTTTTTTTAAAGTGGGTTCTTGACAGCCTATATAACATTGTTTCAAAGATAACACACGTCTAACATTTAGAATTTGACTGGGTGTGTAGACGCACTGTAAAAAACAAAATGTTGATTATAATAAATATTACGAAACTAGTTTACTTGACATCTAAATAAAACATTTCGAACTAAGCTGAAAAGACAAAGTTCATCAGGATAACCATAATTAAAGATACATTATGTAAGATTAGATAAAGAGCTGACAGTTCTCACTATAATGGTGAGCCTCGCTATCGTCGCTAGAAGAAAAGTGTAGCCTTGATTGTCATTGCAACTGTTGTTACGATAATAAACAAAGTCGCGATTATCCAATTTTACGGTAACCACATCAACCGCAAAACGCATTTAAATCTGTTGAAAATCTAAACGATGGTCTTTCTAAAATAATTAATGTCTAATTAATAATTTCAATAACATTTAGTTTGCAATAGACAGATTTAGATCTTGCATAATGCCTGATTAATATACCGTAAAGCATTTTAAAGCCGATTTCTACCGCTTATCACTACCCCATTTGGATCCGCCACTGCAGGTTTAAATCACTGACAAACGATCGTTAAAGTGCTCTTACTTTAAATTACCTTAATTTCTTTTTTTTTCTAGTGCTGAAAAGAAAGTTACATAAATAGGTTTTGAATTATGATCAACAGCTGGATCGTATTATTTAATTTAACTTTAACTTTACAATAGCTGCGCCAATCAATTATCTAATCAGCGTTTTACCTGTATTTACCTGAACCTGGGTGTAACAGATAGTATTAGTCATCAACTATTCATACAAGGCCACATATCTGATTTGATTCTTATCCGAGTCAAAGCGACATGACGTGAAATATATATGTTTCATCATATTCTTTATGTTTTTGACTAGGAAAAGTTAGAGGGCGCAGGATATTGATGTCAGTTTGGTTGGATTTTTTGGTGTAATTACGTTTCCCTTATATGCTTTAAATTGCTTTAAAAGTTGTGTTTTATGGCCGTATGACCCCCCCCCCCCTCCACACCCGTAAGCCAATGATTAAGCTAGTTTGGGCCTTTTACTAAAGGGCCTAGAGCTAGATAAATATTAATGATATCTTTTCCAATTCCTCCCGAATGACACGAAAGCGCTGTCTTTTTTCATTTGATCCTTAAAATCGGACAACTGTTCTGATTGTCTGGAAATATTTGGGAAGGTCAGCGTCGTCGACCTTGGCCTTAAAAGTTCAACAAAAGTCCTAATAGAAAGTCACACAGTTAGACCTATTGTTTATTTAGTCCTGAAAAACTAAACAGCAGCAAGTCCGTGAATATTTTGGCAATGGTTTTCACTTACTTTTAAAATATATTTTTCAGATTCATGTACCAAACGCTAACCACGTGGCTATTGTAGCAAATGGAGAATGGACACAGTTGGAAAATAAAGGCAGGGATATCTGGGAAGTTAAAACCAATTTGGATCAGCACAGAAATAAGAACGTGAAAGTTACAGTTAATGCCAACTTTGTCGACGATGAAACGAAATATGCCACTCTCTTGGAATATACAATTTAAACACATTATTATCATTACTAAATCATAATTCGTATTAATGAAAGAAAACGTTGGCTATGTTGTTAATTTAATTTGCCAAGCTATTCAGTTTTACAAACTGTGAAGTTTTTGTTTTTAATTTGGTTATCGTATTTTCATCATTATTATAGTTGCAGATTTAGCATGGCTGATGATATGTGTAAATATTTGATTTTTTAAACACTGGTCAACATTACATTAACTATGTGTATCTATTTTTTTTATATATATATAACTTCATATTAATGGAGAAATCCCGGATGTATTCACTGAATAAAACTGGTTAATTCTACGTGAAAGATTCTTTAACACTTTATCTTAGTCCCAACTATCTGGAGCTGTCGGAAATGTTTTCAAAGATACACTAGTTGTCAGGTGGAGCATGAGACGAGCTTATTAACTAGCAATCACCGTGTGTCTGAGTACATACTTTCGGATAGGGGGCGGGGGGCTGTGAAGAATCAATTTATCAGATCACTCAGTGAAATATTGGACTTGAGCACTCATAATAATAGTTACGCAACCCCTGCGTTGAAAATTTTGCAATTAATATTATTTTACTTGCGCAAAGCCGCGAATATTGTATCAATTGTATCTGTAAATAAGAATTATCGCGGCTACAAATATTGCAGCTAACAGACGAACAGACCCATTGTTAACCGATTCGTATTGTCCCCCGCCTTGCGGGGGACTATTAAAATGGGTCCGCCCGTTTATCTGTCTGTCACACCTTTTGGGACACAATAAACCTCCTTCTAACTGAGCGAGAATGTTCAAACTTGGTGTAGGTGTTTATTACGTGAATGCCTTGATGGAGTTCGAAGGTAAGCATTTCTGCTTAGGGTAGGCAGAGATAAACAATTTGATTGGTTGATCCATGCTTTGGGACACAATAACTGTAGTTCTAATTAAGTGAGAGTGATAAAACTTGGTGTATAGTTTCATTACATCAATACCTTGACTAAGTTCGATAATAAGCATTTTCTGCTCAGGGTAAGCAGAGCGATTAGCCATTTGATTGGTCGAGACTTTGGAACACAATAACTCTTCTTCTAATTGAGGTATAGAATGTTCAAACTTGTTGTAGGCGTTCATTATGTTCAAACTTGCTGTAGGCGTTCATTATGTGCATGCTTTGATAGAGTTCGAAAATGAGCATTTTCTACTTAGAGTAAGCAGAGATAAGCGATTTGATTGCCTGATGCTTGGGGACAAGATAACTTTAGTCCTACTTAAGCAAAAGTGATGAAACTTGGTGTATAGTTTTATTGCATCAGTAGCTTCACTAAGTTCAATAATGAACATGTTCTGCTGAGGATAAGCAGAGCAATAAGCAATTTTATCGGTCGAGACTTTGGAACACAATAACTCTCCTAATTGACGTAGAGTGTTCAAACGTGGTGTAGGCGTTCTTGACGTAGAATGTTCAAACGTGGTGTAGGCGTTCATTAGGTGAATGTCTTGATAGAGTTCAAAGGTGAGCATTTCCTGCTTAGGGTAAGCAGATTTAAGAAAATTGATTGGTTGCTGCTTTGGGGCATGATAACTTTAGCTCTAATTAAGTGAGAGTTATGAAACTTGGCGTATAGTTTCATTACATCAATACCTTCACTAAGTTCGATAATGAGCATTTTCTGCTTAGGCTAAGTAGCGATAAGCAATTTGATTGGTCAGGACTTTGCAACATAACAACTCTGATTTTAATTAAGGTAGAATGTTTAAACTTGATGTAGAGTTCAATGATGAGCAGGGCTAAGCAATTTCATTGGTCGATGCTTTAGAACAAGATAACTTTGATTCTAACTGATGGAGAGGGATGTAACGAAGTGTATAGTTTCACTACCAGATATTTCAAAACCTTGACCGAGTTTGATCGTGAACATTTTATGCTTAGCCTAGACTAAGTATAGATAAACAATTTGATTGCTCAATACTTTTGAAAAAGATAAATGTGCAATTAATCAATATGTGTCATCTATTTATTTTGGGAATTCGGCGGGGGGACATTGATTTGTTCATTTCCATTTTGACCCACACACACGAAATGTTGGTTCCGCCGCTGCATAAAGGGTTTAACTATATTTGACTTAATCTTCTTTTTTTTTACCCATAAAGTAAACTGTTGAGATTCATGGCCAAAAAGAAAAGTGTGCGTCAATCATTGTAGAAGATGCTGGCAATTTACCAAGTAATTTTAAAACTTTTATTCACGTTTCTTGAAATTTGAGCTGGAGTTTTCCTAATTCCTAATGAATCTGGAATATTCTAACAGTAAATCTGTACATTCACGGGTAATCATTTTTTTTTTAGAAATTTAAACCGAAATCAAAGAGACCAACTTCATCGTTTGTTGGGACAACTTTCCACACACACTGTATAGGTTTAGTATAGTGTCATTTATATTTGTGGAAAAATTTTCGGTGCTTTTGACTGTGGGTTGCCAGACTTCCATATTAACTTTCAATCATGTTATAATAAAATGGGCGTTACAAACGTTATATCACGCACGTATTGATAAATAATGATAATAGAAATTTCAACAAGAAGTCTAAAGCTAGTGTGACCTACACAATAGATATTAACAAACGACACGGGTACACCGGCGTCTTTCACAGACAAAATCGTATTCCTTTAAGATCTTCATATGTTAAAATAATGATCATGTCTAATTAGAGGTCACGTGAAAACAGTGTTGTTATATATGGGAAAAAATGTCTTTTATAAAAATATTATCAACCATTAATTAACCATGTCCACTAAACATTACTGTAACCCTAACCCTGTTTTACAATCCGCTGCGTTTACATCTGATGATTTCAATCACCACATTTGCATTACTGGACTTGGTACCAATGACATCTCCGAAGTGCGTTAATATATTCTAACGGTAAGATAATTAAAATGGCTAGAAAAGGTAACGTGTAGGTTATATTATCTATCTGTATTGAAAATAGGGGATTATGTTTACCCTCGAATGGTAAAGGACTAGTTCAACCCACCTAGAGACCGTGCTTTTAAGTGTGTTCGTCATTCATGCCACCTTCTCTTAATTCAACATTTAACTTAGAAAGGTCACGTGTTAAATACCTACCAAGACTTTCTTTAATTTACCTGTCTAAATTCTACTATATTTGATAAAGGAGAGCATTAAGGGAACTGGTTGGTTGTTAACGTTAACTGCGATTTAATTAGAATAGCTGTATAATGTCAGGTTAAAAGCTACATAAATATTGTTGGTTTTTTTCTACACTGAGAATTAATTTATATACCGTTACATGCCCTGCATTAAATACAAAAAAAACCCCAACCCTACAGGCATAACATGACAAAGATCACGTGTCCATTTTTTTTTATCCAAGCTCTGGAGGATATATCAATCAATCTTGATTTTCTCTATTGCATTATAAATATTTGAAATTACGTGCGTCGTGAATCAGAGATCTATTGATTTTCTTTAAAAAGGTTTATAGTCAAGTGTGAGTCAAATGTTTTCAATATATTTTGTTATTAAATCGGGAAATGATTTGATTTATTATATTTATACTACGATTCAAATATGGCAACCGTAAGTTTTATCGGCCATCGAGATTTATATGTTGAGTCAATATTCAAAAAAAAACCCAAAACATTAAAACTATGAATATCTCTTAAATCCAACAAAAAATATATTTCTAGGTTAAGAAGGCATTAAGTAAACTATAGATAAAGGGCAAAATATATAATGAAAACATAAATATTTCAGTTAAATTACTTTGTTCTGATTGAGGTTATGAATTTTTCACATGAAATGACCTAATTGCAGATTGTCAGTGCTTATACTCTAATGGTAAGTTTCATGTGCTACGATAATAAACGAAGTCTCGATTTTCATTTCTTCATAAAATATTATCGTTTAACGTAAATATGGCGGGCATTGTTTGATCCTCTCACTTTCTAAGCCATCCTGTGAAAACATTAAAAGCCCCCCTTTAAAAACCTACTGGTGGGCGGGTACCAGCAACCTTATATGTTCAAGTTATTTGTGAACTAGAAGTGAACCACTGTATGCTAAGGCGTCTGATATCACAGAAACGTGCTATTAAGTGTCAAGTCGTTTATATACTGCCCCTTAAGGCGCCTCTCCCGTGGACGTAATGCCTAATAATTCACTTAAATAGTTCTCAGATTACCATAAAAGCTTTTTTAAAAATTGCAATATGCTATCAGAATGCAATAGAATAATCCCAGCTTAAATATAGCAATGAAAGCTAACAAGAATCTATTCACATCATCGAGTTTTACATTTCCCATATCCACTTTAACTATACAAGATTTATAGGTTTTGTATATAATAATACGTGAATACAGACAATCTGTTTTCTATGCTCATATTGTCAATATTATTTTACAGGCGTCAATCGAATGGCTAGGAAATACAATACGCTATTTGACACTTTCACTTTGTTTGAATAGCATATTAATCCAGGGCAAAATAATTGTACAGAAATTCTGTACATTTTTATTCAAATATAATGTATAATACATAAACAAGATATTGACGAATGTTAAGTGTGGATATTGTCTTCAGTTCGTATCCTAGAGATAAACGTTCTATTGTGTTAGTCAAATATAAAAATACACTATCCATCTTCAACATAATATATAAATATTTATAACATACAGGTGGTTGAAGGACAGATTTATTAGCTTACTCTATTCCTAATATTATTTCCATAATACATGTAAATGTTTATTTCCAATGCATATTTTGTCTGTATAACTAATCTGCAAATCCTAATGAAAAGGGAAACATTTCATTGTTTTAATGATGCCAGAGAAACCAAAGGTCAATGCCATATAATTATATGCAGGAAGTGCGCCGTTATAACAAAATTAATTGATTTAATTCATTTGAATTCGATTAGAAATTAGGGACATTATTTTGTGTAGAATCTAACATCAATTACATTAACAAAGGTCAATAACGTAATAAAATCCGAAGCTCTGGAAGTATATGCGAGAAGGTAATGTATTATGTTCTCAATATAGATACATGTTCTCAAAGAAAAGTACCCTATAATGACAGGAAAATTCTTCAGTGGGCTATGGTAACTATAATGACTCATCACAGATTTCGTACATTTCACCAAAGAAGAGAATTGACTTATAGCGTGATACCGGTACATTATCAATCACTAATGCAGACTGTGGAGACAGTCAAACCCTGCAATAGCTCGAATAACAGACATTATAGAACCCTTCACACACAGAAACCAATAATTCTGGCGCAATAGACATCATTATCTATTATAAAACAGATGTTAGGTTACATTATTGTCAGATAATATTTTATAATAAAACCAATAATATGGACTATCATTGCCATATAGACTGGCGTTCAGTATGTTTCTATAGATAGTAAGTTGTCCAAAAACTTGGGTACCAAATGCAATTCAAGAAATCAAGAAATAACCCTCCTTAAAGTGGCAACAAGCTTATGAAATATTTTTCTGTCATTAATTAGACAATTGTTAAATATGCATATTAATTGAGAAATTCTAGCATTTTAAGTCCTGCCTTAAATAAAACAACACTCGGTAAGGATAGCAATATGAAAGAAAATGGTTTGGTTGATGACTAATTTAAGAAGTGGGGTTTTCTGACACTTGTTTGAGAAACTGTAGAGGCTTTAGGATACAGCAAGCTGTGAATGGTAATGTTATTTTTTATACTATGCAAAGATCGGATATAATTTGAGTTATACGAATTGATAACACACACTGCTACTTTAAACATTAGAAGTCTAATATTTGTCACTTGGGGACAGATAGTTCACCAATCTATATTCTCTGCTAATAACTGATTCCTATAAATTAAATGGTAATTTTATCACTATTGATTATCTGAAGGATAAGGAAACTATAAATCAATATGGGTTGTATGTTGTTTAATACAATGATAAAAGCAGATTATTTTGATTAAGTACTTTATCAGAACCAATAAATCCATTTTGTTAATTTCCTAAAGAATGATTTTACTGAATTACAGGTCAGCACTACTTGACTCAGCCTGTCCTGATTGTGAGATCTCGGTAATTACAGATTATTTTTAAATCAATAATATTTATTCCCTGACCAGATTAATTACAGAAATACAGTCAACAGTTCATAAGCAGATTATATGAAATTGGATCGGCAGAGTTACTGCCCTTGTTGATATTGACGTGCACTTAGAGTTATTTCTTGTATAATGTGGAAGATCAGTTGTTGCCAGACTACCATACCCCCTTTCAAATGTTGACATATAAAAATGAGAAATATTCTTGTGATAATTTTTTATATACATTAACAATTGGGATAATTCACTATATACATAAAATATATTTTACATATTAATACATAAGAAAATAAATATTTTGTATAATGTATGACAAAATAATGTATTAAAGTTACATTTTTACTTTCTAACAAAAGATTTTTGTGTAAAAAATGGACAGATAATATACATTGTACTAAACATTAACAAAACAGCTTCTAGCAAGTAACAAAAATACATTTAATATTTATAATAATTAAGTTAAGCCCCATTTTCTTTCATATTTATAACAGAGAAAAATAATGATCATAATAGACTATTAACTATAATATAGTTTAGCACTCTAATCAAAATACACTAATAGAAATGAATGTTGGTTGTGTTGACCATTGTGCACAAAGATTCAATGTGACACAATTAGAAACTGTTCTATCTCATGTTTTTAGCCCTTCAGAGGAAGAATTTCAATTAAAGCAAACAAAGAATAATTTTGGCAATTAATTATTTGTAGAAATCCATGGTCTGATTGCAGATAAAGCCAATTGCTTTGCTGGTTGCTGTTGTTACGCTTTGGGAGATGGCTCCAAAAATTGGCATTTACTCTACATTAACAACATATAATAGTGTTCAATCTACCCATTTAATTAGCCAATGAAGTTATGCTAAGTTTCAGAATTAAAAAAGAAACTACTACTATAATATGCTGATGTGTATACAAAGTTTTGTATACAATGATTTTGATTGGTTCCTGAGATATATTCCTGGTATAAAACCGGGATGGAACAAGAGAGATCATTTTAATGTCCCTCCCTGTAGCGTCGTTTCGGCATGGACTAATACAGATCTAAGTTTAATTAAATGCACAGTAATATCCATTATCTATATCTGTGTATCAAGTTTGTAATAATGAAACCAGTATTTTAGATCTTTCTACCAATCTCTGACACTTTATCTTGTCTTTACCAACAGAATCTTTTAAAACTGCTATTTCTTTTTTCACCTGAAATCATAAAGTATATTTCCAATGTCAAAAATATATTGGTTCAGTTTTTATTTGACTGCTTTCAATAAAATGGTCCAGTCCATTCAGTCTAGGGCCATTCCAAACCATATAATTGTCAGTTTTAAATTCTAATGGCCTTGGTGTTTAAACCTGTTAATGATATAAATACCACAAACCTCTAGTAATTCATGTTGTACTTCTTGCTCATCAATATCATCATCATCAATCTTAACATCATCTTTTAACCACCTAGATAAATGTTTACATTGTTTTTGTAAACTCCTGAAACACAAACATATTTTAATATATTATTATAAGACTCATTCTTTTTATACTAAAACTGAAATAAAATCACAGACATTATATATCCCTAGTAGGTAGCTGAGATAGTTGGTTGTGAAATCTTTTTCTTCTACAATCTGTTGTATCTAGTTCTATTCTCACCTTCATGTGACAACCTCTGAAATTTAAATTCGAGCTTAACAAAATATGTGGATACTGAAAGATAACTCAATGCCTCCATATTTTCTTGTATTTCATTCAGTAATACCATGACACAATGAAATGAATGTTTGAGAATGAATGTACAAGACATGGTATAGAAATGCTCAATATTTTAACATACAATTAGTAGGACTGTTAAATACAGAAATTAATTTGTTTTTATGTTCTTTAAATGAAGAACTTACTTTAATCGCTTTTGATCCTCTTCCAATATTTTAAGAGTGTTTCTTATATAGATCAATTCTTCATGACAAGTCATATCTTTCTCTCTTTCTCTTTCTGTTGGTGCATTTTCCTGACTTACTGAAACACTTCCTTCTTTATCAGAATTCAGGCTTTTCATAAAGTCACCTGGTTTTAATAGAGTTATTTCATTTGTTTCAAGTCTTAAAGTGTCATGGCCACCAGACAAAGTTGATAAGGCAAGGGTTGACTGTCTTAAATCATGTCTGCCTGATAAAGGAGATGAATGTAATATTCGTTGTTCTACTGTTAAGGAATATTGGTTACTGGGAGAGATGCTACACCTGCCTTCTGCATACTGAGAATTCTGGGTAACATTCTGAGGTGTTGATTGGTTGTTTTCAGGGGGAGACAATTCCAGATGTCTTTGATTTGAAGAAACTGCATGATTAGATGGAGATGCTACAACAGACACCATTTGTTCTCTTACAACATTTTCAACCAAGTTTGAGGCTGGCTGTACATGATCAGGCCTAACATTATCTTCTCCATCTTCATTTTCTTCTTCACAAATCTGTGGTGAACTAAAAACACAAGAAATTAATTCAACCACAAATAATCAATTTTAAAAAATGAAATGCAATGGTGTTTAACGTCCTACTGTTCTGCACCGACTGGGTTAATGAAGATGGGCCTACGCAATACAGTGTGTTATAACGAAATTTTTTCCACGACAGCAGCACTGGGGCCTTCACTTATTTCGAATCAGAACTGCCAAGGGTTCTTTTACGTGCACAATAATGTGTACGTGGGACCTTGGTTTTTCATCCCACCCAAATGACTATACGTTGTCCCTTGCCAGACCCTCCATCCTGCACCACGTACAAAGAGGAAATGAAATGGGGTTTAACATCCTACTGTTTTGCTCCGAACTGGGTTAATGAAGACGCCATACAGTGTGCTATGAGGGAAATTTTGCACGGACAGCGACCCTACAGCCTACTCTTTTATCGAATTCAACTGTCAAGGGATCTTCTACGTGCACGCCAATGTGTACACGCGATCTCGGTTTTGCGTCTCATCCGAATGACTAGACAGCTGTCTTCGTCCTGCATCACTGGAAAATCGGGATGAACTTTCTCGGCCAATGCAGGGATCGGACACCCGACCTCCAGGCTAGCAAGCCAGAGTCTTACCCACTTAGCCACTGTGACCCCCATGTACAAAGAGGACTGAAGTCGGAAAATCACAATGTCTATTTAGAAAATCAAGCAACTTTGTCTAGTATTGTTTACAGTCATATCCTCATGCCTCATATTCTACAACAAATCCAAAGAAGTGCTGAAATCAGTTTTCATAAAAACATTTTGATACAGCTGTTATGTTTTCTTTCTAAATTACAATAGTTTGTCAACATGGTTAAAAACCTGAAGATTTCATGTACAGAACATGGGGTATATAGAATGTGCTTAACTGTAATTACTCTTAAATTAATACCACTGTGGTAACAAGCTAACAGTGAGACTGATGTCACCTGCCTCAATACCAAAATAAATAGATGACAACTATTTATCTTTCTATTAAGCATCACTTTGATTTATATAACCTGACCTGAAAATTATGATTATTGAACTTATTGAAGGTTTTAGATGTAATAATATTATACACAAATTTCATCACTCTCACACCATTAGAGTCTGAACATTCTACCTCAATTAGAAGAGAGTTATTGTGCGATGAACTCACAAATTCATTTTAATAGTCCCTTGCTTTCTTTGATTGTTCTTAGGACCCTGTATTCTAATCGCAAGCTTTATATGTTTTGTAAGGAATACCAGCAAATCCAGCATCTAGATGTAATAAGGTGGAGTTACAGATGAGCTTTTTGAATAACAATTGCTTTGTGCCTAGATAAACCTTTCTGTAACTTTGAAATATCTTTCAGTTTTTTGGGAGACACATCAAAATGAAAAAAAAATATAGTTCATTTAATGTATGAATAATAATTTATCATATATTGTTCTATTTTTCTTACTTGTCAATTAATGATGAAAATAAACCAGCTTTCTTCAGAGAATCAACTAGAAAAGCTGGACGTCTAGGTTTGGGTCGTTGTCGAATTAACTGGGACGGTTCTCTGAAATTGAAAAGTTAAAATTAAATGTTTCAAAGTCAAAATAAACTTATTAATTACAACATTTTAAATTGTAAAGGACGCCTGACTTTACCAAAATATTAAATTTCAAAAGATGTTTGTATGATGTAAGACAAAAATTATGATTTATTCCCTGGAGATTAAAACAAATAAACATGAGTTGCCATGCAATCAAACATTCTTCACCATCACACAAGATTTCTTTAAACAGGGCATAAGCCGCATAGCATTTGAGCTATTTTTCAAACTCCTAAAGGATTGAATCATAATTGAAGCATCTAAAGTGCTAACGATATTTCCTTTTAAAAAAAGGGCATAACTCTGGGAGTTGTTATGGAAATGTTCAAAAATCATTTCAATAGGCTAGACAACCAATATAACAAAAGGGCATATCTCTGGAGGTAATTATTGAAAATTTTTAAAAATCAATTGGCAATTTTACTTCAATTAGATAGTTCAAATAGATAGTCAACCAATATCAAATTATTCAAACATGGAAATATAACGTACTGGTATTGAACATTTTCACTGGTAGTTTTTCTAGAGTCTAATGGGAGGCAAGGGGAGGCAGACGCCATTTTTAATGCTGGAAGATCTGAATATCTAGATGATGCTGGGAAGATAGATGGAGGTTCTCTTGAGGGAAGTATATGCTTTAACTGATTAACTGCTAACTCTTTTGAGGGATCTTTAATGGTCAGTGGCCTCGGTCCACCTCTAATTCTGATATTCTTGATTGTAACATGTTTCCAGTGTAAGGCATACTTCTGAAGTAGCTGATATCTGTCATATGCTGTCTGAAAATAAAATAAAATTTTCAAAGCAGAATATATTACGAAATTAAAAGGAAAGCGGGAAAGAAATCCCCAACAACCACTAACCAAAATGTTGTCTTATTTGTTACAATATTTACAGTGTTTCTAAAGAACATCAAAAACTACCCAAGTTGTCTTACAGACAAGTTCCATCTCTCTTCACTACAATTTATGTTTTTAAAAATATTTTGCAAAAACTTTATTTACCTTTGCTTGTTGCTCAGCAGCAAACTTGGACCTCATTTTAGATAAATCATCAGCAACATTTAACCACTGTGAAACACCATTACGTAGTAACCGTGCTCTACGATTACTCATAGCTGTAGCTATTCTTTCTTTCTTACGCTTTCTCTCACCAATATACTGAATCCATACTTCAACAACCTGATAAAATATCATATTTTAAAATATACTGCACCCATACTTCAACAACCTGGTTAAATATATTATAAAACATACAGAATCCATACCTCAACAACCTGGTTGAATATTATAATATAAAACAATCTGAACCCTCTTTTTTATTATGTACAAACATGGGATTAGAATGCACAGTTAAATCGGTCACTCAAAATAAGTTGAAATCAAACAATACTTAATGATTATATATCATTATGTTTTCTCCTACCTTTTTTTGTAGATTTAAACTCCAGTGCCATAAGGCTATATGAGTTTTCTCTTGTGTTTTTTCCGCTTCTATCAGATATTGTTTCCACAGTAGATAATATTTAGCTGTTAAACGGACATTATAAAACCACTGTGATTGTCTGGCTAGTAACTACACAATAAAAATTATATAAAGCATCTTAAAATGGCCATTACAATATAAATAACACCTCTCATTCATAATTTAAATAATAATTTTAAAGGTGGCCTGTCCTGTTGCCCTTTTAAAAACAATACTGTCACATTTAAAATCAAGCTATCTATTGAATATATTTTACATTAATATCCTTTGATATAAGTTAATTAATGGTACATGAACTTACATTTTTACGTCTACTGAGCTGTGTAGATTCTATCCAGGCTTTTATAACTTTTTCACAGGTTTTATTTTCATGATGTTGTGCTGCTTGTTGTAATCTTAGTTTGATTAATATATTTCTATCTTTAGCAGCACACCATTTATTAAAACACTGTTTAACTATCACTGCAATAATATTAAATAAAATACATTCAGACATCATCTTTGTTTTTGGTATTTTAATACAGCAATTGTTTTTACATTTTTGGCATCTTTATTACATGTATTGTCCACTAGTCAAAAAGAACTACATAACTACATATTCCTGCTTATGGCTGGAATTCAAAAGTACCAGGAATTGAATACCATGAAGTGATGAAATGGAGAGTGATTCATGTGTTTATTAGAGTATGTGGAATATGCTTTTTTATCAGAATGACTAATACTCACCTCTCTTTAAATGTTCTCTAGCTTCTAATTCTAGTTTATTAGATTCTGTTTTTTTAAATGAATGTATTACAGCATACCTATGCCATGTTGTAAATACCTATAAAGACACAAAACATGGACTAAGAAATGGAAATATATAAACACATTGTACTCTTTCATAGCAATAGAGTTCTATTATTGAAATTTAAAAAGATAGGGTTGCCAAGCAACAAAACATACAACAACTTAGTCGTCCAAGGAGTCAACAAAGGTTGTCGCATATTGTTATCTTTTGTCAGAAATGAAAACATTTACAACAAAATCTGATTACGAGTAACAACCCATGTGGCTTCTAGTTCTGCCCTACTGTAACATTTAGCATACAGAACATTTAATATCAATTTACATAATCATTTGAATTGATAGGCTTCTTCATCTCATGACCTTAAACACTGTGTATAAATTTAAAGTCAATTGGATATTAACTTTAGCCTCTATAGCCTGGACCGATGGGGGCGACAACAATATACGACCGCATTTCAATGTGGTCGTATAAAAAGAATAAACATGTATCAAACTCCATCTAGTTTGTGTTGTGTTATTGTTATAGATATTGCATAGGCTGTATATTATGATTAATAGAAACTCTATGTATATGATGTGTATTACGATTACTACTTACTATATGTATAAGATGTATAATTACTACTTACTCTATGTATAAGATGTATATTATGATGTAAATCAGCTGTATTATCTTTACACCTCTCCTCTTTCTCTTCTTTAGCATTCTTATACCATTGCTTCAAGGTCATACTTTAATTTAAAATAATTAAAGATATATGAAATTTTGTTGCAATAAATCTTTAAAAGAGAGAGAAATGGGGTTTAACGTCCACTCAACACAAACTAGGTCATTTCGGGACTAACATATGGTTTAATTTTATTTCACTAATTCGGTTGCGCATAGGGGTCTTTAGCAGTGGGAGAAAACCGGAGGACCCGGAGAAAACCCATGAGGTTGGACAGGTAAATCTTTAAAATCTGAAATATTATTTATCTAAATCACACAGAGTATCTCTAAAAAAGATAAAAGTAGTCATTTATTAGTATTTGAGAAAAGAAAGAATATCTGTTATACGGTACTATGATCTCATTATGAAAGCCACATAATTATCATATTACATAAAGGACCCTTGACAGTAGTTTTTCAAAATTGTGTGTGAATGGTTTTCTGTTTGTTTTAAGTTTGGAGTCAATATTCTGCACATCATGTGTTCATAACCTTTCCAAGACCCAATTGGGGGGTCCGGAGGTGGGGGTCCCAATATATGGTCTGTACATACCTTTTAAGTTGTTGACATTTAACTTGGTATCTGTTTTTTACAGCAGTATTTATCTGTCGTGTTTGTTGTATATAGAGTTTAAGATGAATAAACATCAATCTACATACTTTCTTCTTATAATACTTATCAGCTTTCTCTTTTAATCTAGTCTTCTCTTGTCTACTGGCATGATACTATTAAATACAAACAGATTAACTCATAATCTTTAAGTGGCATTTAGTGATAGAAGAACACATTAACAGAACATAATTTCTATGAGAAATAATCACTGGTTTTATTATAAAAACAGGTTTTGACAAGTATCCTCTTGCTGTTATCAAATCCTTTTTCCATCATCATCATATAAATTATAGTTATTTCATGTGCATTATAATAAAGGTATGATAAAAGCCTTCAGAATGACAATAATTGGTCACATTTTTGTATTACAATCAAGCAAGAGTTATTTAGTTTGTGGTCTAAGGGGAGACAAGAGATTCTGCAAGAGTTACCTCCCCAGAATAACTTACCAATGATTTAAACAGGGTTCATATTGTATGCACATGTATGTTTTTTTCTATGTAGTATGTATTATTAAATGTATATGACTATGTCTAAATATATGTGTAATGGACTTTTGATGAAATAAACATCTTTTCTTATCTTCAACTTATGCTAAGCGTATAAAACTGTTCTATCGTACTTGTTTAAGAGTGTTATATTTAACAGTTAATTGTCATTTTATTAAGGACATGGTGGGGTTAGGTTAAACATGTATTATATGCGGTAAATCTGCCTATTGCAGGTCTTTCTTTAGGCCTGAAATGTTATATAAACTATTAATTGGACATTTATTAACATGAAAAGACCATATTAACTCTCAAAGCAATCTTATCTGTTCGATTTTAATTGGATTTGAATCCGATCTACTGTTCAAAGTCCGTACATGATTAAACGCAAAAATGGATAATTGAGACTTAGTTAATTTTCATGACAGTGCTAACAATGAAAATTGAGGATACAGTGATTTTAAAATAAGGTTTTCTCGGCTTAGATTGGAACAATTTGACTGAAATTTTCAAACTTTTTCCTTTACATCATCTAGTTTTTAACTATTATAGTGAGAACTGCCAGCTCTTTATCTAATCTCCCATAATGTATCTTTAATAATAGATATAGATTATTGTTCAAGAAATTAAACAACAGTATTAGATATATCACCAACCTGTCTCCACTGTTTAAAATGTTGTTTTATTAAACACTGATATCTATGCTGTACAGCTTTACCTTCATTTTGTTCACTTGAAAAATATGATAACATAAGATAAAATATGATATAGACTAGTATCCACAGATCATAATTTAGTGACTTACTCAATTTTGCATAAATTCTATATTTTAGAACTAAAATATTAATATTCAGTAGCTGTCTATAACATATTTCCAGTATAATTCTTATTATATTTCATTTTTAATAAATCAAATACAGCAAACTTACTGCGTACTAAGACCATAGTCTCTTTATTGTGACGGTTTAAATCAACATAAAAAATCCTGCATAGCTTGGATGTGTTCACACCAATCAGTTTGAGAATTCAGAAAGGGGGACGAGGAAGTCGGCAGTGAGGAAACACTTTTTTTTTTACAACAATATGATCATTGTAACAATTCTATCAGTATGTATCGGTACGGTTGGGTTTCAATTAGTTTTAATTTCCATTATCAGACTTTTTACAACACAAAAGACAATGCCACCTTTCAATGCCAAGATAACAGATATATACAGTACTTCTTTATTTACCTTTTCTTGACATCTCTAACATGGTCTCTCCAGGCTTGAAAATGTTTCTGACAATTTGTCCAACAACTATGCTCTACAGCTTGTTCCTGAAAATGGAATAAAACAACTTTGATTCCAATCTGATTGACGACAAAAGTGGAATAAATTTTTACATCTCATAAACATTTTACATGAGACTAACAAGTTAAAGAACCACAACAGTGACATATTAGACTGACTAAATGCTACAGAACAAGTTTTCTTCTTTGAGCCTATTAGAAAATAAAATAGTCATTCTTAAAACCAATTTGTCTAAAATAAACAAGAGGCTTTTAATACAAACAAAACTGATATTACGATTAATCAATAACTTATACCTCTTTAACTTGATCTTCAAGCACTTCCACAGTTCTTAATTTCCAATTTTCAAAGAATCTATGTAATACAGTACCATCATAATGTAAAATAGCCTGTAAACAAACAAATATGTAATTGATTTTACAAAAATATCTTAATTTTTTCATGCAGTTATTTTAGAAGTGAAAATTGTGTAAGATTGTTCCCAGATATTACATAAAGCATACTTGTTTGACAAATTTATATAAATTCTTTGTTTACCATTCTTTCTGATAGTCTGTTTTCTTTACTTTGTTCTGTGGAATTAGACCAGAAACAGAAAAATCTAGACAGAACACTCTCTCTGAAAATTACAGAATATATATCAACAATCCATTTTAACAAGAACAGCTCAATCTTTGAGTTAGTATAAATTGATTCAGAGCTAGCAACTATCAGTACTAAATACTGATTTAAGATCAGTTTACAAGTCAAACTATTATCTAGTCTCCTTTGTTAAAAATAACATAGTTTCACTGAGGGCGTTCAGTAATTGTTAGTCACAATAAATATCAAATGCGAAAAGGTAGGGTCTAGACATTTTCACAATCTAATTAAAATTGAGTTATTTTTGCTCTGTTTATCCTGATGGTCACACTATCTTTGTATGTTATTTTACCTATAGAACTGTTGAGATTTCACTTTATTTTCCTTCTCAGTCTTAGACACTTGAACAAAAACTTTCATATAAAACATATATTTAGGCAATTCATGTAGATAGTAATGAGTATCTGCTCTAGTATACTGTGCCTGTAAAGACAAATCAGAATCATATATTTTTGGGGGAATTATTCTATTTCAACTTGAAAGGGAATTTTTTTATTTTAAGGTCTGAGCATGATACATACAAATTAAAGCCACATCAGAACCAATATAAGTCGTTCGAGAAAATTGGGGAAAAAACTATGAGGTTATTCATTTATAACATATAACTTTCACATAGAGCACACACCTAACAACATTCAGTACACCATCTCCCAACTTTATATGGAGATAAGGCACATCGTTCTGTCAAAAATTCAAGCTAATTTAAAAGCATTCGTCTTTTCGTCTGACAATAACACAGCTTTATATTTCAAAGTTTTTGAAACAGATTTTAAAAGATGTTTACCTTTCTGTGATTTCTCCATTCTTTATAGTTGTTCAATGCTTTAAAACATTTAGATAATAAAATCCTCCTAAAATAATATAAACAAAATATTTATTTATTAGAGTGGCATTACGTAAGATTAGATAAAGAGCTGACAGTTCTCGCCATAATAGTTAAAAAATAGATAATCAAAAGAGAATATTATGCTGAAAATTTCAGTCAAATTACTTCAATCTGAGCCTAGGTATTATGTAAGATTTGGATAAAGAGCCGACAGTCCTCGCTATAATAGTTGAAAAATAGATAATGAAAAGATAATATGCTGAAAATTTCAGTCAAATTAATTCACTCTGAGCCTAAATATTAGCAAGACAATTATGATCTAGCCTCGATTGTCATTACCACTGTTGTTACGATAATAAACAAAGTCTTGATTATCCATTTTTACGGTAACCGCATTGACCACAAAAAGTATTTAAATCTACTTATATCGTAGGTATCCGATGCCATTGAGGGTTGTTTATGGTCGTGGTAATTAAGTTAATTAATGTTTATTATGAAACATTTCAGGTCTAAAGAAAGACCTGCAATAAGCAGATTTAGCTCTTGCATAATGCCTGTTTAATAGTCTGTAAAATTAAGTTTTAATTCCAATTGAGCCAACTACTGCTATGATAAATTATAACTACCCATGATGCTTCCTAGCCTTTGATGTTAAAGGTAATAAATCTAACTCTTCGTTTCTCTCACATCTATTTAACCATACATTCCAATATTCATTTATAACCTGGAACAAAGTTCAATTACATTTTCATTAACCATAACAGTTGTCTTGAACAATTATTAACAGACATTGAAACACAAGGTGTATCTTAACAGATAAAATCCCAATAAACTATCATGACATATAATGAAGTCATCAAAATTAATGAAATCCATGTCCATCCGTTCAGCTAGATTGTAAGCTTCACAGAACCATGTACAAATTTCCTATAAGTTAAAATCAAATTTTGTAAAATATACATGTTTGTTCAAGCCTTACATGTCTGTAATGTAACTGTGTTGCCATGGTATTTCTCATTCTTTGAATCCTCGCTTGAACTGAGTTGAGTCGAAATGCATTGAATCCATACCCCTATAAGAAACAGAAAGAAATAGAATTATAGTAGTGCAATGCCACTCACTGTAACCCGGGTATCATTTAATCATTTGGCACTAATTTCTTTCACATTCATTCAATATTAAATCTTTGTTTAGAAATTCGCAAAAATCATTTAAAATCACTAAAATATTGTCTAATTTGTACAATGATTAATTTTTGACCAGTGGTCAGGAAATTAAATACTTGTAAATTGGACACTCATTATCAAAATTAATCAGTCAGTTTTAAACTGGATACAAGTTCAAATAAGATGATTTGGGGTGATTTCAAATGATTTTTACAATTTTTAAACAAAGATTTGATTTTAAAATGAATTTGAAAGAAATTAGTGCTAATTTAAAAAGATTATTGCGATAATGAAAAAAAATATCATTTAATACATCTATACAGAGAAATGAAATGATATGAAATGGGGTTTAAGTCCTACTGTTCTGCTCCGAACTGGGCTAATGAAGATGGGCATATGCCATACAGTGTTTTGCCCGGACAGCAACACTACGGTCTACTCTTATATCGAATTCCAACTGTCAAGGGATCTTTTACACGCACGCCAATCAGTACACAGGACATCGTTTTTTTGTCCCATCCGAACGACTACACAGCTGTTCTGGTCAGGCCCTCCGTCCTGCATCACCGACAAGGGGGAACCATGCCGGAAAATCTGGATTTACTTTCTGGGCCAATGCAAGGATCGAACACTCGACCTCTCCAGGATAGCAAGCCAGCTTCTTACCCACTTAGCCACCGTGATCCCCTCTACACAGAGAGCTACAGAAATGAGTAATGTGGAGTTATAGCTGTTGTAGCAATGTGGAGTCTCTGTATAAAGGTGGAGTATCTACAGATATATATCAGTATCTGACTACTGCATTTTAAATCTGCCAAACCTACCAAAAGATGTCTGATATAGAAAAGATCAGCATGCTGTAGTTTTGCTCTTTCAGTTTTCTTCTTATCAACAACTATAAACAATAGGTTAAGAAAGAAATAATATATAACAATCAAGATGCGATACAGTACTTACATGATTTTTATAAAATCATGGCATGCTACAAAAAATATTTAAATAGCTCCCTGTTCCAACAACAAGTGTTGAGATTTTTGGATCAGAAAATAAAAGAAGGTATTGGTATGTATTTATCACTTTGATATTCTCTTAAAGATCAGAAATTGGATTATCTAATTATCTCCTGACGATTAATAATAATAGTGAAATTTACAATGTTTTAATTTAATTTCAATGTATCTTAGTTTATTAATTTTATTTGTAAACTTAATTTTCTCTACCATATTTTTCCAGTGGAAGTTGTGCGCTATAAAAATATACAATAATTATAAAAATAAAGAATATTTTGAATATAACAAAAGGATACATTTCTTCCATCTTTCAAGATAACGTCTTGTCTGGAACGTTTTACCAGAATTTAAAATCTGAAGTTCTAAAGAAGCATGAGAACGTTTGAAACGTAACCTTTCTCTCCAATATTTTAAGTAACGTATCTTTAATGAAACTTGATATAACTGACTTCCATAATCTGTAAACAGAAAATAATTCAAGGTCAATATTTACAAACTAATAATCATCAGAAATATGCAAAAATTAATAATGATTTTATTTTTACTACAAGCTTTTAACAGCCAAAGAAAATTCTTCATCAAGATTTCAAACTTTGAAAAAATATCCACCAATACTACCTGAGATTGTCATTACCAAATCAGTATTTTTGAAGTCTGTTGCTAAAACCGATAAGACTTAAGTGTTTAACTGACTATTACCCAAGTTAGATTTTTTCACTCTACGTTGTTTGTGATATCCAAGCCATTTTGTTAAACATGTCTTCTTCAATGACTGTTGGTGATATCTACTAGCAAGTTCCATTTTCTGTTTCTCTTTTAGACGATTTTGGAATTTCTCAATCCAAATAAACCAATGCTATAATTAACATAAATAACATAAATTGCAGAGAAAAACATTTCTTTGTGTGAAAATAAACTATGAAAATTTTCTTGTGACACAACTTTCAACACTAGGAAGTTAGAGTGTCACTTGATATTAATAGGTAATTTCCATCAAGATTAACCAGTCACTGGTAACATCTTTTTTGCAAAATAACAACAATCAAGAGATTTTGAGCAATTACCTCAGCTTGTAATCTGTATGACCAGAACTGTAAAGCTATGGAATCCATTTCACGATAATGATCACAATTAGACATCTCTGCCAACCATTTTCTCCATGCATTCCTTCATAAGAATAATACAGATGTAATTATTCCAGTCAAATATTACAGAAGCATAAACATATGATGTATTCTCAATGGTCAGATTTTAGCAGTACATAATTACCGGTATTATATCTTTGAAGAGAATGAACCATACATAAAACTATATTGAGAACAGATCATAAAAACATGGTGTAATAATTAATGTCCATATAAAAATTTTCAAGAATTTATAAAAACCACAATCTTCATTATAGGCTTAGTATTGGTCCATAGTATGTCTGTAGGGGTGATGATTTTCCGTTTCAGAAAATAGCAAATTCCGTTTTAAGTATTTTTAATTCCGTTATTTTCCGTTTCAGAGCTGACCATATTCCGTTTTTTCGAGATAAAATGTTATTTTATGAATAAATGAATAAAACATCTTAAAATGCCTTTTATTACAAAACGAATCATTTTAAACCAATGATAACAAATGTTGAATTGTGAATGACTTGTAATGTTCAATGACTAGTTATTCTTTAAACCTGTTTCCCGAATTAAATAACAGAAAATTACATCTTGTGATCTCGTTTCATCTTTTTAGCAGACGAAGCCATTTTTCTCAGCTGCTAGTTGTAGTCGCGATTTATCCAGACATCTTCGTAGTTACTACCGTTTCTTCGAGAATAAGGGCTGGATTCACAAGACTACGGTATATTTGTGATGTCACCTGGTTAATGTGGATAAACACGAGTCACGAGCCTGGCAGTAAAATAAGAAGTAAATGAAACGATTTTTACTTTTATGAAGTGACAGAAGTTTTTTTTAAGACATATATATACATTACAATGTTTAATTTAAGTTAAACTACAGAGTAATTGTATTCAGGGATACATGAAAGACGGGTTTTCGTTTCGATTAAAATTATGATTCCTAAATGATGAAATGAAAGTAGCTAAATACTAAAATAGACAGTAACAAAACCACGCGATATCATTCAATATTTCCGATTTTTATGAATAAAAAGATGAAATACTTGGATAACTGCAAAATTGTTTTGAGTTTGTGTTTAGTATCAGCAAATATCGGCTTTTCCGTCTTTTTCCGTGTGAGATTTCAAATTCCGTTTTGAGTGGACAATTCCGCGATTTCCGCGTTTTTTCCGCGATCACGGAAAATCATCACCCCTATGTCTGTACAAGTTTAAAGTAGCGAAGTCTCTAACTCAATATCATCCAAAATTTTCGACATTGAAAACACAAATTATTTGTCAATTTAAATCAACCTTGATGTTGTTATCTTACCGGGAAAAGATGTACATAGTTTTATAATAACCTCCATGTAAAAAGATAAAAATTTCTGAATAATTGGGCTTATGTTCTAGCAGTACATGAATAGAGAGTGAACATCCCAGTTAACTGCAAATATTTGAATGTACACTGTTCATGGACTCTTATTATATACTCTATCTCATTTAATGAAAATTTAGTTTTTACCTGACTAAAACCTCTTGTCTTTGTCTTAAAGCAATCTGAGACTTTTTTTTACTGTGTTTTTGGTGTAATATGTATGTTTTCCATGCTATTGAAACTTTACTCAGAATAGTATTATTATCTGAAATTCAGTAGATATATTAAAATAAGCAAATCATATCAATATGAAAACAGATCTTCAAATAGCTTAATATTTTTCTAGATTTTGAAATGAAAATGAAATGGGGTTTAACGTCCTACTTTTCTGCACTAACTAATGCACAAGGATCCGTTTTTTGTGCCCACTAACATATACTGGGACCATGTTTTTTCATTAAATCCAAATAACTATACATTGTTCCTTGCTATGCCCTTTATCCTACGCCATTAATAGCAGAAGAATGTGTAACGCTTACCCTACTTTTTGTCTTAATTGAAAGTAGTGATTTGCTACCATAAACAGTCTTAATGTGAATTAAAAGCGAAAATTTTTGAATTGGTGGAACTATTTACATGCTAGAGAAAGAATAAATATAACTATCTCTGTATGTTGAATTTTATAAATTAGGAATTTATCATCTAGAATCGAGACATAATAATACTTACAATGACTCTTAGCCTTGCACATCTTTGCATTTCTTACTCTACAAAGATAAACATATTCTTTCCATGCAGCAATAATACGCCCCCAAACAACATATCTGAAGAGAAAACAATTTAGAAATTCATGCAATTTGACTTTGAATTAATAACATATATAGACAGGGGCTTGTCAGGTCCGCTTAGGCCTTAATATCTCCACCTGCATATTTGAGTCTGAATTTATGATTGAAAAAATCATTCAGAGTTGTCCTGTATTACATTCAAATCATAAATTTTAAGATAATCAGTGAGAAAATTCAGTGATTTGTGATTGAAAAATTCGAATTTTGATACAGGTCTTTCTTATGACCAAATGAATATTTACTGTCAATTTGAAGAAAACAAGCCAACAGTGAGGCTGATGTCCCCCGCCGAAATCCCCAAATAAATAGATGACACATATTAATTAATCGCACATCTATTTTTTTCAAAAGTATCGAGCAATCAAACTGATTATCAACTGTACACTAAGTTTCATCACTCTCTATCAGATAGAATCAAAGTTATCTTGTCCCAAAGCATCGACCAAAGAAATTGCTTATCTCTGCTTAGCTTTAGCTCGATATGTTAATCATTGAACTCAAGTCAAGACGAACATCTACATCAAGTTTAAACAGTCTACCTCAATTAGAAGCAGAGTTATTATGTTCCAAGGTCTTGACCAATCAAAATGCTTATTGCTCCTTAGCCTAAGCAGACAATTCTCATCATCGAAATTAGTCAAGGTATTGATGTAATGAAACTATACACCAAGTTTCATCACTCTCACTTAATTAGAACTAAAGTTATCGTGTCCCAAAGAATCAACCAATCAAATTGCTTATCTCTACTTAACATAAGCAGAAAATGCTCATCTTCGCACTCTATAGAGGCACTGACCTCATAAAGACCTACACCAAGTTTGAACATTCTAGCTCAATTAGAAGGAGAGTTATTGTGTTCCAAAGTCTCGGCCAATCAAATTGCTTATCGCTCTGCTTACCCTTAGCAGAAAACGCTCAATATCGAATTTAGTCAAGGTATTGATGTAATGAAACTATACACCAAGTTTCATCACTCTCACTTAAATGGAACTAAAGTTATCGTGTGCCCAAAGCATCAACCAATCAAATTGCTTATCTCTGCTTACCCTAAGCAGAAAATGCCCATCTTCACATTCCATCAAGGCATTGACCTAATAAACACCTACACCAAGTTTGAACATTTTAGCTCAATTAGAAGGAGAGTTATTGTGTTCCAAAGTCTCAACCAATCAAATTGCTTATTGCTCTGCTTACCCTGAGCAGAAAATGCTCATTATTGAACTTAAGTCAAGGTATTGATGTAATGAAACTATACACCAAGTTTCATCTCTCTCACTTAATTAGAACTAAAGTTATCGTGTCCCAAAGCATCAACCAATCAAATTGCTTATCTCTGCTTACCCTAAGCAGAAAATGCTCATCTTCGAACTCCATCAAGGTATTGACCTAATAAACACCTACACCAAGTTTGAACATTCTAGGATTCTAGGTCAATTAGAAGGAGAGTTATTGTGTCCCAAAAAGTGTGACGGACGGACGGACGGACAGACGGACAGACAGACGAACCCATTTCAATAGTCCCCTGCTTTCTTCGAAAGGCGGGGGACAATAATGCATATAAAATTCAGAAAGATCAGATGATAACTTTTGGCGTTCAAATGGTTCAATAAAGTAAAATGAACATTCTAGCTCAATTAAAAGTTATCGTGTCCCAAAGCATCAACCAATCAAATTGCTTATCTATGCTTACCCTAAGCGGAAAATGCTCATCTTCGAACTCCATCAAGGCATTGACCTAATCAACACATACACCAAGTTTGAACATTCTAGCCCAATTAGGAAGAGAGTTATCGTGTCCCAAAGCATCAACCAATCAAATTGCTTATCTCTGCTTACCCTAAGCGGAAAATGCTCATCTTCGAACTCCATCAAGGCATTGACCTAATAAACACATACACCAAGTTTGAACATTCTAGCTCAATTAGGAAGAGAGTTATTGTGTCCCAAAAAGTGTGACGGACAGACAGACGGACAGACAGACGGACAGACGGACAGACAGACGGACGAACCCATTTTAATAGTCCCCTGCTTTCTTCGAAAGGCGGGGGACAAAAAACTTTCTGGTAGAGTGTAATTGTATATATATATAGATGACAGTGACCACAATATTCAATATAACTTAACCCTGCTTAGGGTATAGAATGACAGAAATATTACCTATAATGACATTCAGCTCTAATAAGTAATCGCCATTCTTGTCGAACTTCCCACCAATCATCATACCATGCATCAAATACTTTTCTTATAATGATTCTCTTATAATGTTGTCTGAAATATATGTTCAGCATACCTTTTTTACAAACAAGGCCTTGTTAACAAATTTACTATATAGTAATATACATGTATATCTGCTAAACAAATATGAAAAAATGCTGCTTTTTTTTAGCTTCTATCTCAGTAGACTATTCAATAAATTGATAATTCTCATTGACATACATGTACCAGTCTTTCATAACACAACAAACACCCTTGAAGTTGTGAACATTGCTCATGTGTCTAATGTTTGTTTATTAATGTAGTGTGTTTCGATATTTGATGATATTTGTGTACATTAAATCTATATGTTCTCGGCAGCTAATATCTATACTTACAAAGCTGTGGAGGGAAGAACTCTTCCAAATACATTTTTCATCCAACGATAAAGGAATTTTCTGGCAATATATCTGTAAGAAATGAAGTTTCAAGGATCCATTATTTTTATATTACATAAATAATAACCGGGTACAGCAGTCTAGTAATAGACAGAGAGAGAGAAATGGTGTTTAACGTCCTCTCAACACAAACTAGGTCATTTCGGGACTAACATATGGTTTAATTTTATTTCAATAATTCGCTTGTGCGTAGGGGTCTTTAGCAGTGGGAGGAAACCGGAGGACCCAGAGAAAACCCACGAGATTGGACAGGCGACCCTACTCCTTGTCACATACAACCCATATGCATGGGTCAAATTCTAATTTTGTTGGATCAGAAGAACATAACAAATCCCAATACAAATTCATTCAATTTCTAACATATCAATACTGGTACTGTATGTTTTCACTCATAGCCTCGTTCACTTGTTGCTCAATTCACAAAATATTTAATTCTTGAGATCACAGTCTGAGAATAAAATAGAATAACTTGCTTGAGTTGAAAATAAGATGTCCTCTCTACATCAAGTATCTACCTTATTCTAAGTTCTTTCAATCTGCCTCCTCGATTCCATGTATAGCCTGGTCTATAATTCCTGACATCAATGTGTGAAGATTTCTCTTTAATTTCACGTCTTCTTATTCTTGCATTTGAAGTTGGGATCTTGGATGGTGTAGAGTTCTTTTGTGGCCTGTCCTTCTCAAAGCTTAAATACAAAAAAACAATCTGCTTGCTTTAGTGTCTTTGCTATCTATCATATGTTCTGTAATAGTGACAATGAATAAATGGGGTTTTATGAATCTAATCAAACTTAATGCCATTTTTAGTCTTGTTTTCCAAGCATTTTATTGAAGATTAATTATATTTACTTTTTTGGTGAATTGACAGTTTAGCATAAAGAATAAAGATAGCAGATGTTGTGAGTGGGCGAGTGGTATGTAACTTCTTACAATAATAGGCCTACCTGTCAAATGTTTTGCTCTGGACAATAACAGTGGTTGAAAAAGCATCGCCGGCCCCCTTTTCAACACCCTCATTACTAATGACATTTACAACTTTTTTACTCTGAAGTTTTATGCGTTCGGCACGTAACGATAAATCTTTATTCAATTCGCGTAGAATAGCTTGCTTTGCCAAAACATGATTTTCTTGCCTGGACGATTTGTCAGCTTTTACAAAGTCATTCGTGAATCCCTTTTCTTCGTCTACGTGACGAAAATTCCTTCCGCTCATAATTTATTCATGATCGTGCACGTGTATTGAGTATTTAAATTCCATTACAGATAAAACAAAATACAAGACGTAACTTCTTTTTTCCATTCGCGGGATTCTTTGACTTTGTGGACATTGGTGATATTCTCGTGAATTGGAGGTACAAAAGATACTTAACAGGAAGTACGAGATTCGCTGACGTTGCACTCGATTGTCCAGCCTAATTTTATCTGGGGCGACGCACTCGGCAAACGTCAGCAGATTCCAGTAGGCCTACCCTACATCTAGATTTAGAGTAACAGAATCTGCCGAGGTTTGTCGAGTGTGGGCGACGTTCTTTCAAAAGCCTAAAAAAGGCTAAACCAACCTCATTCGGTGTCTTCGATCCGCAGAAAAGCGCAAGCGGCGAATGTCGAAAAAGTAATAGTCAAAATGTGCCTATGTTGTATTCCTCTCTAAATATAAACATATGTCATAAATAAAAATATGTGATATTTGGCAAATGAATAACAAAAAAATCCAACAAAAAACAAAAACAAAACAACGCAGGTGCATTTTCAAGAACGAAACAAAGGTAAGATCTGATAAGATGATGAATATTGATGAAAAAGTTGATTGTTTGGAGATTTGATCAGTCGATCACACCACGGAAACTAGTAGTACCGTAGTAGTATTCCTCTCTAAATATAAACATATGTACATGTCATAAATAACAAGCAATATGTGATATTTGGCAAATAACTAACACCCCCCTCCCCCCCCAAAAAAAACAACAATAAAAAAAATCCCAACGCAGGTGCATTTTCAAGAACGAAACAAAGGTAGGATCTGATAATATGATGAATTATTGATGAAAAAGTTGATTGGCAGTACGTAGTACTAGTACCGTTGTATGAAGAAGAAGAAGAATTTTATTGCAGCGGAACGTCCTTTGAGGACTGCATACAATATACAAGCATTAAATACAAGTACATAAATTTGGACGGTAACAAAAATGTGGACGGGCATAAATTCAGAGCACTCATATAAATAGACAGTATAAAACCTGCATACACATGATTCATATATATGAAAATACGAAACAAAACGTACAAAGTATCAATTCAAATAACCAGATAGTAAAAAGCCCACGTGCATAATATATGGAAATACAAAACGTGCGCATGTAAAAGATAATAAAATATCATGCATATTTAACAGTTCAGTTGTCTCTGCAAAAAAAAAGAGAAGTAGACAAAGGCTGCGACACTTGTGGCTATAAAACTCGTTGGGTCAAAGAGATTTTCAAATGAAAAGGTTAGACCAGTATTGTCAAGGGTTGGATAATGTATATTGTTTTCATAAATCTTCATATATTTGGCATTTCATAAGAAACTGTTGTTCAGATTCAGTTTTATTTGCATTGCATTTTTTACATAGGCGATCCTGGGGTGGTATCTTTAGATATCTACCCCTTTCAATGGCAAGCTGATGAGTCGTGGGGTAGATATCGCAATTTTGAACTTCATATTATTAACAACCTCTAGATATTTTGTAGTGTTATTGAATTTCTTTTTGAATAATCCGAAGGTTCTGAATTTATGGTTAAGTCCGCAATATTCAGCAAGGAGATCGTTAACTGTTGAATGTAATTTTTGTTGGAGAGATGTCATATTTTTCAAAGATATTTAGGATAGCCGCATACCAGGAGCGTTTTGGGTTTGATTGCAAAATTTTTATGTCTTCCTGGTATGCAGAATTAACTATTTTCATTAAGCCCTTTATTGTACATAGTCATTCTTTGAAATATGGATATTAACAGGAAAACTTCCTAATTCGGCTAAACATCTATATTGGATGCTTTAAATGACTGTGTAAGGATAGATCATAACTTTGATTTTATCTTTAGTCATTGAGTCAACTGGCGTGGTTTCGATTCCCCGGTTGTACGTGACAAGGAGTAGGGTCGCCTGTCCAACCTCGTGAGTTTACTCCGGGTCCTCCGGTTTCCTCCCACTGCTAAAGACTCCTATGCGCAAGCGAATTATTGAAATAAAATTGAACCCTGTGTTAGTCCCGAAATGACCTAGTTTGTGTCGAGTGAACGTTAAACTCTCTCTCTCTCTCTCTCTCTCTCTCTCTTTTATCTTTATTGAGTCCAGTTTCCAGCCATCACAGAAACGTTTTACATTATCAAGATCGTCAGCAAAGAGCAGATGGGATAGGCCAGTAGTATTTAATATAGGATAATTATCGATGTCTGTAGAATTGTCTAAGTATTGGGTTAGATCATTGATATACATATTAAAATATGTAGCACTTAAAACACAGCCCTGGAGTTGTTGTATTTCACCAATAGGATGTATTTTTATACATAAATTAATCAATTCAAATATTTTTCCATTAATGTCATGTTTCAATAATTTAACAGGCAGACCTTTGCGCCAATTCTGAATCAAATGCTTTTGCGAAATCGACAAAGCATAAAAATAGAGGTTTCTTGTATTTGTTGATTAGAATCTTAAAGTCTTAAGAATGAAAACGTTATCCACTGTTCTACGGCACGCCCCTAATCCGCTCTGTGCTTGGTCAAACAGGTTATTAGATTCAATATATTTAGATATACGGTTATTTATAATAGATAAAAATAATTTGCTCATGCAGCTTGCTAGAACAATTCCGCAATAGTTACAAATCGTCCTCAATGCTCCCCTTCTTATGTATTGGGACGCCACCGTTCGGGAAAACTCCCAGATTCAAGAATTGCATTGAAAGATTTTATACACACATCAGTCATGTACTCGCATGATACAAGAAGCATCTCATTTAGTATTAGATCGGGCCCACAAGTCTTTTTCCTCTTTAGTCCCGCAAAAGCTTTTTGGACTTGAATTGCAGTTATCTTGAGTTTATAGTTCCTTATTAGTTTTGTTTAATTCCAGGAGTAAATTGATAGCATCATCCGTTTCTTCACATTGTTTATTGGGTATGCATAGTTTTATCTTCAATAGAGTCTTAAAGTTTGTTAGCTTCCACGGGTTTTGACTCTGAATTTCATTTTTTTTTTTTTTTTTAATTTTTTTAAAATGCTATTTTGTGCTTGACAACTTTTAAATTTGGCTATTCTCTAGACAGTTTTTTTCCTACTATAGTAGCCTAAATTTTTCTTAATAGATTGTCAGTTAGTTTAATTTGTGCAGTCACCACATCATGTCTTCATCGTTCGCATTCACGGTCAAACCATTTATTTATTTTTTTTTTTTCGTCGTTTCTTTATGGTTACTAATTTAACACAGGCCCTACTGGCATGATTGGAGGTTGCCAACTGTGCGTCATTTTGATTTGGTTTTAACTAACTTCTTTTTCTCTATTATATAATCTTGGATTTTCGGGAGAAATAGGTTTATTTACTTTCGGTTTAACCTCGGTTGGACGGATATTATTAGTTTTAATTTTGCACAAAACAGTGATGAGACAAATATGTCAGCATGGCGAAACCTGCATACGCCCGTTGTAGTTTACGCAAGTATATGCTCCAAGTAAATCTCCTACGCACCTGCCATTTAAAATATACGTGTCAGTACTAATACATAAATTGATCATAATATGTCATTGTTATTTCTAATATTGCGAAAATTGACGTTGATTATGTTTGGGTATGGTAGATTCAGGTTGGATGAATAACTGTCAGAAAACAAAATGTCTTCAAGATTATATGTACCAGTATTGAAATCCCGCCCCCCCCCCCCCCCCCCAAGAAGGGTACCGCCAAGAACTTGATATTTTGAGATATTTTGCTCAAGAATGTCAAATGGGTTGTAGTTATTACTCAGCCGTATTTTGGAATTTTGGGAGGAATGTACACAGTTGCTATGTAAATATCCTTTAGTAAATTTGCAATATCTTTAACACCCCCCCTCCCCCATCCCTACCGTTTTTCTACTAAAGGTTGGACCTGAATATCCTTTGAAAGCACTATCGGAAATTCCAACATCAGTTTGTTCAAAGTTGGTCCAGGTTTCTACAAAACATACTATGTCTAAATTCTTTATCTTTTGAAAGATTATTATGCGTTTTTTCATTATTTATCTTCGACAAGAGGCCATTGATGTTCCAGAACTCTACACTTAACATCATGACTAGTTCATTCAACAATAAGAATAAAGACAAATAATAATGATAAACTGGCATGCACTTAGTAACAGAATGTATCAAAACTACTATATCTAATTTACAGCAGAGACTATGTCATGTGACAAGACAATTAACAAAATGGGCTATATTAATACAAGCAATGCCCAGTATAGAGAAAAAGAGAGAGAGAGAGAGAAATGGGGTTTAACGTCCACTCGACACAAACTAGGTCATTTCGGGACTAACATGGTTTTAATTTTATTTCAGCTATGGGAGGAAACCGGAGGACCCGGAGAAAACCCACGAGGTTGGACAGGCGACCCTACTCCTTGCCACGTACAACCGGGGATTCGAAACCCCGCCAGTTGACTCAATGACAGACTTTATGATACAGCGCGCGCACGCTAACCATTCAGCCATCAAACCCCCCTATAGAGAAAAAGAACAACAAATAAAAACAAACAAACAAAAAAAACCATTCACATATAAACACGGACGCGTATTATATTTAGTGAGTGATATGGTGCGGAAACAAATCTAACTATTCAGACACGTTCTAATTAAGTGCCTAAAAGTTTATGTATAATAAACACTGGGAACTATAAATAATACCTATAGAACGACTGGACGTTGTTCCTTGTGAGCCCATCCACGCGGCTACCCCTGCAACAAACTGGAAGATCTCGGCCAGCACCACCCTTTATAATATGAAAAGGTCCTAGAAAAGTGTAGGTTCCTGTATAATTCCGCCTGATTCTAATGAATCGCAGACCCCTGTCCATTATAACGCTGCATACCGTGGGTTTTTGTGCCCACTCAGGGATACCATGCCTTATACAAAATTACGCCCCTCTCTGACTCCGGGTCGCTATATGGTTGGAAATTCAGATCTTGAAAAGCCCGTCGCCCGAGAGCTCCGAACCAAATGATGATAATTCTCGAAAAAATGTCGCGCATTAAGCAGTGACTATAATACTCAAGAGTGAGGCCGATTTTAAATGTTTTAAATTTCAATCCATTGTTCGATTTAACTAAATTACAAATTTGGAAAAAAATTATGCCCCTCGAGACCGACTATACACTTTCTCACATAAACGAACCGATGAGAGATGGAATTCGAAATAAGAGTATGCCGTAGATATCGCCAGAGCTGCCCGGTCAATATTTCTCATTTCCCCCATAGCACAGTTCGTTCCAAAAAGTAAGACATTAAACCTCATTTCATTTCATTTATGAAGATTACAATGTAGACGTATACTTGTATCTCCTTGTTTAACCATGGTTTAACTAGCAAGAATAAATATTGGAACAATCTTATTTGCATATTTTATGTTATTATTTGTTTGTGATTTCCCTTTTAAATTTTTTTGGTGTGTCTCCTGTGGACCCTTGATTGGATTTATAAAGTTTATTGACGCATAGAAATAGGTTGACTTCATGTCGTCAATGATGAAGTTATTTTATTTGACGTCAATGGTTAATCTTATCCTTACAAGTTACTAAGAGTTATCCCCCCTCATTTAGGGTCTGACAAAATGGCGAAATCAGAAGTTAAACCGACTTTGTCTTGTGGCGGTATGTATCTAGATTTTCACTTCCGTATCAAAGCCATTTCTTGTACTCCACTACTTTAAAACTACAGTGCCCTTAATTGGGCTGTAGATTTACCTGGCCGTACTGGAAACGTCTAGCAACATCGGCATGACTCACGTAGGCCTGCTCAACTCATTCATACCCACGGCTGACGGCACGCTCCCTGGACAGTCTGGTGCAGACTGGCATGATTGAAAAACATTTGTACATTGGCACAGGCGCCACAAAAGGACTTATACGTAGTGATAGTCTGGACAGTGGAATCAGAATTTAAGCAAATTTTTTTGCAGAATCAAAATGCGCGGAAAATTCCAAAATTATCTTCACGGAGTTAGTTATAGGCTACTTAGTCTTATGTAGTTAGTACTTATATTTTATTAGGCGTATAGGTAGGCCTATTAGTATTAATATTATTTCGCGTAGGTAAGCCTAGACTAGAGCCAGACCGCTAATGAATATGAAATGAATTAGGGTTTAACGGCCTACTGTTCCCAGACTGGGCTGATGAAGACGTACGGAAATTTTGCCCGTACAGCGGCACTACAGCCTATTCTTGGTTTAGGCCTATATCATATCGATGTTTATGATGTTTGTATATATCAAAACATCATAATACGCCAATATCGCAAATTCAGTCTCAAAATTGAAATTATCCGTCATTTACATAGTTCTCTCCTCAGGTGCAAACCCTATTTTCCAAAATACGTAGTGATAGTCTGGACAGTGGAATCAGAATTTAAGCAAATTTTTTTGCAGAATCAAAATGCGCGGAAAATTCCAAAATTATCTTCACGGGGTTAGTTATAGGCTACTTAGTACTTATATTTTATTAGACCTATAGGTAGTAGGTAGGTCTATTAGTATTAATATTATTTCGCGTAGGTGAGCCTAGACTAGAGCCAGACTGACCGCTAATGAATATGAAATGAATTAGGGTTTAACGGCCTACTGTTCCCAGACTGGGCTGATGAAGACGTACGGAAATTATGCCCGTACAGCGGCACTACAACCTATTCTTGGTTTAGGCCTATATCATATCGATTTCTAACTGCCATATCGATTTTTAACGTACACCGGACCTCAGCTTTTCGTCCCCTCCGAATGACTATGCATTGTCCCTTGTCAGGCCCTCGGTCCTGCACAAATGACAAGGAGAAAGCACGCTGGAAAATCCTGAACTTTCTCGGCCAACGCAAGGATCGAACACGGGACGTCCAGGTTAGCGAGCCAAAGTCTTACTCATTGAGCCACCGTGGTTCTCTAAACGCTTCTAATACTACATTCAGTAAAGTGTGAGGGGAGTAGGGGACCGATATTTACGAGAACTAAGGTTGTGAGTTGAGATATACGACGGGTCGAGAGAAAGCTATCTTATAGCTAGAGCCAGTAGAGCACCGATAGTTATAGGAATAGCATACGCTTTCTCTTCAAATTTAAACCGCAGTCACTTTCCCTCTTTTGTCAGTGGTGCAATCTAACTTTTCGGACAGACGGGTAAAGTGAAAACAAAAATTATTATTTCATCTTGTAGGCAAAATCTAATAAATCACCAATTTTACTTTTCTTTCAATTGAATACCACGAATTTGTACTGAATTGGCCATGTCCATGGATTAAAACATTTTGCCTGGACCTGGAGCAACTCTACTTTGTGCGATATTTTTTGAGCATCGATCATTTGTAAATGCAGCTGCAACAGTCCTATGGGATGGTTGGAATTCAGTATAGAGTGGGTTTTGTGTTACAATACGATTGGAAGCTTTGAAGTTGCTTAACTCATGGGCTAGATTAGCAGAAAAACGCATTTGCCACGGTTAAATTTTTAATATTTTCTCGGAGAGCGCGAGGCCGCTATCCCCCCCCCCCCCCCGACGATTTGTTTGTTGTTTGGGATTCAGGTTAGCCACCTATGGGCTATATTAGACCACATTGAAGTAGCCGTATTCTCCGTTGCCTGTAAACGATTGATTGGTTGATTGGAATTCGAGTCAAACACAACACCTATTAGTTAGTCTATGTTAGACCACTTGCTGTATTCAGGTTCTGGAATAGCAAGAAAACGCGTTTGCGGCCATCAAAATTTCTTTGGGAGCGAGGGGAGGGGGACGTCTGTAACCTGAATTTTTTTCGGGCATTTTAGGTTTTGCCCCCTAACATTCATCGAGCCCGTGCGTCTATGATTCTTGGCAAGAAAGAGTGTCTAGCTGTTCGGGTAGTTCAAACACCGAGATCATGTGTGCACGGAGAGAGAGAGAGAGAGAGAAATGGGTTTAACGTCCACTCGACAGAAACTAGGTCATTTCGGGACTAACATAATATATATGGTTCAATTTTTATTTCAATAATTCCTCCCAAAGCGCACACCATTGCGTAAATCAAGTCTTCAGTCGCCCAGTTGATGCATATTCGACTACCGGTACTTCATTTCGCTCCCTCGACCCGGAAGGACGCTTCAAACAATATCTTGCGATAGAACTGATAAAATAGCTAAGTCTCTAACTCAATATCATCCAAAGTCTTCGACATTGAAAACGCGAATTATTTGTCAATTTAATTCAACATTGATGTTGTAATTTTACCGGGAAAAGATGGGCTTCTTATATCCAATATTTAAGACAAAATAAACATTTTATCATTGGTACACAAACACGATCATCGTGTACCATAATGCGTTTCGGTGCCATTTGTAAAAAGGGACTCGAAGAACGAGTCTTGCCGCTAGACACAAGTCATGTCAAACGGTGACGTCATATTCTTATCTGGAGAGCATGCGCAATAAATACTATCGGTGTAGACTGAAATAACCAGACGTTAGAGATTGCCATTCGATTGAGACTTTTGGCGTATTTCGCCGAACATAACTGATTAGAAATTACAGTAAAAACAGAAACGATTGAATGCAAATCAGTTTATATACATGTGTTTATATTACGCAAATGGTGTAAATATTTTGGTATACCGATTTTGATAAAACTTGAAATACATGTTTATAACCCAAAGATCTTGGGGTTTTTTCATTATTAGCGCATATCGGATCGTAACTTCCTGAATTATATGGCCCTTGATTGTACGAAAAATGGCGTTTTTAGCTTGTGGTCCCTCTAGAGATAATATATTGCAATCCGCTAAATATCTTGTTTCAATGGCATTTAGTAATTGAACTGGAGTATACGGGTCACAATTCTATGGACTACAATTACTGCTTATTACCGAACGACGTTTCGACTAGGCTTCTCTAGTCATTATCAAGCTAAATATCGCAGGCCATTGTCAGTATTGATTATGGTCTGGATAAGTTAATTAATGTCTAATTAATAATTTAGATAACATTTCAGACCTAAAGAAAGACCTGCAATAGGCAGATTTAGCTCTTGTATAATGTATGTCAAGAAACCTGTTCTTGGGATCGTACTTTAAAAAAATTGTGATAGGAACCCCCTATCGTTTGGCTAGGTCAAATCTTTCCTTTCGTAATCGTAAACATCTTACAGGCTTGGTTTGAGACCGGGGGACACGCAAACTACTGTCAGTCTATGTTGACTTTGCAGAGGGATATCCCCGTTCTATATTTAGAAACCGGAAGTGGCGAGACTTGAGGGAAAAAAGCTCTGCAAATAAAGGAAAAATTCAGATAATATTTACAATATTAGCTTGTGTTGTAAATCATACAGCAAATCACAAATGAATTTTTTGTGTCGTTAAATGCATGGTTGTAATAATTAATGAAGGAAATCCACAAAATATAACAGATTTCAAGGTAAGCTTAAAGGTAATATATGAACAAATGGTGCATTATAATCTTTGTTACAAAATAAATATTTATATATCTGAAATTTACAATTTTAAACTACATTAGGAAACCTGTTCTTGGGATCGTACTTTATACAATTTTTTATAGAAACGATTTTTCAACCTTGGTATGTTTTTTAATTAATCATATGACACATTCTGTGTGCATATATCATTAGAATGTAGTCACCCCCTAATGATTAAACCGGGATTTTTACACGAAAATTTACACCTTTTCCTTTGCCTGAATGTATTTATGATTATGCCATACAGTAAAGGATATATTTTTTCACATATAGATTTTTTAATGAACTGCAAAATTATTATTGTTCAAATTTGAGGAAAAACCCAAGGTCCTGTCTGTATGCCTAATGGATTATGGATTGCATGTAAAAGAACCCTTGACATTAGGGATGCAATGAAGAGTAAACATAAATGCCACCATTCAGGCAAAGAGTAGGCCATCAAACTTTATTTCATTTTGTCATTATTGTAAATTTGTTAAACTATAACAAAACAGCTCAATATTTCTTTCATGCAAGATAGAATAATCTTATATGTAGCAATAATATTAGAGAAACAGCACTAGTGTTTTACATCATGTTATTTGAATTCTGGCATCCAAATTTCATTTTGCCTGCCTTTCTTCGTGTGTTTTTTTCCAGGTCCATCAGTTTCCTCCCACTGCTCAAGACACACAAGCAAATATAATATATGTTCGTAATGAAATGATCAAGATTGTTTTGGGTGGATTTTATCTATTTGACGAGGATAAACAATAAAAAAGTCCACATAAAGTTTAAAGAATATAAGGAATTTTATTTGAAGTATTGTTTGGACAATACATAATACATATTCTAAGCTGATTGATTGATACTCTCTCTCTCTCTCTCCGGGCTATTCAATTGATTGTTTATTTTCTCTTTTATTTTTACTTTTCAGCTTGCATCCGCAGAATGCCTCAGTTTACCTTTACCAATAGACTAATGGAAAAGGCATTAAGGAAGGCCTTCCTAGATGGAGTTATGGAGATTTATGAATCTTCGCATGAGCCAAGAATTTACAGTATTACTTTGGAAGGATCTTTGAGTCTTTTGATCAACAAATCAGAAAAGTATTACATCAAAATACAGGAAACAGCAGAAAGAGCAAAAAATGTTGAACAGAGCCTAATAACTAAACCTATCCTTGAAAATGTTCCACAAATTCTATCATACAGTGTAAGAAATCAGTCTGTTAGTAATTCTTCCAATGAATCTTCATCGAACATGTTGAACTCACCTGTAGACAGTCATTCAGACATGGCAGGGACTGAACCAGATGATGAAACTTATTCAACTTACGCCTCGAACACTACCTCCTTGTCAATTCCTACCACTAGAACACCAATGATAACTTATACTGCTAAAGTGCAACAAAGAGCTCCATCAAAATCATCAATGTCCACATCTACAACTGATTCAACAACAACAATGGTCACACCGATAATTACGGAAATCAAGTCCCTCAATGAAAAATTAAAGAATTCAGAAACACCTATGGAATCGCAGAATGTTAAAGCATCTGTGTCAGCTTCAATTAGAGTTGAACCAGTTGATGAAGGTGAAGAAAATATGGATGAAGATGTATTGGTTGTTCACCCTGACTGGATAGAAACACCTAAATCAAGTGGAGGTTAAGTAAATTTTTATATGCCCACAGACATGCACTTTAGATCATACGGTCTGTCATTGAGTCAAGTGACGTGGATTCGATCCCACTGCTAAAGCCCCTTACACAAAAGGCGGAGACTATTAAACATACATTTTGCAAGAGCTAAATCAGTCTATTGCAGGTCTTTCTTTAGGCCTGAAATGTTATCTAAATTATTAATTAGACATTAATTAACCTATCCAGACCAGAATCAACTCTAGATGGCATCGCTAGCCTGCGATCTTTAGTGGATTATTAGCCGATTTGCTGCATAACTTGCCTTCACGATTTAACGATTAAATTGATAATCGAGACTATGCTGTTTATCGTACTGACTTTAGTAATGGTGATCGAGGCTAGACGGAAATTTCAATCGCTTAGTTCTCGGTTCATAGTGGATCCATTTGAATGAAATTTTCAGCAAATTGCCTTTACATTATCTAGTTTTTAACTATTATAGTGAGAACTGCAAACTTGTTATCGAATCTCCCATAATGTATCTTTAAAATGTCCATCCCTCCGCCTGTCTGTCCATCACATTTTCTGGGACACAATAACTCTCCTTCAAATTGAGCTAGAAGGTTCAAACTTGGTGTAGCTAGGGGTTTATTAGGTGAATGCCTTGATGGAGTTCGAAGATGACCATTTTCTGCTTAGTAAAGCAGAGATAAGCAATTTGATTGGTTGATGCTTTGAGACATGATGACTTTCGTTCTAAGTAAGTGAGAGTGTTGAAACTTGGTGCATAGTTTCATTATATCAATACTTTGACAAAGTTCGATAATGAACATTTTCTGCTCAGGGTAAGCAGAACACTAAGCAATTTGATTGGTCGATATTTTTGAGCTTGACTAAGTTTGATGATGAGCATTTTCTGCTTAGGCTGTGTAGAGATTTCAATTTGATTGGACGAGACTTTGGAACAAAATAACTCTCCTTCAAATTTGCCTTGACAGTGTTTTTCCATTAATGTTAAGCAGAGATAAGCAATTTGATTGGTTGAGACTTTGAAACACAATAACATTGGTCTTAATTGGGTATAGATTCATTATATCAATACCTTGACTAAGTTTGATGATGAGAATTTTCTGCTTAGTCTAAGTAGCAATAAGCAATTTGATTGGTCGATGCTTTGGAACAAGACAACTTTGATTCTAACTGATCGAGAATGATGAACCTTTGTGTACCAGGTACATGTACATAAAAACAGAGTTCGATCATGAACACTTTCTGCTTAGACTAAGTATAGATAATCAGTTTGATTGCTCGATACTTTTCAAAAAGATAAATGATGATTAATATGTGTCATCTATTTATTTTGAGATCATGTTGGGGTACATCACTGTTGGCTTGTTGAAATGAAATTTACCATATGTTACTCCCAAAATGACTTAGCTTGTGCTGAGTAACCTCCATCTTGTAGATCAAATGCAACAGATTTTGAAAATGTCTTAAAATTATTTTATCTTACAAACATTTGCATTGAAATACATGTAGCAGTTCCTTGATTATTCGATAATACTTTACACAGGTTTAGAATACAAAGTTATTAAAATAGGTTTATTTTAAATTTCAGTAAAGAGAGAAAGAGAGGAAGTTAATAAAAATGGTCATACATCAAAGAAGATCTGCACTAATGCATGCGGAAGCATAAATGACGATATTCCATCACCCAAGAGTCTTAATGAAAGATTTCATTTCCATAGAAATGTTGTTGAATGCCCATTATGTAATGAACCAATATCTAATCAAACATTTCTTCTGCTTCATCTCGATAGACATAGAAAAGAGTTTGTTGAAGAATGTCCTGTTTGTAAACAAGGAGGACAACCCCTAGATGTACTTCTTTTCCATTTAACTAACTTTCACTTAACCACCCCATCAGCTAAGCCACCTCATTTGCACTTAGCTACAACAAGTGGGAATGATTCACGTTTGAGAATAGATCCTTCTAAAATGGTACAGCTTATGTTGGATCATGAGAATGCCAAATCGTCTACTATTGGTGGTAAGGATGTGGAGAAGGAAGAAGAGGATGATGGTGAATTTCAGATTGAATATGTTTGTGACTTGTGCGGAGATAGCTTTAACTCTGGGAATGATTTAAATATTCATAACAAATCTATTCATGGAGATGATGCAAGTGAAGATTTTAGATGCTGCGAATGTAATGTAAAATTTCAGAACATGTTTTTATTTCAAGACCACATGCTAGATCACCATAAAGCGGAAGAAAAATATAGATGCGAAACTTGTGGAGATGAATTTGTTAAGTCAGAAAAACTCAAAGAGCATATAAAATTGGCTCACACAATATCTTACAACTGTTCTCATTGTAAGAAGCTGTTTAAAGATAATAAGAGTTTGATAGAGCATGAAAAAACACATGCTTTATTTGTGTGTGACTTGTGCGATGCACCATTCACATCTACTAGAGCATACAATGCTCACCGACGTTCTCATGTTGATGCCAAACCACACGTTTGCCATATATGTCAATCCACGTTTTTGAAAAAAGGAGATATGGCGAAACATATGCGTACGATCCATGAACCCAAAAAACTTTATATGTGTAAGGTATGTGGTAGAACAGGTACAAGGTCTGACAACATGCGTGTCCATGTACGTACTCATAAAAAGGGATACAGTCGAGAAATGGTTGACTCACTTCTACAGAGAGTAGATCAGTAAATATGAACATATTATATAGTGTACTGATCAACTTAGTAGTCAAGAGGTTGAGTAGTGTTTTAAAAAAAACTGGTGCACCTATTACAGATTTTATTGTTTTAAACAATCTTTTATTTGAATTTATTTATAAGCTTTTATGTACTACCTTTCTACCAGATATGATATTTGTGCAAAGTGCCAGTGGTTGTTTTGTTAGTGAATCAGATAGCTGTCAGTTATATCATCCTCTTTATTACTCACTGCCAGTATACAGGGTATTATATAATCTTGTTAAATATGAACTCGTAGTCATTTATTTTAATTTTTTTATTGTATCGTCCTATATTTCAACATCATAGCCTGTCTTAACCATACAAAATAACATCATTGTTAACAGATCGTACTGAAAATGACTGAATATAAAGGATTGAAATAGATACTGTTTAGTTTGTAGCTGAATGACAGCACTCCTTATGAATCATTTGTTGGCAGTTATTCCTCACTGAAGAATTAGTGATGGATTATCATAGGTTTATATTTTGATCTGCAGCAAATTCAATTGTTTTAAAAGAACGGTATGAGTTTTTCTTGTAACTAAATCTGATTATTATTACTGTTTTGTCAAATTTTCATAGATCTTTTCAAGACTACTATTGTAAATAAGTTTTTTAAAGTTAGGTTTTATATCTGAACAAAGTAAATTTTCCTTTTATTGAAAAAAAACTGAATGTGAAATGACACAGTGAAGAATAACTTCATTTTGCCATGAGAATGATAAATGTTAGGTTTTATATTTGAGCAAAGTAAATTTTTCTTTTATTGAGAAAAGATTAAATGATTTTCTTGTCTTTCCTGTGCGATACAGTGAAGAATATTTTCATTTTGCCATGAGAATGATAAATGTTAGTGTATTGTTGTTTATGTGTGATACATGTTTATGAAGATTAAGATCATGTGGCTGTTTTTGTGCCTCTAAGATTGTTAAAGATATTTTTTGCTGAAATGTGTTTGTTGTTTGCTTGAGTTCAAGTAATATTAGTTTAAAATATTAAAACACTCATTCATTCACCCATGAATAGTGAAGGCCAACCTTATGAAAATCAAACCTGAAATTGATAATATAAATAGCTATTAGTTTAGAACACAAGGTAAAATATCTATGTATTCTAAATTGTAGTGACTCACACTGTACTTAAAGGTGCATTATGTGTAGGATAAAGCACGAGACTGCGATTATGCTTGGGAAAGAAAATAACCTGAGAAAAAGAAAAAGCAAGGACTTTATCTTGCTTATAAACCATCTTTGTTTACATGTATGTATTGTAAAATTAGAATATCTCAGAATTCCAGAAAGAAAAACCTTATTTCTTGTTTTCTTATGGAAAATAAAAACCAACTCTGGAAGAATAACTTGTAACATTTTTAAAGAAAAACTTTCAGAAGAATAAACCCAAATTCCCTTGTAGGCCTTTATATTCAGAGCTGCCCCCGACTTTCAGACCGCAAGTTATTCCGGGCATAGAATAAACGCTACAGATTAAAGAGATTTACTTTTATAGGTTTATAAGTGCATGTAAGATCTAAATCTGCCTATTACAGGTTTTTATTTTGGTTTCAAATGTTTTATAAATTATCATTTAGACATTTATTTACACAACAGGTCTGTAATCAACTCTCTAGAACATCAGATGGCGCGGATGTAAACAGATTAAAATATAATCGCCATTTAATGATTTAATTTAAAAATGGAGAAGCAAGGCTTTTTAACAAACGGCAAACAGTGATAACATTGATCAGAATAAAGAAATGTGAATGAAATTTTCAATATATTAATTTTGAATTTTCTGTTTTGGAACTATTATAGCAAAAAAGGCCAGCTCTTTATCTAAATCTTACATAGTTTCTGTCTACTGGTGTTGTACAATTAAACCAACTTTGATGTTGTACATGATACCATTTTCCTTAAGCATATAACAGTGGAATTTTTAGGTGCTATTGGAGGCCCGGCCATTATTAGTTAATGGTAATATAAAGTTTGTCGGTCAACGCCATACATGAAGATAGAAACATCCTCTCAATAAAAACTTATTTCAGAGTGTTCTCTTTAAATTTTATTGACCAAAGATAAATCGAAATATAATTACTGTAGGCCAAAACAACTGTGTATTATAATAATATCCAGTGTGATTAAAATACAGATCTGTATTTCGTTTCTTTTTTTTATACTTTCGATGACCGCTACAACATAAAGAGCTGACCGGTTGTAGTGGAAAGTCGCATCAGGGGTCATACGGGCGGCTTTTGACCCTATGACATCAGACATTTGATTAACCAATCAGCATTGATGTTTCTAGTGGGTTGCCCACAGTTCGGTGCCAAAAACTTGTTGTAACAAACCGTTTCATTGATTAATCTCTCACATCATCCTGAACGCGGGTTATATAACAACGAAATTTTGAACTATAAAAAAAACGAAATGAAATAGGATCTGTGTTTTAATCAGATTGAATAATATCTATTAATAAATATAACAAGTTTCAGTTCAAGATCTTTGATAAAGTAATTTCATAGGATTGTAAATATATTAGCTTTAATGTATATATATTGGACATATATTCCCTATTACTATTTGTAGAGATTTGACACAAATACTTTTTTTACATTTTTTTCGTTGGTGTTTATGTGTACTATATCAATTTTCATGAAATAATTACAGTTTATTTTTAAAGGAGATGGTCTACCTATTTATGTAATGTATATAACAATAATAGTGTCTAATGCAGCTTCTTTGTTTTAACTGTTTAAATTAATATCTTAACACTTTTCATACCTTATTTTTGTTAAATTTAAATAAGGAAATATATTTTTAGACTTCCAGCGGATTGTTGCTTTAAAGTTTAACGATAGTATTGTTGTTCTCTATCTCTGTCTTAACTATTGATAAATAATGGTAAATAATGACTACCAATTTTCTTGAAGCACAAAATGCATTTAGCATTTATCAACTACTGGACACTATAATGAAAGATGGTGGCATTCATAACTTTATGAATCACCAACATTAATTAAATAGCGTTAATATTGGAGCACCTAGAATTCTGTTTTAAGGTTGATTCAAGTTATTCGGTCTGTCTATTGTTAAAATAGAAACGGATGGACCGTCTCCTCTAGTGAATATATCTGTACCAGTTTGTACAAGTAATCATTAAATCGTCATTGTTTCATGTTTTTTCTTCCATTGTTATTGATATTACTGAATATTAATAATATGTGTAATACAAAGCTTATCTACTTATAAATGTACATGTATCTTCATTTTTATGATAAATGTATCAATATTCTGGAGACCCGGGATTGTGTGCATATAACATTAGTTTGGCTAAAAGTTTTGTGGTCTAACTTCTCTTTTCTAAACATAATTAAAATCAGCATATTGTTTTATATTGAAACGAACATTGAAAGTCAAAAATTGAAATCTATCATCATTTTAGTCACATTACTAACTTGATAAATGAAAGTTCTATCTTTCTGTGCATGATACATGTAACTAGACAGCCAAGAAGAGCAAGAGAGGAAAGAAAAGGTATTTAAACCGAACTAGACCAGCATAAATCTCAGAATACTTCTGAAAAATGAGATTTTAATGGTCTGTCTACTACACCATGTTAGAAAAAATATCTTTTGATAGCACATATTTACTAATTTTGTAATCTCTAATACCATTTGATGGGCATTTGTTTTATTCAGGTTTGAATATGTTTTTTGTTTATTTTTACCTTTTTACACATACAATTATTGAATCATGAAAACTTAAAAACATAAATAAGCTATAATTGTACATTTTACAGAAATAAATATTATTTTAAAATGCATTAATTAAATCTGGGAGTAGATTAAATAGACACCAGCATTTTAATCATATTCATTTGACTGCTGCTATTATGTATTGCACATCGTAAATTGAAATGTAGGACTAGTTCACTTCATTTATGCAATGTCTTTACTTTTGTTAATATTCATTCAGTTAATGTTACATATTTGATATAAATGAAAAAACCCAATAAAATAGTGCATTTATCCAGATTTTTCATTTTTGTGGGACAAAAGAAACATTATCTTGACTCGAAGAGTAGAAAATCATATAGACATTTAACGTTATTTCACAGAATCAAAACTTTAATACATGTACTGAAAATTTACAGTATTGTAAATAAACATGCATGCTAAAAATAATTCAAAATTGTTGATTATCTTTTTTCAAGAGGTACAGCTTGAGCTGGGCAGAAAGTTCTTTTGAAATGTGTTCATGGGTAGGATTGTACCTGAGAAGGATCGTCTGTCCAACCTTGTGTGTTTTCTGCAAGTCCTCCTGTTTCCTTAAGACCCCTACGCACAAGTGAATTATTGAAACCAAATTGAACCATATGTTAGTCCAGAAATGACCAATCGGATTAAAATACAGATCTATGTTTCGTTTTTTTATACTTTTGATGGCCAACACTACATATGAAGATTTGACCAGTTGTACTAGGAGGTCGGTCAGGGGTCATACGAGCGGCTTTTGACCCTGTTAATCAATCAGCATTGGCATTTCTAGGGGTTTACCTGCAGTTTCGTGCAGAGCACGCCAAGAACTCGCCGTAACAGACCATTTCATTGGCTAATTCTTCACATCAACTAGGACGCCTATTAAATAACAACCCTTCCAGATCCTAGTGTTGTGAAGACAAGTAAAACAAAATTTTGAACTAGAAAAAACGAAACGAAATAGGATCTGTGTTTAATCAGATTGAGAAATGACCTATTTATGTGGAGTGACCCCCAATCTCCATCTCTCACTCTTTCCCCTTTTTTCGTTCTCTCATGTTGGCTTTTTAAAATCATTTTGATTTTACAGGTAGTTTACAGATGGTTTTGAAGTAACAGCAGTGTTTACGTTACTATGCTTATATTGTATTTTAAAATTTCCCAATAATTACTACCAGCTAGGGTTGTTGCCCTTGGCCTTGAGGACTGCAAAACCTTTTAGAATAATGACCGGAAAAAAAAAAGATGCTGTACAGGAAATTTATCAGACATTGTTCATGCAATCGCATTTGACTTTGTAGCCAAATTCTTCAAGAATATAATATGATTTAGGCCTACAGTCAAAATAGAGGAGAATTAGAATGAATTGTGTTGGAATCTCGGTGTTTTACTTTTACTTCTTTGTACAGCGGAGGGGCCTTGTTTGTGAATAGTTCAAGGTAAATTTGTAATGAATCGGAACAGTGGCGAATTATTAATTCTATTATTCAAAAGTAAATCCGAGTTGTAGTGAAAGTGCCGTAAAAGTAAAGAAATCGATCATAACTAATCCAAGGGATATAACTCTATTCTCCGAATGTTTATTAGCGAAGCCTACATTTTCAATGAACTTGAGTTACTGCGGCGTGGTGAGGCTAAGTCAAGACCCAGAGTATCGTTTTCCGATGGCAAAAGTCTGAATTAATTGCAACAGTGGCGAAACTTACTAAGAATTGTTATTACCCACGAATATAGTTATTTTGGGGATTTTCCGTAAATTTTGTTGGAAGCAGCTTGTGAGTATGTCTACTGTACTGTTTATCGGTAAAGCGTGCAGTGTACACTTCGCCTCATCGCTGGCCTGGATAGCATCGACCCAGGCTTTCGAGAATAGATGAAATCAAGGCATTAATATTAAGCCTGAATTTGTTTCTACAGTCATTATATAAATAATATCCACAAATTCATATTAAAACATAACGAAATATGGTGTTAATATGTATATAATTTAATCCTATAAAGAACTATAGGCGAAATTGTTTCATCAATTTTTAGGCATAAACAGCCTATTTTATTTAATGGCGTCTTACTATTTTTAGTAACACTGTCAGTACATTGTATTTAAGTCAGAACGATGATAATCACAGTAATTCATTACACGTTACAGGAATAAAAAGGTGTTAATATTGTTATACTGCCCATAATATCCAATAGGGATACTGTTTAATATACCATACAAATAAATATTGATGAGTGCATACAACATGTTGGATTAAAGGACAATATTGGTGTCAATCATTATAAAATATGTGATAGAGCTCGTTAAATACATCCCAAATATAATTTTAACACAGAGATCATTGCTACGGGAGATGTGTAACAAGCACGTGAAGAAACGAGAAGTGACGTCAAACATGACAAACACGAGTTGCCCTTCTATATAACTGACTGAAGTAACGAGCGGTAACAGACAAACGATCGAATTTAATTTCACTGATAATTCAGTTGAAGATGAAAAGTTGTTATATGAGACGATGAGAGGATATCTGACAATTCAAAAAAAGAATTGGCTGTGACAAAATAGCTTATATTATAGATAAACTTTGCATAATAAACAATAAGTTATAGGATATAAAATACTCATTACAATGTAATTATTAGTCTAATTAACAAACTGAACAGCTTTAGTGTAACATGATTTATGTGATTGGTGGTAATCTGATGAAAATTTGTTTATTAATCTCATACATTTGTCAATAAATTTGACAGTACTACAATTTAAGTTATTTATAATATTAATGGAATAAATCTGCAGGTCATAATAACCTTGGAACCATGGTGGCTCAGTGAGTAAGACGCTGGCTTGTTAATCTGGAGGTTCTGTGTGCAATCCAGGTGTTCGCCAAGAAAGTTCATATAGATCCCCTGGCCTGGTTCCTCCTTGTCAGCGGTGCAGAAAGGAGAGTCTGACTCTGACAAGGACAGTAGGCCCACCTAGTTTTTTGGATGAGATGGAAATTCAAGGTTCATTGTATACATTGGCGTGCATGTAAAAGAACCCTCGACATTTTGAGTTCTAGAGTAGGCCATAGGGACACTGTTTGGGCAAAATTTCCCTCATGTCTTCATTATCCCGATCGACGCAGAATAGTAGGACTTTCATTTCATTTCATTTTCTATCTGACGGATTTGTTAGATGATACAAGTAATATTCCCAATATAAACTGCATTTAAACAGCTATATAAACTGCACTTTCATTTTATTATATATTCTCATGCGTCTTTTGTAATGTCTGTAAAAAAAAGCAGCAATATTATTGATGCCCTGATTAATCCATACACAACTTGAAAACTTACATGTAGATTCTCTAGACACGATTTCATATGTGACAAATTATTCTGTCTTGCATAGACTCATTGCTGCTTTAGAATAGATATACTGAGACACAATGAAAATGCACCACTTTGATAAATGGTTGATTGTAAATGTCATCATGATTTTTGAGCAGATATGGAGGATAAAATGTGGCTGTATTAAATCTATATAGTCAGTATACAGTGTATGTCTGTTAACTATTATTCAAATTTTATATTTTCAGAATCCTTCAAAATGCCTCAGTACTTGTTTACAAATAGATTGATGGAAAAGGCATTGAGAAGAGCCTTTCTTGATGGAGTCATGGAGATATATGAAACAGTCAATCAACCAAGAGTTTACAGTATTACTTTGGAAGGAACTTTGAGTCTTTTGATCAACAAATCAGAAAAGTATTACATCAAAATACAGGAAACAGCAGAAAGAGCACAACAATCTGATCCAACATTAATGCCAAAACTTCCAAACTTAACATCCCAGAAAATTATTGGATCTATTGGATCAACAAGTACAATAACAGCTCCTGAAAAAAGTGAATCATCTAGTACCCCGCCTAATGATTCTTTATGTCACATGCTGAAGTCAACGTTTGGCAATAATCCAAAGGTGGTTGTTAACATCAAAACCGAACCAGAGAACCCAAGCAATACAACATTTGCCTCAACCAAAGCTACCTCTCCCACCACAATTCATACAACCAAAACACCAATCATGAGTTTTTCACCCAAAATATTACCCAGAATTCTGCCTAAACCCAACGTATCTACATCAGCATCTGGTTCTTTTTGTACGACAACCGTCACAATTGTGCATCCTAAAACTCCTGTACTTAGACCTCTGTGCCCCAAAAAATCTGATGAAGTTTTATCTGCAGCTGATTTTTCACTAACAAAAGTAAAAAAAGAACCATTAGATGGTGATACTTCTAGTCCAAACAAGTCATTTGATACTAACATCAAAATCAAAAGTGAGCCGACAGAGAATGACGATAAAGATAAAACTGTAGAAGATGTTATGGTTGTTCAACCAGAATGGATAGAAGAAATATCTAATCATGATTTAGCTGGAGGTAGAATATTAGTTCACTAAAATAATGTTTTAGACTTAGTCTAATTTTGTTGATCTTGTCCATCTGTCTTACCGTCCCTAGTGGACCCCTGATAGATAATTTAATGCCAAAATACCTAGGAAATTTAAAATTGCATGACAAAGTAAAGACCAGAGAATCCTAGTCGAAGTGTAGCTCGAAGTCTCACATACAGGAATTATTAGAATATTGCCACAGTTATCAACAAAGTCAGTTGAACAATGAATATTCATATTAGTTCCAAATTAACATCTTTTCATGTATACTAGTTATCCTAACGAACAAGTAATATTTACTGACTATTACATGTAGGTTTATTTGTCTATATATCTACAACGCATAGGGATGACTCTTAAGTCTTTAAATTATTATTCAATTTGTTTTCTTTTTAATTCAGGAACAAAGAGAGAAAGGGAAAATGATGATGAAGATGAAGAAGATGACGACAGTTCTGCTGTCGATTCAGTCAGAAAAAGAATTAAAGCTACTCTGAAAAACCCAATAATGGCCATCAATTTAACAGCTCAGATGAAACCAAAAGAATCGTTCTATTTTCACAAAAATATAGTTGAGTGTCCACTGTGTAAAGAACCAATATCTAATCAAACATTTCTACAACTACATCTTGACAGGCATAGGAAAGATTATATTGAGGAATGTCTAGTATGTAAAGAAGGGGGACAACCCCTAGATGTACTTCTGTTCCATTTAACCAACTTCCATACACCAGGAGCCTTAAAGGAGACTGATATTTCTAAAGCCAAACGACCACAGTTAGTCCTAGCTACTACAAGTGGAGGTGATACACGTATGAAAATAGACCCCTCTAAAATGGTACAGTTTATGTTAGATCGTGAACATGCCAAGAACTCAACACATAGCACAGCTGAAAAGAAGGAAAAAGAAAAAGAAAAGGAAAAAGAAAAACATAAAGTAATGGAGGAGAAGGAAAAACAAAAAGATAAAGAACCGGAAAAAGAAAAGGAAAATGAGGAGGATAGCGAGGGTGAATTTCAAATTGAATATGTTTGTGATGAATGTGGAGATAGCTTTAATTCTAGTAAAGAGTTAAATATACATAGTAAAACAGCCCATGGGGATAACAGCGGAAATTACCAATGTTCCTCATGTAGTTTGAATTTTGACAATTTATATTACTTCCAAGATCACATGTTGGAACATCATAAAGAGGATGAGAAATGTAAGTGCCAGATGTGTGGAAATGAATTTGTTAAGTGGAAAGATCTTAAAGATCATTTAATGACAGCCCATAGAAAATATTTTACATGTCAACAATGTAAGATTTCATTTAGTGATCAACAAAGTTTAAAGGAACATATAGCTTTACATGGACACGAAAAACCAGATTCTTACGAATGTGACATGTGTGATAAGATATTTACATCTTCTAAAACATACAATGCTCATAGACGCTCTCATATCGATGTTAAACCGTACGTTTGCCATATTTGTCAGTCTGCATTTTTTAAAAGAGGAGATATGGCTAAACATATGCGTACCATCCATGAACCAACTAAACTTTATATGTGTAAAATCTGTGGTAGAACGGGTACTAGAGCTGACAATATGAGAGTTCATGTACGTACTCATAAAAAAGAAATCAGTCGAGAGCAAGTGGATTCACTATTACAAAAAGTTGATCAATGAACATAAGCAATCTCACATTTATCCACACTGTGCATTTATTATGAGAAAGTTACAGTGTATATTGTTTTATAGTTTGATCCTGCACAAATATGTAACTGAAGGGTAAAGTTTATCAATATAATTATTATATTGTTATTTCATTGTTTTGTGGACACTTGTAATTACCTTTTGGAGTGTTTTCAAATCAGTTAAGTTATATGTTTTGTAAAGTAAGATAGTTTCACTGGAGCCGTTTGACAGGCTTTATTAAGTTTTTACACTTCAGAATTTTTCAGAGGGGCTAGTAGATATCAAGATAAGGGTTAATAAATAGAATTTTTATATGTGGGGATGATAAACCACATTTGAGTATATCTTAAGATATCCTTATCGAAATAAATACATAATACCGTATTTGTTGAATTATAGAAGGGATTTGTCAGGACCAACATTTCTCAGCATATATACTAGTTCATAGAGTTTACCAAGGTCCACATAACAAGACTTATGTTTTTGTTTCTTGACAAATTAGGAGCCACGGTGGCTAGGTGGTTAAGACGCTGGCTCACTAGCCTGGAGGTAGGGTATTCGATCCCTGCATTGGCCGAGAAAGTTCATCTGGATTTTCCGACGTGGTTTCCCCTTGTCAGTGGTGCAGAACGGAGGGCCTGACAAGGACAGCTGTCTAGTCCTTCGGATGAAACGAAAACCGAGGTCCCGTGTATACATTGGAATGCACGTAAAATTCGATATAAGAGTAGGCGATAGTGCCGCTGCCCGGGCAAAATATCCCTCATAGCACCCTGTATGTCGATGCCCATCTTCATTAGCCCAGTATAGGAGCAGAACAGTAGGACGTTAAACCCCATTTCATTTCATTTCTTGACAAATTAGAAGTATTTGTATGTTTAATGAAATTGATATGTTTGTGTTTGCCAACATAAGTATTTAATTGACAGAAATCAAAATGAACACACATGTTTAAAAAAGTAATGGAGCTGCATAAGTCTTTACAATTAACTTGGGTATTACATTTCTATATTGATATTAGAAGTTATGAGTTATCAAAATTTCTTTAGCCTGAAAAATTAGGGAGTAGAGAGGTTGTAATTAAAGATTGTGGTGATTGTATCAGTAACGGGATGTGATTTCTTTATGTAGTCTTATGACATTATAAATGTTCACCATGTCCACATTTCTTTGTTCTAAGGGTTCATGTGGTCATTGGATTTTATGAAATACATACATGTATGCATTGTATATATAGTGACACAAAGACTTTAAAAGTTAGGTTATTGTAGGCATGTGCCTATAAGTTCAGACTATCTGTAGGACAATGATCCTGATACATGTATTTTATAAACTATTATGTATCATTCACCGTTTTGTCATTATGGTGCAGATGAAGAAATCTGCTGGTGGATGTATGTTTAATTGCCTGGCATTCCCCTTGTTGATAAATTTTATTATGTTATTTATTTATTATCTATGTCTCTAGAGTAAAATATTTGAAAACAAGATGTGGTTATATTGAAATTTCCAGTTTCCTCCCACTTCTAAAGACCCCTACACGCAAGTGAATTATTGAAATAAAATTGAACCATGTGTTAGTCCCGAAATGATCTAGTTTGTGTCAAGTGGACCTTAAACCCCAATCTCTCTCTCTCTCTCTCTCTCTCTACATTTGAAATTACAAATACTTGTAGTTTGATTATTTGAGTGTTGTTCAATGAAATTTGACTCTGTAGACCTGTAGAACTTTTTATTTCCGGTTAACCACGTAAACATTTGTTGGTTTTATAGTTCTTCAATGTGCATAATATGTACATGTATGTATTTAAAATCCAATAAGGCTGTTATTTATTAGGATTTATTTCGTAATTATATAAATTTTATGGCATTTTACAGCTTATAAGTCCATTATTGATATTTTGTCTGTTTACATTTTATATCAGTACAGTACATTTTTAAAACTTTTTTGGTGTTTATTGATAACAATTGTAGTATAAATGTTATACCTTTAAAATTCATATGATATGAAGTCTACTAATCTACTGTGTATATTATATAGTAAAATAATATGAATTTTATACATGTACATTGCATAAATGTACTATATGAAAAGGAATGAAAGCATCATTTTTTATGTTTCTATTCTTAAAATAAATTAAGAGATAAAAATCATAACAGTTATAGATCTATGTGACATTATTATGAAATACTTTGTATGTAGAAAAATAAATAGATTTAAATTACAGATGTGACATCATCCTTTGATGTTCACAATGTGCCAAGCGTACATTATTTATACTAGTTGAAATATTGGATAGTGTCTGTATTTTAAGTTGTTTAATGGTCTTGTGCGACATAGCGTGATATATGGATATAGCACTCGTGCAATATCAGTATGTTACTTAATGTCTCGCACTCGACCATTAAACTACAAATAACCAGTCTATGAACTTTTAATACAGCGTAAATTTACAATTTGTAAATAAAAGTCTATAAACTATTTTATTTTGTTTGTTTTTTTTGATTGATCAGGTTTTTCTGGCATAGACAATATAAATGTAATGATTGGAATGATTTTGTCTTAAATTCTTTGATTAAAATCACCAAAAAATGGGATGTATGACACTGTTATGTTTGTATAAAAGCTGAAAATACTCTTACAGCAGATTAAACTTCAAGTAATCAATAAATACTGTAGTACTGTGATTAATTGAAAAAGTAATGAGGCACATATCTCTGCATATGATTATCAGATATTATCACCCAATAATACATTCTACAGTAGATATTGCTTGTGTGATATATTTCATAATCTACTGCGATATCTCCTTAGGAGATATCGCTTTACATGAATTTGATTGGTCAGTTGAAAAGGAACTATTTTTTTTTTATTTTCAAAGAACAGTTCATTTATTATTAAAAGTAACATTTTTTTATATTAAAAATGAACTATTATTATTCAATTGACCTTGATGGAAACACTGGGTCAATATAAAGGACTTTGCAATGGTTGAATTGCTGTCAAAAAATGATGTATCACTACACCGTAATGTTCAGTAAAAGTGAAATCTACAGCAAAGAATTATATTTATCTATTTGTGCATGTAAGAAGGGATTGGGTGATAAATAAAATCTCCTACTCGTCTTTTTTGATATCAAAAAAGACTGGTAGGAGATTCTCTATTTGTCACAAATGTAAACCATGCATACAGATTTCAAGAAGATAGGTTGTCAGGCAACAAAACATATGCCCACAGCAGCTAAATCGTCCGGGCAGTCAACAAGAGTTGTCGCATATTTTTACTTTTTTCGGTAATGAAACATTTATAATACATTAAAATCTGATTAAGAGTAACAACTCATTAAGTAATTATCAGAAAACCATTAGAATTTGTTTGGTTTTTATAAAGTTCTGCCCCATGCTAACGTTTAGTATACGAAACTTTTAACATCATGGATTTAGCTGTTCACATCATAAAATTCATTGAAAATCAATATACTTGTTTGTCTCAAGACCTTAAACTCTGTGTATCAATCTGAAGTCAATTGGATGATAACTTTAGCCTCTAGAGCGTCACAAGATTTTTCAAAGTGATCAAGTGCCATAACTTTGACAGTAATTATTTGAAATCATTGAAAATCAATATGATTCTCCATCTCGTGACCTCAAACACTGTGTATAAATTTAAAGTCATAGTCATATATTAACTTTAGCCTCTAGAGCATTTACAAGATTTTTTGAAGTGATCAAGGGTCATAGCTCTGGCAGTAATTATCAAAAATCACTGAAAATAAATAGACTTCCTCGTCTCATGACCTTTAACACTGTGTGTAAATTTAAAGTCAATCGAATATTAACTTCAGCCTCTAGAGCATCCACAGGATTTTTCAAAGTGATCAAGGGCCATAACTCTGTCAGTAATTATCGGAAATCGCAGTAATTATCGGAAATCGCTGAAAATCAAAAGGCTTCTTCGTCTCATGAGCTTAAACACTGTGTATAAATTTAAAGTCAATCGGATTTTAATTTTAGCCTCTAGAGTGTCCACAAGAAATTTGTGGACACTGGACGGACGACCACATTTCAATGTGGGCGTATAATAAAATACTTTTGCAGCAGGTACATTCAAAACATATCAAGAGTGTTGAGAATCACTAGGATTCATTGTCTCTCAGATAGGATGCTAAAAGGATTGATTTGCTTCTTGCATGGTCTAATTTTCCAGATGATGGCATGATTTTATTAGTCTTTCAATAAGGTACCATAAAAAAAAGTTGACAGGTTTCTTTGCATTAACTGAATTAATGTATTTAAAATTTAAGTTTATCAGGGGATAGCTTTTCCTACTACAGCATTTACAACAAATGTGTGAAGAATGAAAATTTATATGCATAGCCCTTATCTATTAAAAGTCGTGTCACTAATATTATCATTCGGTCTAGCAATGATGACAGCCCTCCCCCTCCCCTCCCCTCCCCTCCCCTCCCCTATCTATCTGAAATTTTCTTGCACCGTAGACGCTCTCTGCCATTAGGTTATCATTGTTCCACTCTTCACTATCATATTCTCGGTTATAGGGAATCGCCCATTTAGTAGAGCCACTAGTGTGTGGGCCGTGTGCCAACAGACCGTACAACAGCTAATTTATGATCTCTCTTCACAAGAATTTGCTCCCAGCAATGACCTCAAATGGCAGGAAATTAAGTTGACTAAAATTTTCAACAAAATTTCTTCAGGTTGCTCATGTCTTCGGCATACCGGCCCATCATCACAAAAATCCTTGCTACACCACTGCCGTCTAGTGATCTTAATGACTGAGTAAGATTTATAACAAGATCAGTTTTTATTTACAAACTTATCAAGATAGTCATCTTTCACATAATCTTTAAAGGGTCTCGTAATAACTGCATTTACAGAAACAAATAGATATGTATCAAGATTTTGAAGACAAAATATGGGCAAGGTTAGTTGCAACAATGGAAGTTACAGCCATCAAATTTAATGGAGAAGGTGAATAAAATAACAATTGTGAGTTATCAGCATATAAAACTTTAATGATCAGTTTTAAAATTTTTGACTAAAAACATTGGCAGAAAGTGATAGTTTCATTTATGCTTCTACATAAACCATCTTTCTAGCGGATTTTGTCTCTCTTCTAGAAATTCTACAAAACAAATGCTAATTTCTATAACTTTAAATGCCCTACACTGTATACACATTACATGCTTTCTACATCTGTGACTAGTTGAACAACTACAGAAAACAATGGTTTTAATCATATAAAACCGATCAGAGATCAATAATAGTCATATAATTATGAAATTTTATATTGGGACTTCAAACATAACATTGAGATTCTTGTCTATTTTATGTAAAACATATACCTGTTTTTACCTAAATGATCACTTTATATAAACATTCATAAGTACATATTCTGCCTAAATTTGCATTCGTTTTTAAATTATACAAAATCAATTATACATCATTAAACAATATGGCACAATATATTTAACAACATGAAAATATAAAATTGACATAGCACTAACATAGCACTTATATCAAAGGTTTGTTTCTTTGCAAAATATTTTCATACTTGGACAACGTGGACGGCAATCAGTATTATATAAATGGTATTACAAATTATTCAAAGATAAGGCATATCTATATTTAAGTACAAAATCCTGCAGCACTAAAGACCAAATTCAACATCCCAGCAATTTATAGTCACTCAAAGGCAAAACACAGACGTACTGTCTGGAGTTAAAAACTATTGTAGTTCACCATAAAACAAAAACATCTCTCTTTCAAAGAAATGCCCAGCTGTAAATTTAAATGCTATACTTTTATTCTAAATGTCAAGTAATGAAAACACTGATCTATAAATTTGGACTATTTCGCTTTTAATTTATCTGGTTATATATAGATGATTTCATAAATAATAAAATAATGGAATGTCCTTTTAAATGAAATGTACATGCAGGATGATATTACAGTTAATTCAGCATATTATAAAATTTTGATTAACTAATTAGTTACAAATAAATGTAAATTCTCTATTTGTTCTTTTGATGTCATGTGTTTTCTACTGAGTATTCATTTATTTTTTTAAGAAATATTTTAGTTAAAGTCATATTAAATACTATCAATGTTAAAACCAGAGGTTGCCAGGCAAGATATGCCCACATTTTCAAGAGATGGACAGAGAATAAGCTAACAACAAAAGCGATTTTACGTACAATCAGGGGCCATAATCTAGAAAGTTATGGTCTGAAATGCGCAAATATCGAAAGGGACCGAGTTCTTTGGGATATAAAAATATATTTTAAGTTTTATCAAAATAAGATACATACATGTATTACATACTTTTACACAATTTGTGTACAAAGGGGGACCATTCTGTCGGGCAGTTTCATTTCGATTTTCCCAAAATTCGAATTCAACCTTTATTATGGTGGAATGGTGATATATTTAAACGTTTTTTAAAATCAGGATGAATATTGTCACCTCTAGAGAATCCAAAAGCTAAAAATCACAATTTGTCATACAGTCTCGGGCCATAAGCCTCTAGAAGGCCAACAACCTTGATATACCATATTTTTTACACTAATTGCGTACGAGAGGTGGCCATTCTGTCCAGCAGTTTTGCTCTGATTTTCACGAAATTCAAACTCAACCGTCTTTATGGTGTAACTGTGATATATGTGAACGTTTATTTAAATCTGATAATAATTGTGACATCTAGAGGAACCACAAGCTAAAAATGAGGTTTTTCATACAATCAGAGGTCATAATGCATAATCCAATATGCACCATTATATTGAAAGGAACCAAGGTCTTTGGGTTTTAAACATGCATATCAAGTTTCATCAGGGGACATAATCCATGAAGTTATGGTCCGATACATGCCAGTATCGAAAGGAACCAAGATCTTTGGGAGATAGATCTATATTTAAAGTTTCGTGAATGGCATAATATGTCTATATGAAAATGTGAGCATATAAAAAAAAAAAGGTTTTGATATGTTTTTTCAAATCGTTGAAAGATATAATTATCAGTTTGATCATAGCAAATTTTCTCTGGCTTCACATCATTTGCTTTGTCAATTATATACCTCAATAAATATAGAATAATGTAAGGATATGTATCAATGATATTTCTATAAAACAATTTTCACTAATTACAATTCAACAAATTTTATAATAAATTCACACAACACCAATATATAATAAACAACCTTTATGTAGATATGTACCAATATATTTATGTATATAATACATCAAAAATAGTCATATTAAAATACAATATAATACGTAGGGACTATTATTTAAACTCAAGGAATGTCATTAATAACCAATTATTATGTCTCAATAATATCAACAAATATACATTTAATCATTTCTTTCACATAAAGCCCACTGCAGACCGACACTAACATTTGTTGGTGTCTAACCTTTTTTTAAATTTCCCGCAAACGAAGAATGTTCACCGCAACTGACCAACATATTTGTTCAAAAGAAACTGACATTGATGTCACATGATTGACCCAAACATCACGTGGTCAAAAATGGCGACGTCAGTGAATTCTGTATCACGTGACCGTTAGCGAGATAATGATTGGACGTCTGTATAAAATGTTCTGCTATTTGTTGAAATTCAACGCAAACGAGACCTACAAGAAGATTTGTTGGCAGAACTATATTTTTGAAATCTAACAAGTTGGATCTTCCGAACATTGTTCGGCCAACAAATGTTTGTGAAAAAATCCAACCTACACTGGCTAACTTTTGTCGGAAAACATTGTTCTGCCAACAAATGTTAGCTGGTCTGCAACAGGCTTAATCATGGATTTCTTTTTTTTTTATGATCAAGTTATTCAGCTCTAGGCCTCTGTTATCCAGATCAACAAATAAGAACACACTTCAGGTGCTTTCCTAAACAATTCTTGACTGTAACTGGCGAGTCAAGTGTGTAAACAAAGGTCAGTAAACTGTTTAAAAAGGCTATTACAAATTGGTCAATTTAATATATTCCATTTGTAGCCAGAAGAACCCATTTAGATCCATAGATACTTAAATTTTACATGTCAGTACTTTTCACAATTACACCATCTGGAAGACTAACATCAATAAATATATTCAACCAATGTTAACCTGGATGACAGATCTAAAGTAGATAATGGAATTATTGCAAAGCTTATATGATATAAAAAAATTAACACACGGCCATATGAACATAGCTACCTGCGTAATGAAATTAAAAGTGTAACGCCATCATTTCATTGTTTTATACAAGGTTATGATAATTAGACAACCAGAGGAGTAAATATCATCTTAACAAACACTGTGAAACAAATCTTCACCTTTCTCACTCTTCACAACATTCTTTCCACCATTTAACTGGTATTGTTCAAGATTTTTAAACACATCTTTTGTTCGTTTCTTGGCAAATGTTTCAACTTCTACAATAAAAAGGATTTTTTATGTTGATAAAATAGTTCAAGAAATCTTAGAGTATTTAATATATAGTCATATAAAATTTCAATCTTGATATAAAGATATCCCCATAAAAGGGTGTTGTGTACTTCCCTTCTTTACTTACTATAATCACACTTTATTGAAATATAAAAAGTTAATTATGATAATTCAATTCAAAAGCAGATTGACAAGAAACACCTTATATAGATACTGAGTATCAAATATCTTTAATTAGCCAAATATTAACAGTTACTGTTACACACAAATATAAGGCCATAAAGTTAAATTTAAAACCACTAAATAAAGACTTTACTTAAATTTGTACCTTAAAAGACGATCAAATGATATAAAGAATAAGGAATTGGATAATATCACTAGATGTTCCATACTATTGGATAATACAGAGTCAAGATGATATTACCTATTTAATTCTACAGATGATCACTGTTTATACCTAACCACTGGTAGAAAATATAGACTTACCTCTAAGAACATAACCTGAATCTGCAATAGTTTTGCCTAGTTTCCACAGTTGATATAAATGTAAATATGTACCAATATAGAAATCATTTATAGATGTCATAACATTTCTTCTCTTGTTTATCTCTCTGTAATATATGAGGAAGACAATAGTTGGTTAGAAAGCTGTCTTATATTCAGTAGAACATTTGCTTTGATAAGTTACTAAATCACATAGGGCCAAATTCAAACTATAACTGCAAAATTCATTGTTACATGCCAGTGATATTCAAGGGGAAACAGAATAAGGTCTTTGACTTTCCATGCATGGAGTCCAGTCTTATAATAAGATTATCTTCAATATTTGATCATTTGAGGGATTTGATTTCATAAGGAAAGGACAACTACTCTATTAATTAAATATAATTTATTTACTTGTTAATAATATCTTCTCTTAAAGACTGTAAACAAATTCTTGATATATTCATGCCCATTACACAAAAGGGAAAATTCTAAAAGAGAAATGATTATTATTAAAGATAGCATTTGATGTAATTAATACATTTATATTTCATATTAAATTAACAAAGTAATTCTTTCATGAAATATTTATGTAAAAACATTGAACTGGTCTCTGATAAATCATCCAATGTGGTGTAGAACGACAACTTATTACAGACATATGTTACCATTCATATGTGCTTTTTGTTCCACTTTGCCAGGTCCTTTTCTAGTGGGATTTAAATAACTGTTCTCGCTATTTCAAATTCAATGTGTTGTTTAACAGAAAATTAGTAAATGTCTTTAAAGAAACATTATGTAAGATTTAGACAAAGAACTAGCCGTTCTTGCTATAATAGTTCAAGAAAATAGATAATGAGAAATGAATATGTTCAGTGATATTATGAATGTTTGAAGTTTTGCATAAATAGACTTGATTGTCAAGTACCATTGCTACGATAATAAACAAAGTTTCAATTAACTATTTTAACATTAAATTATAAAATGGTGCAGGTGTTCTAATCCATTCAATATCTCACCCATCCGATGCTGTAGAGAATTGATTATGGTCTGGTAATGTTAATAAATGTTTAATAACAATTTCAGATAACATTTGAAGCCAGAAAAAGATTTGCAATAGGCAGATGTAGTTCTTGCAAAATGCATCGTTAAGTAAGAATGTAGATCAAATTTACTGTACATGCAAGTTATCTGTTATAAAAAAATATTAATCATCAAAAAATACCTGTGTAGGATGTAGAGAGAGTTTATATATATCTCTAGCTATATCACCATATTTATCATGTTGTAGAAAATATAACAACTGAACTAAACCCAATACACCAACACCTCGCAAATCTGTACTAGGATCTCTCCCTGAAATATACAAGTTATCTCCCTTGACACACTATTTTCAAAACCCCAAAATTGGTTACTGTGAATTTAGACAAAAACTTATTTACGAAGTAATATCCTTACTTTAACGTGAAATTAGTTAATATTTCCTATTTAAACACAATAAAATAAACATGGACACAGTTATCTCTCTTGACAAACTAATTTGCATTATAAGTAATTTTAAATTTCAGTTATACAGAGTACAATCATGATACCTTGAAATCCAATTTCTTCCCAATGTGAACCAAATCTTGGTGAATCAAATCTGGAACCAGTTAATAACCTGTAGATTGTCTGTAACATTCTACCATGACTTGGCTGCGCTTCGTCAAAAGAACCTAGTTAATGGACAATATAAAGTTTGAAATATGTGTATAAATGTATCGGTATCTGTTATAGATAGGCAGTGATCCATTTTGGTTTGATTGTGCTGTGTTTGTATACTTTTGTTGTATCTAGATGTGCAGCTTAAGTACCACCACATTCTACATGCCCAATGTTTTGTGCTGGATTGGCCGATCAGCTCTTGATCATGGACAATAATCTGCCAAAAATAGACAAGGACAGAATCAAAAGAAAGGTTTCTAAATACATCGAAGATGAAAAAAACAAGCAATAAAACATGTTTTGATTGAGTTTTTAGATAAATTTATGTTTTTCTTTTAAATTTTGTCTGGTTTGCTTTTATAATTACAATTATCTGCTGATGTTAAGCTGATCATGTGCGGAAACACAGGGTCATGTATGCTGTACTGTCTTTAAAATCTTCATATTTACTTTATCCAGCACCCCTCCTAAATTCCATTCATAATAAATTTAGCTCAAATGTTTAATGAAAACCACATCTTATCTGTTCTGACAACTTGCCATATTTATTACATTAAAAGTATTGATCCTCTTACTTGCAGAAAGACAGAAGGCAAATTCTCTATCTTTCACCATATCTCTGTGAAGTTTTGGAGGACCAAAAACAAAATGAACAAATGCTGACAATCCATTTCTTTCCACAGTTGGTTTTATAATATGCTGTGGAAATATAAATAGAGAAAAAATTTTTTTTATATAATAGTTGTTTTTAAACAGCGAAGATGTTATGTGTCAGTATATAGTATGGTACATTTCAAACTCCTAAACCTATATAGGGCACATCTCATCTGTCATTGACAATATCAGTTTATAATTCTGTCATACAACCTTTTTCACTTTTCTAATTTCTTACTCATATCTTCAATGCATGTCTGGTACAAAGATATCAAGTAGAGCTTATATTGTCAGGTATAACTAAAATCTTTATATACAGGCCTGCAACTGAAACAAGTCTACATGTAATACAGTTTTCACCTCAGATTCTGAGGCTTAATCATTATTCATCATCAGAAAAATATACAGTACCAGTACAATAAATATTAACCTGTACTGCCGTATAATCAGCCTGTTGAAGTGTTGAGTAGGCTTCTTTATAAGTATATAATGGTCCGGACTTCCGTACTTGTGTTTCTAAATATAAATAAAAAATAAAGTTGGTAAATAATGTTAATGTTATTGATAAAACCCAAAGTCTTGACTAATCAAATTGCTTATCGCTGTGCTTACCCTGAGCAGCAAATGCTTATTATCGAACTTAGTCAAGCTATTGATGTAATAAAACTATACACCAAGTTTCATCAATCTAACTTAATTAGAACTAAAGTTATCATGTCCCAATCAATCAAATTGCTTATTTCTGCTTACTCTTAGCAAAATGCTCATCTTCAAATGCTCATCTTCGAAATTCATCAAGGCATTCACCTACACCAAGTCTGAACATTCTAGCTCAATTAGAAGCAGAGTTATTGTGTCCAAAAAAGTGTGACAAACAGACAGGCAGGGGACAAAAAAATTGTGAAAGTATCAAATATCATTTAGCAAAGATTATTTAAAAAATAGGTTTTCCGAGTAATCAAGATTTTTACAATATCTATGCCACAATCATATGACTGTCTAAATTTATGTGTATTCATGCTGTCTTTCATGGAGGTCTTGATACAATAAATATCTTATCTTATTTTAGGCTGCTATAGCTGACTTTAAATATGCTAGATATAAATAAATGAAATGCATAGAATTATTTTCAATTATTGCAATTCTGTAGACATGGCACATTGGCCATAAATTTATAAAGATACTTCATCAGTCTCCTTCAACTTTGAAATGAATTATGATCAATTATGACACTGAGTATGAAGTGACCTGATAAAGTACACCTATATTTCTATTTCCCTGATTAAACTCCATACCTAATTATATAGTAGGCCTACAATATTTTTATAAACACATAAAGCCACACACATACAGTATGTTTGAGGAAATCGTATGTCAAGCTTGATATCTGCATATATAATCAATCATTTGTTTTAAAACCTGATTTGATGTTATTTTCTTTTTTCTTTTGTTTATTTTCTTTTTTGTATATTCTTCCATTAGAATTTTTAAAGTGATTAAGGGCAAAATTCTGAAAATAACTATCAGAAATATAGAAATAGGATTCTTTGTCTGGTGAATATAAACACTTTGTATCAATTTAAAATCAGATAACATAGTCTCTAGAGCTTTCTTAGCTGTTAAACAGTTCAGCTTTGATAAAAGTCACCATGGCCTAATGGTGATCAGCCATATTGTAACCTCTGAACTTTGATCTATGAACCTGTACAGACATTAACAAACAACATTGAGAGAAACAGTTCTATATAATCATCACTTAAAAAGGAGCTAAGAAATGCTATCAGAATAACTGAACAGTATGGAAGCCTTCAGTGTGTCTGCAGTTTTCTCAATAGGAATATTGATTATTTCTATTTACAGTTCTATGAAAATAACTGTCAATGTTTATAAATTTCTTAAGAAGTCAGCCATTTTGAAAAAGTTTCCTTATGATCCAGGTCACTGGTTTTGGGGACATTTGATTTATTTTCCTGCTCCTGATGAAAATGCTCTTAAATATAGGCGTGAACGGACGGGTCGTTTCCCAAATAGTTGTTTATCTTGGTTTGGACCAATATTAGCAGTTATATGTGTAACAGCACCAGAAAGTGTAAAGACTATACTTAAGAAAGTCATGTCAAAAGGAAAATTGTATCGCTTGCTCCAGCCCTGGCTAGGTGACGGCCTTCTTCTAAGTCATGGAGAAAAATGGGCTCGAAATCGTAGACTATTAACCCCAGCTTTTCATTTTGAAATTCTGAAACCATATATTATAATTAAGAATAAAGCCGCTGATATTTGTTGTTCAAAAATTAAAAACTTTTCAGAAAATAACGAATATTTTGAAGTGTTTTCCGTGATTACATTGTTCACATTAGATGTCATCCTAAAATGCGCCTTCTCTTATGACACAAATTGTCAGGAACTGGGAACTAATCATCCTTATGTTCAAGCCGTCCATGAACTAAGTAGGATTATAACGTTACGCTATATGAGGCCCTGGTTGCACATAGACTGGGTCTTTTATCTTACAAAAGATGGAAAAGATTTTAAAAAGCACTGTGAATATGTTCACAAAGTAGCCGAGCAAATAATCAGAAACAGACGTGAAGTTCTTCAGAAAGAAATGCCAGAAAACCAATCAAAGAGGAAAAGATATATTGATTTTCTTGATACTTTGTTGATGGCTCAAGATGAGAATGGTGTCGGATTGACAGATGAAGAAATCAGAGCTGAAGTGGACACATTTTTATTTGAGGGTCACGACACCACTGCAAGTGCCATATCTTGGTGTCTTTACTCCTTGGCACAACATCCAGAAATACAGAGTCGAGTCCAGAGAGAAATAGATGAATTGATGTCCAGAAGACCAAAAGATGACCTTCTAGCATCAGATCTCAATCAATTACCGTATCTTACTATGTGCATTAAAGAATCACTCCGTCTTCACAGTATTATTTCATTCATAGTCAGACATTCGGATCACAACATTCAAGTTTCAGGAAAAACTCTTCCAAAAGACACAATGATCACTGTATCAATTTACGGAGTACATCACAATCCCACCCTATGGGAAGACTCACTCAAATTTCAACCAGAAAGATTCAGTCCTGAAAATATTGATAAGATCGACCCATTCGCTTTTTTGCCATTTTCTGCAGGACCAAGGAATTGTATTGGACAGAATTTTGCAATGCATGAAATCAAAGTTTTACTAGTCAAAATATTAAACCGGTTTGATCTAGAACTTGATCCAGATCATCCAGTTAGGAAAATAGAAGGACTTGTTATGAAAGCCGAACATGGAATCCAAATAAAAGCTAAGACAAGAAACCCTGGGCAATATCGATTTGACTTGTCTTAACTGACTTGTTGTAAGAATGACAAAGTTAAAAATTAAAGGAAACATATTACTGTTTATTTTTAGTGTTAATATCACTGGACATTCTACACACCAAAAAAATCTATCTTGTGGATTGAAAAAGGCATTTGTTAGTGCTTTACTGATCTTCATTGTATCATAGTAAAATAATGTTCATTTTTCCACGATTTGACCCGAGGTAATTTGACACAGATTTGCCAATCCATCACTTATGTATGTTTTATGATTTCCATACCAGTCGTACACAGATGATATTAACCTATAGTAGATTACAATGAGTTCAGCAGACTTTCAGGCTAAGTGCTTACTCTAATTATGGTAAGCAGGCTACTGTTTGCAGCATTATACTGTGTATATATAAAAATATTAAATTATTTCCATTTATTTTCTTGTTGACAGTTTTTTCCACAAACCAAAGTAACAAAAGGAATTTGATAAAATCTGTGTGTTTAATCTATTGTGTTTCCTTGCTAAAACCCCTGACCTTATCTTACAAAACAGAAACCTGTTTTAAAAATCCTAATGACTTCCTGTTCACAAGAAAATACATAAAATAAACCGGACTACCACATGTAGATGCTTTCATTATTTTTTAATAAAATCATATTTGTATCATCATAAAAATAAATAAATTGAAATCGATTACCTGCTGGTGTTTCACCTTGAAATCCTAAAACAGGTAAAAATAAAAAAAAATATATTGTACACAACAAAGATACAAACCAGGTCAGAATGTGTCAGATATCCTACAGTAATGTAGGAAATAAAACCCATTTTAAGCCTTAATTTATATGTTTAAATTTTAAGCTTATAAAGTGATAGGATCCTTAATCAGTAAAAAGACTTTTTTTACACAACATTATCAATAAGAATCTGAGGAACATGTACAAGGATAAAATATACCTGGTTGGATTGTTTCAATATTCTCCCAGTCTGCTTCAGCTGATGAACAAACTAAAGATTTTTCATCTTGTCCTGGTATCTTTAACAAAAATAAACTGTCATAATACTGAAGACATGCTGTATAAATTTAGTTCTTTGGCACTTCTAATTATTTGGATTAAAAGTTAAAACACACAAAAAAAAGTTTGCTATTTAGACAACCCAACTTTTACTGGGAAAGGAACAACTGTTGCTTTTATTATGTGACGAATCAAATGTCATTAAACAGTTCTTACCATTTAAAATATATGTTTTTGCATGCATGATGCATGTGTGATATATTAGCTAAAAGAAAGGTTACTATATAAAGATCAAATTTTGTATACGATGAATCCACCAAAGTGGGTTTTGTCTGGCCAAAAGTTCCCCTTAAAAAGGATTAAGATGATCAAAACAAATATTCTCCATTATTTCATTATCAATACTGCTAGACTAGGGATCTTAATCGGCTGCTTGTAGTCAGCTACAGCCTTTTGATGTTTGAAAAAGCTTATCTGATAAAACAATGAACCAGTCATTTATTATAAATCTGTCTACGTTCGGCTCCATTAAAAAACTCAAAATCACTGAACAGCTATAAATTAACGTAAGATGATATATGATTCTGGGTCTTGACCATCGATACTAAATTGACCATACTGCAGTTATGACCACTTTTGTTAAGAACTGACCAAAATGTCTCAGGATTCATATGACAATTTACACGCCTTAAAAATTTGGTGATATATACCTATCAGTAGTCGTTAACAGAGGATAATATTCTTACACTTACATTATTTGATTGCGCAGTTACATCTGGAACAAATTTATCATTTTCTAATTTGATTTCACTGCTTTTTATATGGTGTTCAACATTACTGACATCTTTGTTTGTTTGGGCTGGATCAACATTTGGTGTAGGAGTATTAGTTGTTATGTCTGCTGCTTGAGTATGATTCTTTTGAGGAACAGGTGCATCAAAATCAAATTCTGAATCAAAGTCTTGGGCTTGATCCTTCAAACTTGATGTGATTTTTGACAAATCAATGGCCTCAGCTGCATCATCTGAGGTGTCTTTTTGGTCAGTTTTGGTTTGAGATATGATACTGATAAAGGGGTCATCAATTTTTTGATTATCTGTAATGGGGTCATCATTTTTCTGATTAATTGTAAAGGGGTCATCATTTTTCTGATTATCTGTAAAGGGGTCATCATTTTTCTGATTAATTGTAAAGGGGTCATCATTTTTCTGATTATCTGTAAAGGGGTCGTCATTTTTCTGATTATCTGTAAAGGGGTCATCATTTTTCTGATTATCTGTAAAGAAGTATTCATTTTTCTGATTATCTGTAAAGGGGTCATCAAATTTCTGATTATCTATAAACGGGTCATCAGTTTTCTGATTAACTGTAAAGTTGACATCTGATACTGATAAAGCTGTAGGATTTACAGATTCCTCTAATTGAATAGGAACATCAGATATTGATACAGCTACTGGTACCTGCTTTATAAAATAAAATGCTTATCAAAGTAGCAATATAGTTATTAAATTTTAAAAAAAACAACCCCGTCAAATCTTTGCATGGAGTCAAAATCTACTATATAATGGTCATCTAGAAACATATTCAATATTACAAACCTTAAAATACAAAGTTTGAAAACTCTATTTCATAAATTGGTAGGCTACCAAAATAATTTTTGTTTACAGTAAGTGATGTTACAAGTACCAGAGCTTCAGCTTAATTTGTTAAAATTTCTAAATTAATATGCATATTCATCAATTTGTATGATTAAAGAATGATTAATGACAACAAATTATTCTGGCCTGCATAGACTAATTGCCACTTTACGATTAACTTTGTTCTAGAAGACCTGTTGTATATCTCACAACATATACAATACAATCTCTTTGATTTGGGTCAATAATAGATTACAGTTACTTTAATGATATAGAATTCATTTGTTACTAAAATTTAAGCCCAAAATTGTCCACAAAGAAATAAAAGCAGTGGGAGCGAGCTGTACTTAGCAAATTGTCACCTTCATCAATTTTTCCTTAGTCATCACTATTCCAATTCTTATTTTTCTAGTAGGGCTTTTATGTCCACTTCCACCTAGGGTGATATTGCAGATTCACAAATACATTTTTCAACAATTTTCCATTACTTGTCACTATCCAGTATCCAACCAAATAAATTTTTCCTTAGTTATTACTATACAAACAAACAAGTAAACTTTTCAATAATGCTTTCTTAGTTATTACTATCCAAACAAATATTTCTACATTTTTACTTACTCTGTTAATATGATCGGCACCAACACTGGCATTGGGTAAACCTTCAGATAAAGCAAGATCTGGTAATGGCTTGTTGACATGATTCATAATACCTATATTACTGGTCTTTTCATCCTCCATTTTAACATCAGTAAATAAATCAGTGAATAGGTTATCCATGGGTTGTTCATTGTTTTCTTCTTTAACTGTTTCATTATTCACAGTTGGACATGGAGTGACTTCATCCGTATTTGCAAATAAAGCTTGGGGTTCATTGGCAATTAATGCAGGAAATGCACCATTGTGATCTTGCATTATCTGACTCTGAAATTTTGCTTTTGCATCGTCCATAAATGGATCATCTCCAAAAATCTCATCATACTTTAATATATTTATATTTTGAGCATTTGATTTATCCTCTGAATAAGTATTTAGAATTTCATTTGTACTTTCTTCATTAAAATCTAGTAAAGCATCAGAATTTTTCAATAAATCAAAATCTTGATTTTCAAATGGATCTTTTATGAAATCTGATGATTCTGGATAGGTTCTTTCTTTTACTTCTGTACCAAAGCTGTTATCCTCAAAACCATCAGATGTTTTGAAATCAAAATCTAAATCGTTGACATCCACTGCTGCCATTGTGTTGAAGTAGGTGTAAACTGATTACTGGTAAGTCTTGTTCCCCATGTTTTGAATTATCATGTCGACTGTACATTCAAAACCTAATTCAATAAAAACAACAAATTTTCAGAACAAGCTTTATCAAATGTTGTAGCATGGTTTTTTTTAAATAAAAATCAAAATAGCTAAGATATATCTAATTACTCTCACCCACAATTCCATATTTTTCCAAACAGATTGTATCAAAGTAGACTAATAAGCTTATGTCTGTTCATACTAGTGGTGAAAAGGAGGGCATTAAGAGAAACTGATATCAGAATCAATCACTGAGCAATTTACTCATGACCATGCTAGCAAGTAAGCAAGCATGTAATAGGATTGGGCATTATAGATAACAGCAGTATATATCATACAGGTCATTCCCTATCAAATCAACAAAGGTTTATCATATCATGCCAAAATGGGTTTGAATAAAGTTTGTTATGATGAATTAGCAAATATAATAATCTTATGATGATGCAGAGGAACACAAAAAGAAAAATGTTCTACAACATAGGTTCTATCCGAATTAGATTTAGAGTACCCATCAATGTCAGAAATGGTGTCAATTGAAAGGTCTTTAAATCACATTAGTGATTGTTCTACAAATCTTGGTATGACTTGGTAGTTCCGAAATAAAAAGGAAGTGCATTGACTACTCATCTTATATAGCTAATAAAATTAAGTTACATCAGAAAGATGATAACAACAATAAGATACAATGTAAATCTTACAATTTAATGGAATTTAACATCTGGCAACACAATACTTTGATTACTTTTATTTGTATGATTATGTGTTTGCTGTACAAGTACAAGGGATAAGATGTTTGCCAGGAAGCAATTTTTCTGCCAATCTTACATGATTGTACATGAAATGGAAGGAAAGGGGAGGGGGGGGGTGCGTTACATCCTACCTTTCTGCACCAACTGGGCTAATGATGACAGTCATGCACCATACAGTGTGCTATGAAGGGAATTTTGCCCAGGCAGCGGTGTTTCCACCTACTCTTGATATAATTCCAACTGCAAAAGGGTTCTTATAAGTTATATAACGTGCTCACTGCACACCAACTTGTACACAAGACAAGACCTCAGTATTTCATCCCATCCAAATGACTTGTCGGACCCTTCGTCCCCCACCACTGACAATGCAGAAACCAGACCGAAAAATCATACATCGTCAACTGCCAATTTTGCCCTTTCAAATCTGGGACAGGATACTGAGAATGCAGTATCCCCAATGCACACTTGTTTAATGTCAATTTAAGTTGTCTTAAGTTTAAAGATCTGGGTGATATACAACCACGGACATTTGCTGGCATAAGAATTAAGATATGACTTACTATAAAAATCTTATACTGGTTTTCCAAAGATATGACTTATGCATATTGCATGAGTCATGGGAGATTATACATCATGATGGTAGGCCTATTTGTAGGCTATGAATATGATGTTTATAAACTAGGTTTCAGTTTCTCTACCTGCGACTGTTTCAAAGTCTGTAATATATTACTGATACATGTACTAACTTACTATTTCAAGGTCCCGTCCTTCATTAACTCGGCGATATAGTTCAAGTTGTGTTTTGAAATGTCAACCTGTCAATTTAATCTACAAAAACAGGTGAAGGTTTGTTTACAAATGAAGAGCTAACAGGTATTTACTTCCGTGATAGAAGGCGCTACCTTCGGCACCAACCTGCTTACTTTGTCAAGCGCGGACATAAGAACATGGGGGTGTATGTATTTATACTCCTCCGTGGTGTTGAATCACACTTTTTAAACTGTGGTTTACTCGAACATAAACTTAGTTAAACTCTGTGACACATTTTAGATTCAATGTTAATATCGGTGAATATGATTACGTGACCAGCAAAGGTTTAGTAAATACTACGAGGTTTTCCGAGTGATTAGCCGGCAAATAAAACTTTGGATTGTTTCTTAAAACGAAAAGAACTGTAGGAATTAAAAGACGGCTAACGTTATGCATTAAACAAAGTTTAAATGTCAAAAGAAAATCTCATTTCATATTTTATTTCTAAAACTGAATTATAATAAGAAATCTCTCAAAATGTAATTTAATTCAAACTTCGTTTCGTGTGTTATAATTTGGATAAAAGATCGTTAAATGTCAACACAATAAAGTGAAAGTATTTTTCTTATATTATTACACTGTGACTGTGTACAGTTTTGCACGTCAACACATTCTGGATCTCTGGTAATGTAGACTAGACCTACGTAACTACATGTATATTGTTTTGTTTGCAGCTTCCCCCTTACTTCTGTTCTCTCTCACAAATTGTATATGGATTTAGTGTTCTCTGAGAAGAAAAAAATAATGTTACAGTGCACCACACCAGTAATTAGGGTTAGAATTACTGTCTGATTCATCGTAAATTTTAAACGGATTTCTTCGATTATGAACAAACTACTTAACGTTGGTTATTATAAACTTACCTGTGTGTTTGTAATGAACCCCCGTTCGATAAAATCCATTGCACAACTAATTATCACAACGATGAAAACAAGTTCTCTCTTGAAAAATTGAAATATCACAAACTTTTCCCAGAGAAAAATACCGATATGGAAGATGGTTACGTCACTCTGCGGAAGATATCATTTCGTATTAGGGGTGACAGCATAGGAAATTCAAGTACAATTACGACAAGAATCCATGACCACTCGGACCAAAGATCACTCGGTTCAAGACCAGTCGGACCAAGTGATAGACCACTCAGCCCAAACAAATAGACTACTCGGACCATACAAAAAGACTATTCGGACCGAACAGAAAGACGACTCGGACCAATAATAAAATGTTGTTTTAATAAATTGATAATTGCGTTTGTTTTAATATAATTACTCGAACCAATAATAAAGTGTTATTTTAATAAATTGATAATTGTGTTTATTTTAATATGACTACTCGAACCAATAATAAAGTGTTATTTGAATAAATTGATAATTGTGTGTGTTTTAATATGACTACTCGAACTAATAATAACGTGTTGTTTGAATAAATTGATAATTGTATTCCAAATCGCAAAATATCGAGAACCACACTTGTAGTCACGTTTTAAAAAGGGGCATATAAACGTCCGGTCTTCGTATTATTATGTGCTGTTTATATTAACGCATCAAGGGCGGATAACTTGAAAACGTGTCTCCAACCCCCCCCCCCCATATATAGTAACCCAGGGGTTAGTGGGGTAGAACGGAATGAAACCACTGGGGATACCGCGAATGTGGAAAAAGTAAAATTAGGCTATCAGACAAGAACAGTATACCCGTATATGTAGAAACTGTCAAAAGTCTGGACATACCGAGTCTCATTGCAAGAGTAAAGAAAAATTAGATTGATATTTTTTTTTGGCACCATTATTAATTAATTTTAAAACTAATCGTTGATTTATTTACGTACACAAAATTGAACCAAACAACTCTAAATATAAGAATTCCGTATAAGAATTATTTGCTTCCTTGTATTGTGATTTAATAGTAAATAAATAGCATATTGTCTAGCCTTATAATATAATTTAATTGGTCCGACTGGTCTTGTTTTGGTCCGACTGGTCTTAGTCCGAGTAGTCTTTGGTCCGAGTGGTCTGGATACCTACGACAATTGGCATTGAGTTTGAGCGTTCGCACACATAACTACCCGCATTCCTGTATTTAGTTACCGTCTTTTACATTCTAGTAAAATCTCTACAAATTTTATAGCTTTACTTTTTGAAATATTTTGTTCTAATTATTTGATTAGCGACTCGGATGGGATTATTTACTTTTGAACACGCATGTCGCACAAACACAACTATACATTCGTTTTACGGGCTTTATCACACTTCGGTCAAAACTGTCGAATCGAGAATTAATGTTCCGCTTCTTACAGGGTCATACGGGCTTAGTAGCATTATATACCCACCCGGGCACCCAATACGGCAATAGACACGCTGAGGGCTGCCGCAACACGCTTAAAGATGTTACTGAAGCGGTTATTATTCGATCGAAAGAATGCGTATAAAATTAAAAATACACTCAGAGAATTCGGAGGTAAGCTTCATGATCCTTGTTAAATTATTTATAACATAAAGAAGATAGGATATTTATAGTTTATTTATGACTTTATTTTTACGAGTATCCGTGCAATCAGTGATATTTTAATTGTGAAGAAAATTTGATAGACTGGCGATCAATGGTTTCCATATAAATCTCCTATGTAATTGCCTTCAATTGATATTTTTCGTCGCCCAAACCCATATACGATCAAAATGATAGCGCTGTCAAACTATCTTTCAATGTTAACCAACCCCCGCAACAGGTATATTGGATTCAACCAATACGTCACGAAGACATTGCTGACATCGACTCTGTCGAAATTACAAGTAAATTTTCAAATTTTTCAAGAGAGAAATTGTTCTCATCGTTGTGATAATTAGTTGTGCAATGGATTTTATCGAACGGGAGTTCATTACAAACACACAGGTAAGTTTATAATAACCAAAGTTAAGTAGTTTGTTCATAATCGAAGAAATCCGTTTAAAATTTACGATGAATCAGACAGTAGGATTGCAATTAGGGTTAGGGTAGGGGTATGCTATTAGGTGTCGGGCTCTGGGGGGGGGGGGAGGATTGTAGGGGTAGAAAAGTCTGTGAGGTGGAGGCGGAGTCTGAAGACAAGTTACAACTACTGGTGTACTGAAACATCAATACCCGAACTGATGTAGCCTATACATATATATCATTCAATCAAGGCTCGCGCAGCACACAAATTTGATCTCCAAGTACAAATGAGGACAGTAATCCTACCATTCATTGGGCTGAAAGATTTAAAAGCAAGCTTCTCAGTTTAAGCAAGTGGACAAATTTATTTCATATTTACATGGCAGCTCTACAGTGTACACCGTGAAAACTACACAGCTGAGGCAAGCAAAGACTTTTGTGGATATGGATAGACACTGGCGATTTTATGGTCAGAGGTTTCAATAAACTCAACAAACTCAACCTTTCTTGACAATAGGTTGAGTGGAACTTGTGGCATGAGCTGTTACAAAAACACACCACTACACCTTTACTCAAACACGTCATTTAGTTGATTTATTTTAATTGTATGTCTCTTTCATTATTCATAATTGGTGAAATTATAATTAGTATTTAATCATTGATTTCATAAATTATATTCCTTTAATGAAAGACCACCTCAAGTTGGGATGTGTCCTATCACCATTCAGTTGTTTGAGTAAAGAGATTTTGTTTGTGCCATCAATCTATTAGTGACTTCTATTACGAGAGATAAAATACTGACTGATGTGATCCGTGAATTCGCTCTCCAGTAGCAATATGCAACCCAGAGGTAATTTCTTCAAAAAATTTCAAAAGTTAGAAGAAAGTTATATAGTGTGTTCAAATCAATCTAATATTCCATCAGTCATCCTCTCCTATCTTAGTAGAAATGTTATGGTTCTCTGAGAACTGGGCGTCACAGGTGACCTGTACGATTGTTATTAACCCTAACTTTAAGGATGTACATGTAGAAAAACTAGCCTTTGACAATGCTACTGTTGTTGGCTTACCCTAATTTTATCAATGCTTGTGATATTTATTTAATGCATTTGTGTTTACTGTTCATCAACAAATCGCCACATTTTATAGATTGGTTGTCTATCTTTTAACATCGTAAATATAATGGCTCCAAAATAGGTGAATCTCAAACCAATTCTCCTTTTTGTTGTTACCTGTGTGTACTATTTAACCCATTGATTTTTAGATAAACTTTAGATAAGATTTCTAACAAATCACATCTTTAATTTATCTATTTGTAGAAAACTAGTGAATTACACAGATCAAGACAAAAAAAAACTCTAAATGAGTGGTGTTTTAAAATTGAGAATTGGTAAATTATTGAGTGGCTGTACAAGAAAATGGCAGACAGCTTCCTTGAGTTATAAACATACAAAATTACACTATAAAAAAAACAAATTTGGTAAGAACTTTTTAAAACACAAAATTAAATTATAAAAAAAAAAAACAGATTTGGAAAAAACTTTTTTAATCTACCTAATAAGATAATAATATGAGCTGAGGATGTAAAATAAATATATTAGATGTGAACTTTCCCAATAAATATGAAGTGATATTTCAGGTTTTTCACTTCAGAATTTTGACACATTTTGTCTTGTTTAGCAAGATTTGTCTTCTCAAAGAATATGATAATTTTTAGTATTGTCCCAATTTTTTTGTATTAATCTTAAAATACAATACACACACGGGTAGTTGCTAAAACCTACTGTGCCCTATTGTTTCCTAAAATAATATGTTTTTATTTTGCTATGAATTACAGCTGTGGTGACAGTTATTGTAACAGTTTTAACTTGGTATGTTTTTCAACAAAGTTTATAAAATCTCTGTTTTTAAAAGAATATGTATACCAATAATTTTATCAATTAGAGTTCAGTGAATATTCAAATATTCCAACATTTTCCAAAGATTGTTTGCTAAATTTTATACCCAAGTATTTGCTAGGACAGACAAAATTACAGCTGTTGGTGAAAATAAAATTTAATTGAAAATTGTATTATATATAAATAGATTTAGAAGTTTAATTAAAAGTAAAGACTGTTGAAATAATTGATTATTATTACTGTTTATTGTAGTGGAACATTAATATGTGTTGAAATTTCTGCATTGAATAGAAAGTTATCAACTGCAACAAATGTATTTGAAGTGGACAGAAATTTAGGACAATATATCTCTTTGTTTGATACTGATTTCAGTACAGAAGGTAATTCTTTTATTCCAATTATCTACCCAGACCCTAAATTTGAATAAATGAAAATCATTACTATAATAAATTTATCAATTACAAGTGCTCTGGTAATTTAAAAATATTACTGAAATCATGCCTTTAAGTTACACAATTCTTGATAACTGCAATAATAAAACAAAATCATAGACAGTATAAAGAATACATAATCCCAGCACAGAATCAAGAATCAAAATTATTTGTTCCCCAATATGAAAAAAGTCCTTACCCTTGATAAATAAGACTATCTTATGTAAACGTTAACCCTAAATTTTCTATTTTAGAGTTTAGAAAAAAATGGAAAGCATCATTAGATTTGGAGAAAATTGCCAAAGGTAGGCTACTGATATTATTACCAGGTATGCTTGTATTAATGTATAAAAATGAACCTGGTAAAGTATTTAATAAATGTGAAAATCATCTTTAAATAGTATATATTATTTCAAGAACCATTCAAGAATACTCTGAAAATCAAAATGTTTGTAACATGATTTCTTATAAAAATGCTTTCTTTTCAAACGTGTAAAAATTAACAAAATGATGAGATCATTAATTTACTATGCTAACAGTTAAGTAAACAGTTAAAGGGCATTAGGTAAGATTAGATAAAGAGCTGACAGCTCTCGCTATAATAGTTAAAAAATAGATAATGGAAACAGAATATGCTGAAAATTTCAGTCAATTTGCTTCACTCTGAACCAGGATTTTAGCAATTAAATTTTAGGCTACCCTTGAACGTCATTATTAACTTTGGTGCGATAATAAACCAAGTCTCGATTATCCATTTTCACGTGATTATCCATTATCGATCACAAAATGTATTCAAATCCACTAAATATCGCAGGCTAACGATGGCATCGAGAGTTGATTATGGTCTGGATATGTTAATTAATGTCTAATTAATAATTTAGATAACATTTCAGGCCTAAAGAAAGACCTGCAATAGGCAGATTTAGCTCTTGCATAATGCACGTTTAAGGAAAAAGATAATAATTAATTTTACTTGAGTAAAGTAGCCACAACTCTTATTTTCCAGAACCCTGGTTTTCATGGCTCCAGTCAAGAAGTACAGATCCCTGGCGTCTGTTAAATCTGGCCAGATCAGACGATCAATATGTTCGTCACTTAGGAGTACAAGCATTAGCTGATAGAGATGATTGGGAAGGTAGATATTTCATATACATGTACTGTAATCAACTTATTGAGTGCACATACTCTAATGAGCACATATATATAATTCCACCACCTAGAAATATTTATGACACTGAAAATTGAGTGGTTTTTTGATATTTTAACCCCAAGGCTTGTTTTTTGTATACAGTAGAAACACATTAAAACTGTGACATACACTGTATTCAAATGGTTATTTTCATCGAAAATCATGAGAGTATGGTCACACATGTAGTTGGGTATATTATATATGTAGTATATATTGTAAGACAGAACATAATCTGTGATTATTGTAATATTTTGTTTTATTACATAATCTACAATACAGAACATCTTCTCTATTTCTACACTTAATTGAAAATTTGTAAATTATTCAGATAATTTTGAAAATAATGGGCTAAATATGTATAAAACAATTTTAATTGTGTTTAGTCAAATTTTTCTTGGTTTTAAATGGATCTTCTTGTTTCAGATTTCCAATATAGAAATATAGCTCAAGCTGCAGATTGTAGAACATTGGTTGGTTTAGCAAGATCACCAGACATAGATTTACGTTTCTTTCTACCTCCGCCAAAACAATATAAACCTCAGGTAAATACAGTAGTAGCTTTAATTTTTGAAGTGAATAAGAATGGAATAGGGTTTGATCATTCAACACACTGAGAACTATCTACTTTGAGAATAGATCTCTATTCTGAATGGCTGCCGTATTCTAAAATTAGTATTCTAGTTTGTAACATGGTTCTAATCCGTTTTACATCTTTCATCAACGCAAAGACTAAATAAACCTTTTCAATCTTATTAAATGGAAGCAGAATAAATACATTTCAAAATTTTCGAACTATACTTTGTGCTTTCGGCTAAAATCATCGATAAAAGAATTAAAATGTTGGTCAACCAACTTTGTGTCTATTCTCTGTCTGTACTATTTGTAGACAGATTGTGTAGCTTTCATATGGGGGTTTAATCATTAAACTTTAATGTCGTGTGAACAGAATACTATGGTGATGTTTGCCTGAAGGTTCTTTTCAGTTCAAGCCAGGATTCGCAACCTGATCAAGATACCAATATCCTACATCTCCAATACGGCAACCACAATTTGAGAAAGTACAGAGACCCTATCTTGATTTGATATTTGTTTTTTTATTTCTTGCAATGTCTATAAGATAATGTAGTTTGTCTTGTCCGCAGGTTTATCTTGTCGGTTTTGTTTTGCGTGTAATGCAATTCTCCTGCACTTACTATTAGAGATAATCAGTCATATGTCAAGAATTGATCGCATTTTCGATCTGAAAGTAGATCTGACTCATCGGTCATTTTGCACGCTGGCAAAAAATAGCGTATTTTTCAAAACCCAATTTTCAATTGTCTAATTGGTATTAAAAATGTTTTTTTCTATAATCAGTACAGACTGTGCTAAAAGTTTTAAAGTTATTTCTGTATGTTTCAGATGAATATGTACGATGAATTAACAACTTTATTAACATCTCTTCCCGATACTGGTGTAAATAAATGTGTTAAATATTTTACACAAGTAGCTTTAAAACATGGTAAACCTCCAGATGATAAGGTAATATTTTACACAAGTAGCATTAAAATATGGTAAACCACCACATGATACGGTAATATTTTACTCGAGTAGCATTAAAATATGGTAAACCACTACATGATACGGTAATACTTGACACAAGTAGCATTAAAACATGGTAAAACACCAAATGATAAGGTAATATTTTACACAAGTAGCATTAAAACATGGTAAAACACCACATGATACGGTAATATTTTACACAAGTAGCATTAAAACATGGTAAAACACCAAATGATAGGGTAGTATTTTACACAAGTAGCATTAAAACATGGTAAAACACCAAATGATACGGTAATACTTTAAAATATGGTAAACCACTACATGATACGGTAATACTTGACACAAGTAGCATTAAAATATGGTAAAACACCAAATGATAAGGTAATATTTTACACAAGTAGCATTAAAATATGGTAAAACACCAAATGATAAGGTAATATTTTACACAAGTAGCATTAAAATATGGTAAAACACCAAATGATAAGGTAGTATTCTGCAATCTGCACAGATAGCATTAAATCATGGCAAACTACCACATGATAAGGTAGTAATTTACACAAGTATCATTCATCATAGAAAGGTAATATTTTACATATGTAGCATTAAAACATGGTGAACCAAATGACATGCAATTCTCAACAGAATTCTATGTGCATATGCTAATAGGCAAACTTCAGTGTGTGTAACTTCTTACTTAAATAGAGTGAATCGGCTATTTACACATGTAAAAATGATAATTTATATGATTTGTTCCTTAAATATTAGCTTTAATTTGTATTTTTTTTATATATATTTCTACTATTACTTTTTGTGTTGTGAATTCCGCTCCATAAGACTGTATGTATTGTTTTTTTCAATACACAGTATTGTGTAAATATTGTGATATTTATTATTGTAGGGAGGTTTTTGGAGTTTTGGTGGTCAAACACTAGCTTCACCTGATGGTAGTAATAGTTTAACAGAGAAAACTGTGGAATTGTGCAGCTTACAAGCATTAGTCAGTCATTCAACAGTAAGACTTGCATTAAAGATTTTAAACATTTAACATATCATATGTTAGTCTGTTATTTTAATCTTGAGATTCATGGATTACAATAGGATACAGGAGAGCTCATCCATGTTTAAAGTATTAAAGAGGAATTATTCAATAGCTAAATCTGTCTATTGCAGGTCTTTCTTTATGCCTTAAATGTTATATGAATCATTAATTAGACATTTATTAACTTGCCAAGACCGCATTCAACTCTTGATGCCATCGAAAGCTCAAGATTTTCAACAAATTTAAATATGATTGACAGTTAATGATTTAATTTAAAAATGAATAATCATGTCTTTTTTTATTGTTATCTTAACACTGTTCTTCTAACTGGGATAACTCGGCTCACAATGAAGTAATATGACTGAAATTTTCAATATGACAGAAATTTTTCCCTGGCTATAGCTGACTCTTATTTTAAATTCCAAGGCTTTGTTTACGAATACCCCAATGTTTACACATTGTTTACTGATTGACTAGATGCTGTTCCTTGCCAGGTCCTTTGTTCTGCTGGTTCCCCCTTGTCAGTGATGCAGGACGGAGGGCCTGACAAGGACAGCTGTCTAGTCCTTCGGATGATACGGAAAACCGAGGTCCCGTGTAAACATTGGAATGCATGTAAAAGATCCCTTGGCAGTTGGAATTCGATATAAGAGTAGGCGATAGTGCCGCTGCCCGGGCAAAATTTTCCTCATAGCACACTGTATGGCGTATGCCCGTCTTCATTAGCCCAGTATAGGAGCAGAACAGTAGGACGTTAAACCCCATTTCATTTCATTTCATTTCCTCTGTTCTGCACCACTGACATTGGGAAACCACAATGGAAAATTCTGAGAAACTTTCTTGGCATACACACACAGCGAACTCGAGACCTCCTGGTTAGCGAACCTTGATCCATCAAAGTATTGAACATTCGTTTGGCTGAAATTTGAGTTGTAAAATTACTTATTGGTATAAATATAAATTGGTAACAGCAAGTAACGTTTTTTTCATGAGAAAATGGTTGAGATCATTCTTACCCCCCCCCCCTTTTCAAATATAAACAAGGCTTTCCAGATAACAATATAAACCAAACACATTTGTCACCATAGTTGACGAATAGAACCATATATGAATCAGAATAATATTTTATCACCTGATGTCCCAACTATCTCAAAAATATGTGAACTACTAAAGGTTTTCTATGTTTGATATTTATAGGTACCTTCACATTGTATAGAGATAGTTGAAAGAGGAGGATTAGCCTTACTACAACGTATATTAGAAGATAAAGCTGACTGTATTAAAACACATATATTATTAGCTAGAATACTGTCAAATATAGCATTAGTACAAGATCTACATCAACATGTATTCATATCAGGTATGCTTAATTATTAAAATTCACTATGGTCCCTTTAATTAGACTAGTTTTTATACGTCCACATTGAAATGTGGTCGTATATTGTCGTCGCCCCCGTCCGTCCAACGATCCGGCATCCACAATTGCTTGTGGACGCTCTAGAGGCTAAAGTTAATGTCCGGTTGACTTTAAATTTATACACAGTGTTTAAGGTCATGAGATGAAAAACCCTATTCATTTTCAGTGATTTTCGATAATTACTGCCAGAGTTATGGCCCTTGATCACTTCAAAAACCTTGTGGATGCTCTAGAGGCTAAAGTTAATATCTGATTGACTTTAAATTTATACACAGTGTTTGAGGTCATGAGATGAAGAATCCTATTGATTTTCAACGATTTCAGATAATTACTGCCAGAGTTATGGCCCTTGATCACTTTGAAAAATCTTGTAACGCTCTAGAGGCTAAAGTTATCATCCGATTGACTTCAGATTGGTACACAGAGTTTAAGATCTTGATACGAACAAGTAAATTTTTATGACTTGAACAGCTAAATCCATGATATTAAAAGTTTTGTATACTAAACGTTAGCATGGGGCAGAACTTTATAAAAACCAAACAAATTCTAATGGTTTTCTGATAATTACTTCATGAGTTGTTACTCTTAATCAGATTTTAGTGTATTATAAATGTTTCATTACCGAAAAAAGTCAAAATATGCGACAACACTTGTTGACTGCATGGACGATTTAGCTACAGTGGGCATATGTTTTGTTGCCTGGCAACCTATCTTTTACAATAAAAATATTATTTTTTGTATTACCAAGGGCATAACATCCATATTACTTTACTAGTTTTTGGAATGAAATAGGATTTTATGTCTTACTTTTTTGCACCAACTGGGTGGTGTTTTTAGAGGGAAATATTGCTACAGCCTACTGTACTTTTATTTCAATTTTCAACTGTCAGAGAATCTTTTACTTGTTGCCAATGGTATACACAGGACCTCTGTTTATTGTCCTGTCCAAATGGCTAGCCACCTTTCCTTGACAGGCCTTTGCTCTTGCACCACTGACAAGACACGACGCTTGAAAACCTTAAGGAATTTTCTTTGCAAAAAACAGCATCAAACCTGTGATCACTTTGTTAGTGAGTGAGCATCATACTCATCGAGCCACCTTGATTGTCCCCCGCCTTTCGAACAAAGCAGGGGACTATTAAAATGGGTTCGTCCTTCCAATATATATTCAAATTTAATGTTTGATTTCTTCCAGGATGGGTAACAATTTTAGCAAAGTGGTTGAAATCTGAAAATTGGATTTTAGCAACAGTGGCAGCCAAAGCACTGTATAATTTAGACCAGGATTATACATCTAGTCAATTAGAGGAAGGAGTTTACGTATTTCATCCTTTGCATAGAACAAGGTATGTATGAGTATGCCATATTTCTAGGTCTAGAGAGAGATTAACATCTACAAACTAGGTCATTTTGGGACTAACACATGGTTCAATTTTATTTCAATGATTCACTTGTGCATAGTTTTCTTTAGTAATGAGAGGAAACCAGAGACACCCACAAGGTTGGACATATTATAGAACAGTGTTAAATATTAATATTTTATCTGTATGTGTATTTAAAGGTCCAATCTCAATTATATATTGGAGAATGCTTAATTTTGTGTTAAAGCTCTTAAAATCTTCTACCTTAAGGCTGAGCATCTAACCCAATAAACGTGATACATTTTCAAACAACTTAAACCCGTCGGTCTTCATCTGGAAATGGAGACCGGTGTCCCATGCTGTAATATAAAAAAAAACACGTGTTGGTGAAATTTACCGTTCGTTATCAAGTACGCACATGGGCCATGCACTGTTTAGACCTCTAAAGGAATGATTATAGACTATCAGTTCACCCAACAAAAAGATTGACCCGAAATCTTAAAACGATCACGTGTCCTGGATAAGCATTTTTGTTGTTCACGTCCAAACGACTAATATTTTGAGCTGAAATTTTCGAGACAAGTTAAATAAATTCTGAGTACGTATAAAAGTTAAGCTTCACAATACCGTTCCTCGATATTGTGAAGCTTAACTTTCATACGTACTCAGAATTTATTTCTGAGACTCTGTTAAAACCAGGATGGTCCCTTTAATGTATATTACAGATCAGTATTAAATGCCGATATTGTATTTGTACATGGTGTATTAGGATGGTCCCTTTAATGTATATTACAGATCAGTATTAAATGCCGATATTGTATTTGTACATGGTGTATTAGGAGGATCATTTAGATCCTGGAGACAACGAGATATACCTGATAATCAAATAATTCCAGGAGAAAATAGAACGTCTTGTTGGCCGAAGGTAGGTAAAAATAAACTGCTGGTATGTAGGATTGATATTCCAATGTAAATTCTACATACATGTTTAAAAAATGTGAGTTGCCCATATTACTGAGTTCAATTTATGAGGAATATAGAAGAAAAAAATTGGTTCTTTTAATATGTGGTTGTATAAGTGAGTTGCCCGTAATACTGAGTTGGTCATTAAGCGGTACTTCACTGTATTTGAAAAGAAACTTTATTCAATTATTGAACCATGAAATTTTACTTAGAGTGTACATCAATGTTGGAATAAGGCATTCTGTAATTGATTAATAAATGGTTGTAACATCTGGTTTACTATAGTTTTCTCTTATAGCTTCAATAAATTAATGAAACAACCTATCCCAGGGCTTTCACTTCAAAGTTTTGCCTGTCTGTCTGTATTGATATATTTTGTTTACCTCTGATTAGCAAGATATTTTTTTTACCAAAGTACCAGTATACCGTTTTACCGTTATCCCTATGTTTCAATATATTTATTTAGTGTTTGTAGTTTTGACAAAATGGTTGCATTGTGGTAACCAGAGCACTTATTTATTCGAGACTTAGCTTTCCTATTTTTAAATTAAATTTTTAAATGGTGAACCGTTCTAATCTAGTTAAAATCTCGAGTATCCAATGCAATCGAGAGTTGATTATGGTCTTATTAATAAATGCCTAATTAATCATTTATTTAACATTTAAGGCCCAAAGAAAGACCTGCAATAGGCATATTTAGCTCTTACATAATGCATGTTTAACTGTGTTTATTGCAAATTGCCTGACATAAAAATTTCCCAGGTGGTCAATTTTACGCCCAGTTAATCAAGTCTGGCAAATATTACTGAAACGAGAGCCCAGTCATGCCCTTTCCTATTGCATTAATTATTTGGTATGTCGGACTTGTAAATGTTTTTTTTTCCTTAGTTTAAAGGAACCCTAATTTGAACTTGTTCCAAGGGTCCTGATTACCGTCAGAAATAATTTTCTATTTCGACATTACTATTATATATTCTAGGACTGGCTAGCGAAAGATATGAAACGAGTAAGAATAGTTAGTCTAGATTATGATACCCATCTATCAGAATGGTATTCTACATGTCCTCATGATATAGAAAAGTAAGTAGAATTACTTTCTACATAGGTGTATGTTTTCTGTCCAATAAATAAAGAAAATTTCATATCAAAACTGTTTATTATTATGTACATGTATGGCCATGCATGAATTGCCTACATTTTATATTGGAGAATATTGTTGCCTTGTCAGAGATGAAACATCATTTATTGTTTAATTAGATGAGTATTTTGACCAAATTTGATAGTGAACATTGTCTGCTCAGGTATGGAGCATGACTATTCGGATTCTAATTGAGTATGAGTTTTGAAACTTGATGTATATCTTCATATTTTACCTTTCAATGATAAGTAATCCTTTAGAGGCACTTCTGCCCTTTCACAATGGTGCTGGTACTACTATGTTTCGTGTTTAAGTCTACAGAAACAATTTTGCAAAATTTACAAAATTAAGGCCATATTCTCATTATTATTCTTGTTTGTATACAGAAGATCTTTAGTAAAGAGAGCAGAAGAAATGATAGAAAAATTAAGAAAAGCTGGTGTAGGTGATAGACCTATTATATGGGCAGGTCATTCTCTAGGAGGTAAGAAATACTCTATTGTACTTGTATATGGACAGGTCATTTTCTATTGATCTATTCTCATTATTTTGGTTGAATGGAGTTCTTAAAGTGAATTTTTGGGTAGTGAACCATTTATTTCAGGTGAAATGTATAAAAGTATTATTTTCCTTAAGTAAAATAAGATAGTTGTACTGTTCACATATTAATATAAAGATTTATATATAACCATAATGTGATTATGACCACATTTAGGGTGCTTATTCATTGTAACCACTTACAATTACCAAAGCTTTTAAAGTTAAAGGACGAAGACAACTGGGTGATGGTATAATACTTTTTCTTTGTTAGACCTTTCTGTTTTCAGAGTAAAAACAGTAGATTTCAATCAATTACTGTACAAACCTACTCATTTGCTTCATCCCAAGATATACCAATATTTTTTAATTCAAAGTCCAGAATCTTCAGTCCATCACTGGGTGTCCTCTGTTTTGCTTTCCTTTTTGTTACATTTTAGTGCCTAATATGGGCTTCTTGGGTGGTTGCAGCAGCACAAGGTATGTCTAATCCATCATCACTTGCATTCATTTCAGGATTCATGGTGTAATTAATTCATCAGTATTCAGCTTTTTATGATATGAAACAGGAAGAATAAAACGAATGTGTTGTATATAATTTATCTTATATTTAATGTGTTTAATTATTTCAGGTTTATTAATAAAACAGATGTTATCATTAGCTATAGATGATGATAAATATAGTTGTATTAAAGATCAAACTCAGGGTATTATATTCTATGGTGTACCACATTATGGTTCCCCTCTAGCCAACATATCTAATCAAAAAGCTGCTTATATTCTCTTACCATCTATAGAGGTACAAGACTTAAAACCACGTAAGTCTCACCAGATCATGTTATTTTTACTATTTCTTCTATCACTAAATAAAACATGCTGCCTGACGTTTTGTTGTAAACAATTCACAAGACAGTCTTATTGACTGTAGTAGTAGCTTATTAAGTTTGTTGTTAATGAAGTCATGCTGTTGTCTAAACAAACAGATTATTGGTCTTGCTTATCAAGACTTCTGGTTCAGAAATAAAGTATGGGAGTGGAAACATGACTTTTTGTTGACACAATAATTATCATGCAGAAGTTCTAAAAGAGGATTGTTACATTTTTTTCTTTTGTTTACAGATTCTCAAAATCTTGAATTTTTACAATCAAGATTTATAGATTTTATGAAATCCAGATCCATACCTTGTTTAGCATTTGGTGAAACTAAGAAAACCTATGTTAAAAAGTTGTTTTCAATGTTACAAGTTGTACCACTAGAATCAAGTAGTAAGTTATATGTATTATATATATATATATCAATCAATATATCTCATTACTGAAACCTTTGTAACTTATGGGTCACAAAAATTGAATAGGGTATAAAGATTAGAAAATAAACTCCTGATTTTAATCATATTTTCATAGTACCATATTTTCCAACAAACTGGATGGTAGTACGTATAAGACACATAAAAATATAAAGGTCTAATGTTTAGGGTAGACCATACAATGAACACTTCTTCTTTAGGAGAGAGCCAGCCACATTGGCACACTGAGTTACAATAAGATGCTGCAGGATATTTCATTGTGATTTCCTTTGATCAGTTGGCAGGACGGAGGGTATGGCAAGGAACAGTATCTAGTTGGTATTGAGGTCCTGTGTTCACATTGACGTGCACGTAAAAGAGTCCTTGACAGTTGGGATTTGATAAAGAGTAGCACCACATGGTGTGTGCCCATCTACATTAACACAGATGGTGCAGAAATAGAAAGATTTGATATAAGAATAAAGTTATTCTATGTGGAAACCTTTATAATAATAGATATTTTTTTAAATTTATAAAAGCACGAACTTCTCAAAAATGTAAGAACTAGTATCAGATTTTACATAGAGTAAACATACCCTTCCTGTTAACCTACACGATATCTGTAACATTTATAGCTAAATTAGAACCATAATTTGTTCTTGATTTCAGAAGCTGTTGCTATGTTTGTTGACATTATTATTATATATTATTATAGATCCTGGTTATGGTGAATTTTATCCGGTAGATGCTGATCATATAGGTGTATGTAAACCAGATAATACAGATTGTGATGTTTATATATTAACTTTACAGTTTATAAGAAGATGTCTTCTACAAGCTAAAGTAGAGAATTATCTAAAGGATAGTTTAAAACGTACTGGGCCCAAACCATTATGAACTGAGTTAATGTTGGTCATAATTAAAGTATTAAAAGGTGAACTGTTATATTCAAAAACATAGCAAATTATTTGTTCCAAATTGACAGAATTGCAATCAATTGACAAAATTGCTATCAATTGACAAAATTGCTATCAATTGTCACAGAATTTAGTCCAGACAGCCTCCAGAACTGATCAGTTTGAGTAGAATTAAATACATCAAATTTGTTTAAGCCGTCATTGTTGATTGATATATTTTCTTATTCAGATAGCCCATGCATTTTAGCTTTAAATACATTTTTATACATTTGTTCTAAAGATTTAATTTAATGATCTCTTGTCATGACAAAATTTTTACTAACTACCGGTAAGCAGATTCTACTGTATTTGTTTGTTAGATGATCTGTTTATTTTTATACTGTAAAAAAATCTAACAGCTTTTTACTGTGAGAAAGTATTTGTTAATTTTATTTTTAAAATTTCTGATCAGTAGTAAGTTATATCTCTTATTAATTTGTTACTGTAGAGAATCTGATTTCCAAACCATTTTCACAAATTACTTTGTTAAAGAAAGAGTCTTCTTTTTTTTCTTTTTTTTTTTTTTGCCTTATGATAAAAAATCATTTACTTCCCTTATTTTATTATACACCCACATTTAATGTGAAATAATATTGTCATCACCTTCATCTGGTGTCCGTCTACAATTACTTTACAGATTTTTTAATGTTAAAAGCTTGAGAATATTGGACAGGAAAAGTCCTAGATGGAAGTAAGATTAATTTGGGCCGAAGTGTGAATTTTTTCTATTGCAAATAATTAAGTTTTATTACTCCATTTGCATTCAATTTATGGAATTTCAAAATTATTCATAAGTTTCAAATGCTTTTTTGCAGAGTTCTCTTTCCGTTCACATTTTGACTGCTAAAGCTTGAGATGGAGTTCATAGTGTTTTGGGTCTCTTTTATTCCAATTCGCCAAGGGCGTGCACGGGCAGCAACTGCACGCTGTGAGTGTCTAGGGCGCGAAGCACACAGCAGGGGCTCTGGGTGACCTCTCTTGAAAATTTTTTTGAAATATAGAAGCCCAAAAATGCCAGTGATCTAGACAAGAATCCGGATCTAAAGTGCACTCCCTGGATCCAGATAAGGTGCGTGGGGGGGCTGCTTGGCACTAGATCCGCCCTTGATTCCCCCTGCAGGATTTAGGTTGTACAGTTGACTTTACTGATGAGGGCGACAAGCCCAGTCCACATTTATATATACATGTATACCCGGGTGATTCATTATGAGTTTTTTAGCAGTTGATTTTAATTATGTGTGAAAGATACAGGAAGTAATTTCAGTTTGTGTGATACAGTAGATGTTTAGTTGTTTTATTATAAATTATATTTATGATTGTTAAATTTGTGATTTATTAAATATTAAACCAAATAAAAATATTAAATTTTTTATTACCTGTTAAGATTTTATGTTTTGTTGTCTGCTTTTAAAGGGTAATAGATCTGATAATTACCATAGATCTCTCAGTTTATTTCTTGCTTTTCCAATTTCTAAAGAAGTCTGAATCAATATTCATTAAAACTGAAATGGGTTGACTTGAAATCAGGGGCGGATTGGGCGCCCGATCGCCCGAAGGGCCGGTCGGACAAAAAACGAAAAAAATATTTTTGTCCAATTCGTCTAAAAAACCTTTTTTCTGCTGAATATTATATGGGGGACGATGATGATCATGTTGTATATGGCCGGTGGCTTTAACGGGCCACCACGCCATCACTGGAGTCTGGAATGGGCTGGTATAATAGACTTTCTGGGCTGGGTGTGGGCCGGTATTCGGAATCTTGCAATGGGGATTCCGAATATCATCCGAAAATTTCATCGGATTCACCCGACACTGTCGCCCGCAAATTTACTAATTATTAAGTCAACCTGCACCCTGTTTGTGGGGATACGCCAGAAACGTCTGCCAATGGTTCGTATATCCCAAAAAAATTCAATTTTAAGGCCTCGGCAAAATTTGGTGATAGCTGGTCTGCTGGCTGAATTTGACAGAGACTATCATCAGATATGCCACCAAATCGCATATTTGGGGTTCATTTTTCAAAATTTTCCCGGGGGAGAGCACCCGGACACACACACCCCCATCCGGGCTCCGCGGCCAGTAAAAGGGGCCGCTCCGACACGGGAGCCCGGGCCAGTTCCCGGCCCCAATCCGCCCCTGCTTGAAATCATAACTTAATTACCGTTGATACAAAAGGTGATAAAGGCCCGTATCAAATACAACAGACACAAATAGTACCAGTTGTTTAATTTCCTCTGATATGAATGTTATTGAAGAAGTTCATCATCACTACCCAACTTGCAGGTAGTAGAAACAAAGTATATGTTTTCTTTAAAGAGAGTAAAAACAAATAAACAGAGGGTTTTCTCTAGAGTGAGTAGAAACAAAGTGGCTGTTTTCTCTAGAGTGAGTAGAAACAAAGTGGCTGTTTTCTCTAGAGGGTGTGACTGCTTTCTGTTGAGGTAGTAGAAACTAAGTGGCAGTTTTCTTTAGAGGCAGTAGAAACAAAGTGGCTGTTTTCTCTAGTAAATACTTAGAATATAATATTGTATCAACATTTATAGGTCTGATAAGAACTATCTGTAAAGGTAAAATATATATATATAAGCTTTGCTGATATGAAAATGCTGTTGCATTGATGTACAGCATTGAATGAATTGGCAAATAAAAACTGTTTTGTATATCAAGCCTGATCATTTACACATCTGGTAACTTCTACAAACTTTAAACAATTTAATAGATTTAATTAAGATTATAACACAATAGCACAGTTAACTTTTTACAGTTAATAAATTATTCATTCAAGTTAATTAAATTCGCTATACTACACAGTTCTTATTCAACTATTGATTTACATTTATCGAAAATGTCATTTACCTCCATGTAGTCCTAATGTCAATAGATAAATACCTATAACTTTCACACTTTTAGTTAGCTTCCTAATAATATGTCTTTGGAGAAATTGAATTCTGTTCTTTAAGTACAATAAAGCAATTCTAAATACATATTTGTGCCCTAGCCTAAATATTCCTCGAACATTTTAACATTTTATACCATTTGCAGTGAATTAAATAACAGGCCAATAATATTAATATTTCTGCAATTAGGTAAGGTGGGCACAGGCCGGGATTTTGGTTCCAAAGCCACGTAATTAAGGCTATATTGGACTGTTTTCTTGATGCTTTACTCACGGGTCGGAATTGCAAGTATAATTTTCCTATTTACACGAGAGGTCCTCATACTCCCCGAGTCCATGGCGTTTTCGGCCACGTTATTTCTATCTCCCCTCACTCTAAATCTCAAATTCCGGTGGGCCCGTGGCAGTGTGGTCTGGCCTGGCCGCTGCCCCCCCCCCCTTCATCAATAATTTAAAAAAATTTTTTAAAATACTTGTGATATGTTTCAGTAATTAATACCTTCTACGGTGATTAAATCCCACATTCCCACTCAGTCATAAACTTGCATGTTGTAGAGTCCGTGAATTCTTACCGACCCCTGTAAACCACAAGTGCTTTTTACTATCCTCAAAGTTTTGGGGTAAGAGTTCAACTCGGCATTACATTCATTCACTTTAATTCACCCACCCTATGTTCGTATAAGCTATTGTGACTTGGCGCTCGACGACCAGTGTATCATTCACTTTGATTCACGCACCCGGTTCGTTTAACACTTTCCTGTCTGGTCTGGCTCGTGGGCTTTTTTGGACTACTTTCTTGTTCCTTACTTCGCGTGCAGGAAGTGTCTGCGGCCGTCTTATTTTCAAAGTTTCCTTGGAAGGCCCCCATTGCCCCCCCCCCCCCAAATACCTCCTATTTTAGTCTTTTTTCTGGCGAAATACACCTGTCTGACGAAGGTGATCGTCGAGTGGAATTTTAATAAAATTCCGTTGAGTTGGCAGCATATATAAGATATAAGTCTGTTGCAATCTCGGTAGGGAACCATAGCTTGGTGGTTGCATTATGGGCATAGTGTTCATCATAAACGAAAAGATAAGATTCGTTTATTGCAGCGTACAATTACACAAATCACATTTTATAATTAGTACCACATTAGTACAATTACATAAATCACATTAGTACGGTACCACATACAATATTGCATAAATTACATTAGTACAGGTACCACATACAATTACATAAATTAAATTAGTAGCGGTACCACATATAATATTACATAAATTACATTAGTACCGGTATCACATATAATTACATAAATTACATTAGTACCACAGACATACTTGTTAGCTACGAGAACGTAACAAAAAACGCTGAGATATACTGATGTCGAAACACGGAGGGTTGAGAGATAAAGGTTTGTTATCTAACATACTTGTAAACAACAACAACAAAAAAAAAAAAGCACGCAGGGTCATTATTTTTTTTTATGGCAGGCCATAATATTATTCCAAAATCCTATTTTGAGTTGCATTGATATCGAATATAGCAAATAAAAGAATTATAAACACTTGTAAGAATTAGAAGTAAAACTACTAAGTAAAAACGATACTGATCACACGATGTAAAAGTCCACGCAAATATAAGACATGTGCGACAATAATAAAAGAAAATACCTACAACTAATAAATTCATTAAATGGTTGACTGGAAAGGTCGTAAAATTACATATACATGTGCTGCCATTTTTAAATGGCAGTATACCAAAAAGACATGTGGTAGTAGAGTAGTAACTTTACTATATACCAATATGACATGAAGTAATAAAGTATAGTAACTTTACTATATACCAATATGACATGTGGTAGTAGAGTAGTAACTTTACTATATACCAATACGACGTGAATTAATACCAATATGACATGAAGTAATATAGTAGTAACTTTACTATATACCAATATGACATGCGGTTGTAGAGTAGTAACTTTACTATATACCAATATGACATGTGGTAGTCGAGTAGTAAATTTACTATACCAATATGACATGTGGTAGTACTAGTAAATTTACTATACCAATATGCACAAGAAAGGCAAATATGTTTTTCTTATAAATGAATGGAGTGGATGGAAGTTTTTCTTAAATTTTTGCCTAAACTACACACAACTAAAACAAAAAACAACCATGTCTACAAAAAGTATATTTCCTCCCATGAAAAATCAGAGAATATATTTACATATATGAAATAATAAACTAATGTATTTTAAATATGAAAGGCAGCTATTTTTACAATAGACAAGATGCTTTTGAAGGCACAGGGATTGGTAATCTCTGTGATGTTGGTAGGCCTAACAATGATTTTCGACAAAAGTATAATAGGTTGAAATGTGTACAGGGTTTCACCATGGACATTTTCTGAGATATGCTCCTGAATAATAATTGTATACCAAAAACTTAGTCGATTGTGTGTCCTTGGAAACACTAAATTATTTAATCCAAGGAACAACTCCTTGATTGGTTTATACCTGTACAAAGTTAGATAAATATATCTTGAACGATTTATGAGATATGCTCCGGAAACAAAACCGAAGCCCATTTTAATGGGCGCGGCATAATATCTGGTATTCAGTGCCGGACTGTTGGTACGAAGGCCCACCTATCAGGTCATTGACCAAGGCCCACACAAGTACGCGCCGAAGGCGCTAGAGCGTCCGAGGGGTTCTCGTGGGAGGGGGGGGGTTGTCCCCAATGAAAATTTTGAAAACTGACAACCGCAAGCCAATGTCCCAAGCATTTCAGACCACAGCAGAAGAAGGCAAATTTTTGATTTCCTAATACAATTAGACAACAGAATGACCTAAGAGTACTATCATTAGGAAAGGGCTGTGTCCTGTCCTCTCCTTCCTTCTTTCTTTTCTTTCCTCTCCTCTCACTCTCCTTTCTTTCTTTTTTCTTTTTTTTCTTTTTTCTTTATAGGCTTAGGCCCAGTCGGGCACTGCTGGTATTATCTCGATCTCGTGAGGTGTCCGACTCTGAAATGTCTAATGCTTCCAGAAGCCGTTTTGAAGACTATTGTGATCGAAGGCCGTCATCACAAAAGTTACAGAAAGGTTATGGAAGCAGTCAGACATTAATTGTGAATAGTCTTCAAGATAAAAAAAATTATAAACATTAGATTTCGGACGTCTGGGTTACATGGTCATAAGGCTTTATGTTCAGTTTATGAAAAACTTTAAATGTATTAGCCGTGTGTAATTCTTCGTATTTAGAAACTTGTTTATCTGTTATAACTTTAGGATAACAATTATTCCATCCAAGCGGACACTGGCGATAATGGTGTATAGTAGCTTCTTTTATATCAACATAATTCCTGAAAAAACATATATTTTTATCAACATATTTTTAACAGATTGTGGTATGTTCTTTACAAAGTTTTCAGAAATATTTTAAAAAGCATATAAAACCGAAAGTTGACATTTATATACGCGCATTATGTCCCTCTGTCCGCCGATAATTGGCTTGTGAACGCGACCGAGGCTAGAGTTTTTTGACGTATCCTTTTCATATTTTGTGTGAAGTATCATGGTCATGAGAGGACAAATCCTTTTGATTTATGGATTTTCATCGTTCGGAGTTATGCCCCCCACCCCTTTACCTAAAACCCTATGTGAACGCGATAAAGGCTATAGATTATTTTCCAATTTGCCATGAAGCATTGTAGTCATGAGAGGACGAATCCTGTCGATTTTCAGCATTCTGCGACTTTCCGTTCCAGGGTCATCCCCATTTTCCCGAAAAAAAACCCTTGTGAACGTGATAGAGGCGACAGTTTAAGACCCATTCTTTTCAAATTTAGTGTGAAGCTTGGGGTCATGAGGAGACAAACCCTATCGATTTTCAGCGTTCTGCGACTTTCCATTCAGAGTTATCCCCCCTTTGCTGAAAATCTTATGAACGCTACAATTTTTAACGATTTTTTTTTCAAATTTGGTTGTAAGCATTGCATGAGAGAATAGATGCTTTGGATGTTCAGCTGTTCACAACTTTCGGTTCCGGAGTAATCCCCCCTTTGCCGAAAACCTTGTGAACGCTATATAAGCTATAGTTTTTGACAGTTTTTTTTTTCAAATACAGTGGGAAGCATTGGGGTCATGTGAGGATGAACGTAATAAAAGCTTTAGTTTTTAATGGATCTTTTTCATATTTGTCTTAAAACATTGGGGTCATCGATGCTGTGTGGGCGTATCCGACAATTTGCTTGGCTACCTTTGTAGCCTAATTGCCATTGACTTTGCTGTTATTGTCTTCCATTTATTCGGTTGTTCATTCCATGAACATTCGACAAGTTTAGGAAAGCCTATCATGGAACTGTGACATTAGTATATTACTGAGTTGAACTGACCGATGACTTACTTGGAAAAGGGATATCTAGGTTGAAAGCTATGTATAGTCGTTGATTTGGTTCTGGATGGTATATAAATATACTTCTCACATTCCCACCGTGGTTTGGTAGATTTTAGATATTGTTGAAAATAAATATCACTATCCGTTCTAACTCGGCCCCAATTTTCCAAATGAAACTGAACGTGGAAATAAAAACCTGCAGCATTTGGGGATTCTGACGTCAAGTTCTGAAAATAACAATACAGTATACCATTGAACCCAAAGCGTAGTCAAACTCGGGTGTCCATGAATAGAAAGTAATAAATTAGTCTAATAAACAGTACATGGATTTTAGCACGTATTCCAACTTCGTCTCCATATCTTACTATTTAAATTCAAAATAAAAGTTTGGCAATCATGTCTGATGTCACTTCCAAACATATGAGGTGATTTAAGGTTATATAATGAGGGTCAGGGTTAGAATTAGGATTAGTTTTAGGGTTTGCATGTATTGAAGAGTGTAGCAATATAGATGTGTCGACATTGTTTTTAAATTTATAGACAAAGAATAGAGAAATAAGATGACTTTATATTTCATTAATTAATATATTTGGCAAATTAATAGTTTCACTCATATTCATATATTATATATAGTGTGCACTTAAATCAACTTAGGGTATAAATGACATATTGTTATATAAAAAAGAGTTATTTAGCCAAAACATGCGTCTATAAAATACCACAGAGAGCACGTGTGGAAGGAAAAGTACTATTGCGTCATTGGGTTTAATTTAACCAATCATTTTGTTAATTACACAAGTTCAGGGCCATGAACACGCTCTGTTATGCGTGATATACATGATATCTATTTGAAACTTTCAAGCAGACTTCCATTATAGATTCCGGAGAGGTTCCATCTGAGTTCCTAGACAGCCGCGAGGCATGGGTCGTATGTAAGATGTGGCGACCGGTTTCCGACATGCGCTCGCTCTCCACGTCAGACGGAAGGCCCATGGTGCTACAAGAGTGACATCAAACATGAATGCCAAAAGTTTGAAAATTGAGAAATAAAGGAACCAGATAAGTGTTAGCTGAAGTCTTCACTGATATAATATTGAAGTATTGAAGTACTTGTGGGATAGAAGTATTCTTCTACTTGTACTTCGTCCCCCGTCACCAATTAATTTAAGCAACTACAATTCAGGTTCGATGATTAACTTGAATTCTTTTAGGCAAGGTAAAAAAAATTGATAATCACAATATTCCCCGCTCTCGCGAATACGAACTATACGTTCTGGTCTTTTATATACCTGACACCAAGTGAACTATGTCCAATTAAGCAAAGAATAATTGAAAACTGCGTCTATATTTTATGGTTCAACAACCGACACGTGTGACAGATGCGTCTGGAAACCGTCTAATTGTGAAATATGAATCCCAATTTGAAAGCAAATTAATTGCTTTTAAAAATACATGTAGCCTTACAGACTATGCTAGCCCTAGTCTGTTACACTATACACCTAGGAAAGATTTTTAAGAGACACATTTCTGGGAATTATCGCGTCAGCACAAACTGAGCACACTCCAGAACCCCTAAAAGTTTTAATTTTAGAACCAAACAGAACTGTTCTTTTCCAATCTGCCAGAATTCATATATCTTTACGTGCCTAAGATGTTCATAGACCGATACAAAACATCGAAAATAAATAGCTTAATACCTGTAGTAATTGCTTCAATGTAAAGTGATGGCTGGGTATGATTATTTCATCAAAATCAGCAGCTAAGACATAACCATAACCTCCCAATCTTTGATGACAATCCAAAACTGTTATATGTTTATCGTGTGAAAACTGGGGATAAACTTGCTCCTTTAATCTAAATCCTCTGTGAGAGTATCCTGCAATTACATAAGTGAATGTGAAAACGAGTTCTCATCAGATATCCCGATTATGGTTTAGAGAGAGAAAGAGAGAGAAATGGGGTTTGACGTCCACTCGACATGAATTGGGTCATTTCGGGACTAACACATGGTTCAATTTTTTTTCAGTAATTCGCTTGGCGTAGGGGTCTTTAGCAGTGTGAGGAAACCGGAGAACCCGGAGAAAACCCACGAGGTTGGACAGGCGACCCTACTTCTTGTCACGTATACAATCGGGGAATCGAAACCAAGCCAGTCGACTCAGTGACAGACCTTATGATACTACGCGCACGTGCTAACCATTCGGCCATCCAACAACCCCCAGGTTATGGTTTAAATATACTATTCAAAAAAAGTAGGGGATATTTGATTTTGGGGGCATAATACTAAAATATGCAAATGACTACGAAAAAAGTCACTATAGAACCTAACAAAAGAAACATTTCCAGTTACATGTGACGCCCAAACGCACCAATAGCTAATGCATGGAATGCAGGTGATGCTTGGGATCATCATGGGGGTCCAACCCAAGATTTGCACGACTCTGACTTTGAATGTTACAGTCATTGTGGCATTGAATTCCAGGGTGGAAACATCAGTTTAATTGTTTTAGTGACCAGAAAACAAATTTTGATATGCGTCGGCTTACCCAAAATGAAAGGTTACGTGCCCTTGGCATGCTACAGATCGGCACAACACAGGCGGTTGTGGCGCGGACGATGAATGTTTCTCAGTCTGTCATAAGCAGGCTATGGTCCAGATACCGTGATACACAATCTGTACAGGACAGACCACGCTCAGGTCGACCAAGGGCGACAACTCAAGCCCAGGATCAATTTATCCGTACCTTGGCCTTGAGAAATCGTGTCATCACAGCAAATCAGATCAGCGCTCGTCTTCAAACAGACACTGGTGTGAGAGTGAGTGGCCAGACGATTCGGAATCGACTGCATAGGGGTCACCTTCGCGCCCGACGTCCTCGCGTGATCCCTTGTTTGAGAGATCATCACATTCAGGCAAGACGTCGTTGGTGTAGGGATCGTCAACACTGGGATAATCGACGTTGGAGCAATGTGATGTTTTCAGATGAGTCAAGGTACACTGTTGATTTTTTGGACAGACGTAGGAGGGTGTGGCGTCGTCGAAACGAGCGCTTCCAAGACGTTAACGTCATCAGACATGATTGATTTGGGGGTGGTTCTGTTATGGTGTGGGGAGGCATCACTGTTGCTGGAAGAACGGCTTTACATGTTGTTGCAGGGCGTGTTACAGGCCAGTACTACCGGGACAACATCTTGACAGTCCATGTTGTGCCGTTCGCACGACGTCATGGCCGCCGTTTCATCTTCCAGGATGACAACGCAAGATGTCACAGGGCCAGGATCGTTACAGGTTACCTCCAACAACAGAACATCACCACATTACTTTGACCAGCACTGAGTCCCGACCTCTCCCCCATCGAGCATGTCTGGGACATGCTTGGACAGAGGTTACGTCAACGTCAACAACGTCCTGCCAATGTCCAAGAACTTGCTGCTGCGTTGCAACAGGAATGGGACAATCTGGACCAAAATGACCTTAGACGTCTCATTAGGAGTATGCCACGTCGGATCAATGCTTGTTTGGCAAACAGAGGAGGATTTACCCGTTACTGACTTGGTTGTGATGCTGTGGTAGCTTTGCTGTTTGACCCCGGGTATCATTTTACCCTTATAATGGTCAGTCTGTGCCTTACTTAGTCTAACGATCATTTGGAATAAATCGATGAATGTGAACTTCATTTCATTTTGTCATTTGTTTCTTCGTCAGTTTCATTAGGTGACTTTAATAACACTTAAAAATCAAATATCCCCTACTTTTTTTGAATAGTATAGTATATATTTAACATATTATTATTAATTACACACAATATACAATACACAATAAATTATATGGATTCGGAAACAATCTATAAAACTTATATTAATCCGTCTCCAATGCCGATTATGAAAGTGGTATTAACTTTTTATTTCTGGTGCAAAAATGAAAGCAAATGTGGCGCACAAGTCACTGTGGCAGTGTCTCTTCCGATTGTTGAAGCATTGATTACGCATCTATCGTAGCAATGATCTCTGTGTTAAAATTATATTTGGAACGTGTTTAACCAGTTCTATCACATATATATGATAATGACTGGCACCAGGATTGTCCTTTAAACGGACAGCGGTGTTTCCGATCACTCATCTTTGTATTCCAAGGGTCCTTTTACCTGTACGCCAAAATGTACATCGGACCTCAAATTATTAGATCGGTTCCCTTAAAACATACTAGCACCACTGATAAGGGGTAGCCACGCTGGAAAATCCCCACGACATATACTATCAACATATGAAATTTCGTCGAAATCCGATTGGCGTTTTTGAAGATGAAGTCAAAGATATAAATTGTTTACGCCGGATGGGCACGGACATAAATAGTTACATAAGCCATGTGGACCGAGGGGCTAAAAAAAAATATATTCTAGTACCTGGAACTTTGCCGGGAAGAGAGTATGGTATAACTTCTAACAAACCTTCATCTATATAATGTTTAAATACACTTTTAATCTGTTCTGGGCAATCAAGATCAAATACAACGATTTTATCGACACCCAAAATCATTTGCATTTCAAACCATTCAACCAATCTTGAGGGTTTTAATTTATCTCCGAAGGCCACCTTCCCACAAATAGCTAACTTATCTTTTTTGTCTTCTTGCATTCGTACAGGTAAATAATCTCGGTTATTACTTCCACACATTGATAAAGTTGTTAAACTGATATTAACCACTGAAACATTTTCACCTGGAATGGGTGTACGGCATACATACTGGGTGGCATGAAATGGTGCTTGATTAAATAGCTGAGTTATAGATGGTAGAAAATCAATGTGATGATGTATATGATAAAATGTGGCTTGTGTTGTATGCATTGTCCCATCGGAATATAAAACACAGCACAAAAAATCTCCATTTCCTCGCAAGGAATCAAAAGCTGTTAAAACTATTTTCATGTCTTGTTGTTCCAGATCTCTACTTGCTATAGCTGACAGAAAATATGTTTCTTCGCCATTTTGAAATACGTGACGGAATTCATTATTTTCAGACGTATCCCTTGGAATGGGATTATTGTTTAATTTCCAGCCTTTTGTGAAACTGGAAACATGTCTCCTGTGTGACTGAAAATATATTCCATATTTATAATTAAATTAGAAACAGATGTAAGAAGTTCATTGTGTGTGAAATAGCCTTATTTAACTTGAGCGTCATAATATTTATTATCATCGTTATACCTATCCACTTTTGTTAATTAGGTTATCGGGGAGTGCAGATACAATTCTAATTTATTGTATACATATAAATTAAAGATTATTGGGTCTTTTAAAAAGGTACGCCAGACCACAGTAATTTTAAAGGAATCTATTCCGTAGTAATAAAATAGTAGATTCGAGTGTGCTTTGTTGAAGTTGTACCCTTATCTATATCGAGTGTAGTTGAAGCATGGAAATGTTCATTATACCCCCATCAGCAGAGGCGTAACCGTGAAATATATATATTTGGGGGGTCCGCAATGAAATTATATAAAATGTTGACAATCTGTGACGCCGGAGGCACAAGGCTGTGAAGCAGCCTATGTAGCGCGATAGGGAGAGTGTGGGAGGGTCACCCTCCCACTGGGGGGGGGGGAGGAGGCACCCCCATAAAATTTTTTTAAAGTTTCAGTCTTCTGTAAACACCGTTTTGGCATATTTTACGGGGTTAAACTAAAACATCACACAAATACAATGTTTATCATGTTTAAGTCAGGGGGTGGCGTCTTCATATTTTTTTCATGACTTTTACATATTGAATGTTACGCTTGAGTTATGAACAACACGACAAAGAGAGTTTAGTAGGGGAATTTTTATGAGGAGGATCCAAATGAAACAAAACTTGATCACATAACTTTAGTTTATGAGGATGCATATTTGACAATCACCTTGTTAACTACAATACTATACACATTTACAAGAAAGTTGCATAGAATTAATCCTAATAATTGTTGTAAATAAATAGGAGTTAGGGTCTACTATGTAAATTTTTAGGGGGTCCAAGTATATTCAGACCCCCCCCCCCCATGTGTGACGGGTAATATTGGACTGTGTGGAACATGCTAGGGTCAATTTGATCCACGGTATGTTTGACACTGGTTTAGCATTATGTTTATGATGATAATGTTGAAAACCACGTTGCAATCGCGTGATTTATTGCCCCTCTCACTCAGCCCTTGTACCCCGTACCGCCCAGTAACCGGGTTGACTAAATATTTGTCTATATACCTGATCTGACTGGAGATATTGAACTATTTTCAAAGAAAAGTATTGGAAGGGGGAGGGGGTCAGACCAGATTTATAGGAGGGCAAATGCCCCCCACCCCCTCCTTGGCGCCGCCACTGCAAGGACCCCGCGAGAACTCCTCTTTTCATACTGAATTGTGAATTGGGTTTGTATTTGAACTCTATTAAGCTATTTTCCCAATCCAGAAAATGTTATTTGGAGCAATTGTTAATGGTGGTGGCATTGGTGCATTTTAGAGAAAAACAAGGGCGGGGGAACGAAGGCAAAATGGCCGCTTACTTGGCTACGCTACTGATAACAAAGAACACATCTACTAAATATCATTATTAAGAAATGGGGAATAAATTCGCTTTTAAAAGTCAATATTTATCTTTTATTTTAAATTGAAAATGTTTTAATATTAGGAACGTATCAGGGCTGATGAATTAATAAATACATAACTGCTTTTAAATGTTAGGAGAGAAAAAAAAAGTACTTACGTAATGCAGGTAGACTCTTTGTGATAAGATAAATCCAATTACTAACATGGTTCCAGTTGTAAGAGGTTTCCATCGCCGTTTACTTAGAATTCTTGATATAACAGACATATTTATGGAGTAGTACAGCTATAACTGATGCCCACAGCTAAAACTCAACGATTTTCATACAGATAAAAGCATATCCCATATCAATTTCTAAATCATAAATCATTGCGTAATAATGAAATAATATATTCAGAATTTTCTCTTTACATTCAAAACATCAAACGATTCCAGCTATAATTTTATCGTTTTGAAAAATTCAATTCAAGCTATGGGTGCTATGTGTACGTGTATAAAGTGTGGCTTCCTAAGAGGTCAGTACACAATTCTGTGTTGACATATCATTCATAAAAATATTTAATGATTTGTAAGGTGGGGTTATAGACGTACTTACGTGTTGTATGAAAAGACGGACGATACCCATCAGGTAAACTGATATGTCATTTAAATTAAATTCATTCTATCTCACAATATTCAAATCGATAATTCCCTTAAATTAAATTCATTCTATCTCACAATATTCACATCGATAATTCCCTTCGACGAGGACTCTCAAGTGCATTAATTATAAATATGCAAGTCATACAAATTTAATTGTTTGATATTAATGTGGTAATAATTTAAGTCACAGCCAAACATAATGCCCAGAATTGTACTTTAATACTGTTAGAAATTCTTATTACAAAATAGTACAATGTTACATCTTGCAGGCTGTATACACACTGCATAATTAACAACTAATTAAGTATAGGTCATAGCATTTACTATTTATAGGTCGTTTTTATCCCTTGTATTTTATCTATAAGTAGTGGTAAACAGATCTCTGTTTATTTAAACTCACCACTTAAATAGAACATTATTTTGTCTGTACATACTGGTTTTAATTTTCACATTTTGATATTGTGCAGGTGTAGTGTTTATGCTTGATAATATTTTAGTCCATAAAGGCTTACATGTCGGTCACATCAATATTCACAATGTGATGTTTTTGGTTTCACAGAGACAAATTTAAACGAGAATATGTCATGTGATGCTGTAACTCTCTACCTATTTTAATCTGTTGATTATACCGTAATCCTGCTTCCTTGTCAAAATGGCTTGTATATTTTCAAGCAATGATGAACACTGTTTGGAATCAAGGTCATGAAATTATAATGATGGGTGACATGAACTTTGATCTCTTTAAATCTAACAACTTCTTTTGGACTGATATTCTTGAGTTATATAACCTTAAACAATTAGTTGATTTTCCTAATGAATCTGATTTCTTGAGTGATTTAAATTCTGCTCCTTTTGATGTTTACAATGCTTGTGATCCAAATATTGCTCTTAAAATGGGGTATGATACTATTCTTCCAGTCATCAATAAGCATGCGCCCTTTAGGACTAAAAGAGTTAAACTGTCTCAAAACCACCATGGCTTTCTGATGAAATTGTTAAAATGATGCGTCTACGCGACCACCACAAAAAGAGAGGCGAAATCATTGAATACAAAATATGTATAAATAGATTGAAAAAATTAATCAGAAACTCTAAATCTAAATATTTCCGTAGCTTAGTAACTGATTCAAAAAATTCAAAACAAATTTGGAAGGCAATTAATAGTGTAACTGACACCTCTAAATCTAATTCTCCTATATACCCATTGATTGTGAATCTATTAACAACTATTTTTCTAAAATACCTGATAATCTTTTAAAGAAAGCATCTGTATCACCAGAAAGTTTCAATGATGAGCTAGTTTGTAATTTTATTCAAGGGCACCTTCCATCGCAAGAGGTTTTTGAAATTACTCCTATAGCTGTTATGCAAGTGTCAAAATTTCTTAGGTTGCTTGATACAACTAAATCTGTAGGTTTAGATCTTGTTAATCCAATTTTTTTAAAGCTGGGATTTGGTATACTTGCTCCAAGTTTAACATATATCTATAATTTATGCATAACTAAATGTGTATTTCCAAATTTATTTAAGCCAGCTAAGGTTCTGCCTTTGCATAAGTCTGGTTGTAAAGCTGATCCGAATAATTTTGTCCAATATCTTTTTTACCTGTATTATCAAAACCACTTGAAAAACATGTGTCTAAATGTCTAATAGAATTTTTAAACAAACATAGTTTATTGTATGCTAAGCAATCAGGTTTCAGACAAACTAGTTCTTGTTTAACTGCCTTGACACATATAACAGAAAATATTTATGATAATTTGAATTCCAATTTGTTAAGTGGATTAATCTTTTTTGATTTCAGAAAAGCCTTTGACTTAGTGAATCATAAATTATTATTACAAAAATGTGCTTTATACAAATTATCGAAATCTTCCCTATCATTTCTTAAATCATATTTTTTTGACAGAAATCAGTGTTCATCTGTTAATGGATGCACATCTTCATTTCAGCCAGTCTTACATGGGGTGCCACAATGATCTGTCCTTGGTCCCTTACTTTTTAATATCTTCATTAATGATCTGTCTTTAAATTTGTCTTCTAATTGTGATCTATTTGCAGACGATACTACGGTTTATACTTCGGATGCAACGTTATCCCAACTTCGAACTAAATTACAGTCAGATACTAATAGTGTTCTAAATTGGTGTGTTAATAATTCCATGATAATAAATATAATGAAAATTAAAGCTATGCTTGTAACAACGCCTCAGAAAAGAAAGTTTATTAAAGAATCCCTTGATATTCAAATTGAAGGTAAAAAATTGAAGTCAGTGAACTCTTTCAAACTCTTAGGTGTATATATGTGCACCCTATATTGATCAAAATTTGAATTGGAAGGACCATGTTAAGATGATCAGTAAAACCTTAAACCAGCAACTATTTCAATTGCGAAGGATTAAAACATATATATATATCTAAATCTTTCCAGCTACTATATTACAAGTCACCTACTGCT